GCAGTAGTTATTAAGGTCCTGGTTTTAAAAAAAATTAGATTCGTTGCTTCCTAATGACCTAAAAATTTGCACATTCCAAGGCACCTGTAATTTAATCAGTAAATTATTCATTTTTAACTCACATAGTATCAGTGCAGAGGAAGTCCCTTGTATACCTCTACTGTGTCACCTTTTCCTTTTGGCCCCAGAGGTAACTGTGGTTCTGGAGTTGGTATTTATCATGTGTTACTTTGTACTTACTATTTACACATATATTTATAAATAATAAGTACATGCAACTTATAAACAAAATGGATTTTTTGCAATTTTTTCACTTAACATTGTGAGATTTATTTTTGTTGCTATGCATCTCCCATTTATTTAAGCTCACTGTAAAATGATATATCAAAAATCATCCTTTTCTGATTAAAAGAAATTTAGTTTTTCTCCACCATCTTATGGTTACAACAATGCTACAATAGCAACAATAGTAACATGCTATAATGACTATAAATAAATTATAGTCCATGTTATAAATTTCAGTCTATGACTATTCCTATAAATATTTTTGTTTATGGATGTGTGATTTGAGTATATCTTCAGATTTACTAGTTATTATCAAGTGGGTCTCCAATGTGGCTGTGATAATTTACAATCTTAGTCTCATTCTCTACATCCTTAATAATATTTGGAATTGACCATCTTTTAAAATTTTGCCATTTTGTGATAACAAAACAGTATCCCATCATGTTTTTAGTGCTCATTTTCCTGAATACTAGTGAAGGTGAACATCTTTCAATTGTTTCCTGTGAATTCCTTTTCTGACTTTTGCCAAATTTTATATTGAGATGTTTATCTTTTTAATCTCTATAAGTTTTTTGTTCGTTCATTCAGGGACCCTAATTTTTATTTTTATTAAGTATGCTGTAAATATCTACTGTAATGAGTCTTGGATCACCTATTTTATGCTGTTTGGTAAACAGTTTTACATTTTGTGGAGTGAAGCTTAACCTCTGTAGTTTGTTTCCATATCTATCTATTCCTACGGCTTATTACAGGGAACATACAATGACTAATAGTGAAAAGGAACAAATCACAAATATAAAATGAAATTAAAGGATCCAATATATTAACAATTAATTTACTTTAATATTTTTCTACAAATTTTCTTGGGGTTTCTACCTGGGCAATGTTTTTATCTGAAAATAATTTTGATTTGCCTTCATCCTTTTCAGTCTTATAAATGTTCTTTGTTTTCTTATCCTATTGCATGGTCAGGACCTCCTGTATATTTTTAAATTATAAGCAATCATAGACATGGGTTACTTAGTCTTTTTTCTTGTTTTAAAGGGAATGTTTTTGCAAGTCATCATTTAGTAAGATGATTGCTATTGTTTTGGTGGCTACTTATTATCAAACTAATGAAGTTATTTTTTATTTCTAGATTACTAGGATTTAAAAAATTGTGAATAGATGATGAATTTAAATGATTATATGGTGTACTTCATTTAATGAGTTATTGTAGTGTATTACACAAGTGGATTTTCTAATATTAAAGGAACCTTATATTTCTGGAGGAAGCATTACTTGGTCATTATTTAGTATGATGCTGATTTATTTTAAGGCTGTGCGTGACTTTTTTCTTTTAGGCTTTTGGCATTTATTTTCATAGACAAGATTGGACTCTAGTTTTTCTTTTTTTTTTCCTGTTTACTTTTGATATAAAATAATTTCTTTTCTTTTCTTCTCTCTGTTTTAAATGTCAAGAAGAGTTGGGTAGAGCAGAGCTTGATTTGGTCTTAGAGCAGTGGCTTCTCCATTTCTGAGTTGAGTTCAGTCCTCCTCTTTGTGTTGGTGTGAGAGCCTGAATACAGTCGTCTAGGACCCCTTATGGATAAAAAAATCTGGAAGTGCTTAGTTCCTTGTATAAAATAATGTAATGTTTACATAGAACCTCCATATTTCTTCCCTAATACTGTAAGTCACTCTAGATTGCTTATACTACCCACTACAATGCTATTTAAACAGTTGTTATATTTCATTGTTTAGGGAAAAATGACAAGAAAAGTCTATACATGTTTAAAACAGATTCAGTTTTTTTGTTGTTACTTTAAACTGAGGTTGGTTAAATAATCAGATGTGGAAACTGTAAATACAGGAGGTTTAATATATACCTATTTCATAAAAAAAAAAATATCTTCATTTTTTTTTGACTGCTTCTCTATCAGTTACTGAGGGGAATTCATTGAAAATATTACACTATATACTATTTCTCTCAATTTTTATCCTATTTTTTTAAAAAAAACTTTATTTATTTTGAGTCTTTGTTGTTAGGTGCATATCAAATTTTAGCTATAATATCATCCTGGTGTTTTGAAACATTTATCATAACTCCATAGCTCAGTGTCATCCTAATGATGAATTTTTCCTTGAAGTCTATTTGTCTGGTATGAATGCTGGCTTTTAAGGCTGTGTTTTTCTCAAATATTTGTTTTCTGCTTTTACCTTCATAGTTCTTTTGGAAGCCTAAGATTTGGATGTGACACCTATCAGGAACTTTTCTCTGCATTTATTTCTTTAAATGCAACCTGATTATCTTTGTTTTTTTTTTTTAAAGTATTTCATCTATATGACAATTAACATGACAGTTTTTTTCTTTACTTTTTGTGCATTTCATTTCCTCTGATTTTTGTGTGATACTTTCTGCCCACTGCTCCCTCATAAGCAGGTGTTTTTTCCTTATTTTTGGATTGGGAGTTTATCATCCAACCCTTGTCTTCCCTGAATACTGTATTGATAGTTTCTCATTCTATACTGTTTGGTAACATCTGTTAAATTTTAATTCTCTCTTCAAACTTAATGAGCAATTTTACATTTCATGTCTAACTGCTTTTGTGTGCTTTCATCCCTTCATGTCACAGTTTCCACAGCTTCCCTCTAAAACTGTTTTCCTAGGTTTTCCATGCTTTTTACTCTCTTGTCTTACAGTTCTTGCTCTGCTTCTCCCACTTTAACAATTGCTCAGCTCCACTCGTATTTTGAGTTATTCAACTGAGACAATTTACATCTTTGCTACTTTGACCACTCTGATCTTTGCTCTTTCTAGTTCAGTGACAAAATGACTAAGCTCTGGGGAGTGTACAAAAGCCATTCTATGTAACACCTTTTTTAACACTTTTCTCTCTTCTGTAATACTGAAATTCTATAATTCTGATTCGTTTTGAAAGGAGGGAACAAATCACAGTAGCTGATTAAAATTGAGTTCATAATGAAATCTGACTGTGTAGCAAGATAGGCTACAGATATTTTTCAGCTTTCATACATTTCTAATTTAGGAATCCAAAACCTGAAATGCTCCAAAATGCAGTTTTTGAGCATTGACATGACATAACAAGGGAAAAATCCCATAACATGAACTTTGTTTCATGCACAAAATAACTTTAAAATATTATATGAAATTACCCTCAGAGTATGTGAGGATAATTTTTTACTATGCTGTAGCAAGTTATTCCAAAACTTAATGATTTAATATAACAAGCCTTATTTTCTCACAGTTTCTATAGCTGAAAACCTGGCCTGGCTTAGCTGGGTCTCTCTGTCTCTGAGTCTCTAGAAGTCTACAATCAAGGAGTTTGCCAGGTCTACGATGACCCTCGCCGTGCTCACTCATGTGATTTTTGTCAGGACTCAGCTCTATGAGGGTTGTTAGACTGAGAGCCTTAAGTTCTTGCTGGCTACTAGGCTGAAGACCCCCCTCAGTTTCTTGCCATGTGGGCCCTTCCTTGATATGATAGCTCACCTTTTCCAGAGTGAGGACACTAACAGAAAATGAAAGAGAGCAAGCAGAACAGAAATCACTTCTTTCTGTGATCTAATCTAGAAAGTGACATCCCATTGTACTCTGTTAGTTGTACATCACTAGAACTAGCCTATGCTCAAGAGAAGAGATTTCCTTATATTTATTTTGCATTTAACTTGGCTGTTTTTTTCAAATTAGTTGGTGTGAGAAAGGTATTTTAGTCTCCAGTTGACTCAGTCATTAATTGTGGTATAAAATCTGGAAATCAAGGAAAGATTCTTTTTTTGCCTTGGGAGGAGTGAAAAACTATATATATGTCACATGTATAATGCACATGCATTTACGTAATTTATTTAAAAGTCAAGGTGAAATTGGTTTGATTTGAAAATTTCTGAATAAAGGTGATTACAAAGTCTTTTTTAAAAGTTAATATAAATGAAGTTTCATTTGCAATTTTGGATTACTAGTGATATATGATATTGTGTTTTGAAATTTTAAAGTATACTTATCAGTTTTAATGTGGTGAAAGACACAGAATACATTGTGCTTCTATACTATTGCACAGGAAGGACACTGGTCAGAAGGAATGGTTGTAAGGGGATCGGACTATGAGCACATGATAAAAGCGAGAGTACACAAGGGAGGGGTGAGGATAGGTAAGACACCTAAAAAACTAGCTAGCATTTGTTGCCCTTAATGCAGAGAAACTAAAGCAGATACCTTAAAGCAACTGAGGCCAATAGGAAAGGGGGAGTAGGAACTAGAGAAAAGGTTAGATCAAAAAGAATTAACCTAGAAGGTAACACCCACGCACAGGAAATCAATGTGAGTCAACTCCCTGTATAGCTATCCTTATCTCAACCAGCAAAACCCCTTGTTCCTTCCTATTATTGCTTATACTCTCTCTACAACAAAATTAGAGATAAGGGCAAAATAGTTTCTGCTGGGTATTGAGGGGGGGGGAGCGGGAGGGAGTGGAGTGGGTGGTAAGGGAGGGGGTGAGGGCAGGGGGGAGAAATGAACCAAGCCTTGTATGTACATATGAATAATAAAAGAAAAATGAAAAAAAAAAAAAGAAGGAATGGTTGTGAGTAGAAGCTCTGCCACTTGGAATCAGTTCCCTTATTTATAAAATGAAGTTATGGATACCATTATCTGGAATTAGAGTACGTGTACTTCCTTAAATTGAGTTGCTTTCGCTAATCTCATTCTCTTGTTTCAGGATACATGTGACCAGCGTGGCTGCTGCTGGAATCCTCAGGAAACCATAGATGTTCCTTCGTGCTACTATTCCAAGAATCATGGCTACCAAATGGAGGGTTCTTTTGTCTCCACAAGTGCAGGTAAGTCTGACACTGGCAGGAGGTAGGAGTCTCAGACCTTGTGGAGGTTGGTTCTTTACCTTAGGAGGAGACCTATGGCAGCAATGCAGGACCACCCTGCAGCCACACAGCCACGTGTGACAGAGGTGGGCACCACTCTTACAGAGACCTGATTTTGGCATCATGCCCCAATCACCCTTTGTCTTGAGAGTTCATAGACCATGTTCTACTTCAGGTTTACCTTTATAAGACTTTGTGACCTTGTATAATTATCGTGACCTTTTGGTTCTCAAGTTTATAGCTCTTAAAGGAGATAGGGATTTGAACTCATTAACTTCTGAGATTACTTCCAACTCTAGTCTGACATAATTTTTATGGAATGGAAACAATTTCAGTTTTATAAGCATGTTACAAAAGTTACCTAGTCAGCATCACTGTTGGTCATCCCTTCTTCTTCTTCCTACCCTAAAATGAAAGTATCATGATGAACAGTTTGGGGAGGGTAATCTGGTAAGAGCTGGTGACTCCTCTGGGGAGGCTTTTAGTGTAAGGTAAGAGGTACGGTCCCCTACTAGATGCTCTTGGCTTGATGGGCTCTTCTATAATTCTTCAACTTTCACTTGATTTTCCATTTAATTAGGGAGATGGCGCCAATGTATGTGATCACCTGTAATGTAATATAAAAATAACTGCAAGGCAATAATGTGTGTGTGTGTGTGTGTATATATATAAAATGTATATATTATGTTTATCAGTCCCTTTGACCTAAAGCTTAATTTTTATTTAGCTACTATTCGCAAATTTACAGAGCCAGCTATGAAAACATTTTTTCCCCTACATGTTAGGATTCACAGCTCAGCTGAAAAGTCTGCCTTCTCCATCTTTGTTTGGAAATGATGTTGAAAACGTCCTTCTTACGGCCGAATACCAGACATCTAACCGGTTCCACTTTAAGGTTGTGGTTTATTTACTTTTAAAAAATCTTTTAAAGAGCCCCTGTCCCCTACCTGGTGACTGAAGTTCCTGCAGAGTAGAAAATTTTTGATAGTGGAAGTATTTTTCCTCCATTCCCATTATCATTTGGCACTTATATGTTGGTCTTTTATAGCCTTCTTTTTGTGTGATAACTTCCTAAATACATATTATTGAGTTTGTTGGTGAGCTTTTGACTTTTATTTATTTGCCCTAGATACCATATGAAATATAATAGGGAGAAAAATAATTATCACAATTTTGAATTTTCTTGGGATAATCCAACTCTGAAGATTTGCAGTATATATCTCTACCTAAAGAAAGACTAACTTTGAAGTTGTTGATGTAATGAGTTCATTCCCTTAGACATAATGTCAGTTCAGTCAGTGTCTGAATTCCAGTGCTTTCTTCACACACACTGTGAAGCAAAGGTGTTGGCAGGGGCACTTCTATTTTTGAAAAACAGAAAAGTTTTCATTGTTCTTTTTTATCTATTCATCTCTTGGTGCAGTTGACTGACCAAACCAAAGTCAGGTATGAAGTGCCTCATGAACACGTGCAGCCCTTCAATGGAAACATTGCTTCTTCTTTGAACTATGAAGTTGATGTCTCCAGACAGCCATTTAGCATCAAAGTGACCAGAAAAAGCAACAATAATGTTCTGTAAGTTTGGGAAACTTCTCTGAGAATAGAACTGGGAAGGTTATGATGAAGGGAATTCTATGAGCTGGACAAAGACTGCATTTGAATTGTGAGTTCACTATTGGCGAACACACTCTGTGTCTACAACCATCCATCCATCCATTCATCCATCCATCTACCTATCTGTCCTTTGCCTTTCTTCCTCTTTCTTCTGTCTGCATGTTTTCCTCTTTTTTTTTTCCATTTATCTAACCACTTGTCCACCCAAAAATATTTGTCAAACATTTCATATACGAATGGTGTTTTGGTTATGTGGTAGGGTGTTTGGGGGACAAATGTAAGAACTATATCATATAATACTTACTCTAGAGGAGTCCTGATCTACTAGTATCCATGGTAAAGTGTCATAGGAGGGCAAATGGGACTGATTAAATAGAGAATATTGAGTTTATGAGATATAAAGAATTCTTTTCTGAGCAGGTTTGTTCTCTCCACCTCACTTATCACCCATTCTGCTGTTTTCCACCTGTGTCTAGGTTTGACTCAAGCATCGGGCCCCTCCTGTTTGCAGATCAGTTCTTGCAGCTCTCTATCCGTTTACCTAGTGCTAATGTGTATGGTCTGGGAGAACATGTGCACCGACAGTACCGGCATGACATGAATTGGAAGACATGGCCCATATTTACAGGGACACGATCCCTAATGAAGTAAGTTCTTTTTTGACAGTACTGGGGATTAAACTCATGGGTTCATTTTTACTTGCTAGCATAGCTGAAATCTTAAAGGTCACTTGTAGTGTTACAATATGGTGGTTGGTTAAGGTTTGAATCATGGCTCTACTATTTGCAAGTTTTGTGGCTCTGGGCAAGTTACTTACCATTGTGTCTTCAGCTCCTCATCTATAAAATGGGGTAATGTACTTATCTCATAGTGTTGTGCTGAGGATCAATAAGTTAATATATATAAAGTTTCCAGAAGAATGGCTGTCACATAGAAAATACGCAGTAAATGACAACTACTTTATATCATGCCTCTCCCTTGGATTAACCAGTTGTGGAGGGAATGTTATTAATATCTGTACTATGAACAGTACCTGATTATTTTTCTATATTTTTATTTGAATGTAGAATATTCAATTTTATATTCAAATAAAAATATAGAAAAAATTGTTCTATATTTTTAAGTCTATCTTTAAAAATCACTTACTTTGTCAGGAAAGTAAGATAAAGTCCTAGCCAAAGCTATGTGTCAATCATTTTTGTGGAACGAATGATCAAAGTAATAAAAGAATAGACAGACTTTTGTTTTGTTGTTATTATATTTTTTTACTCTATGTTTGTTGTTTTGACTGCTAAAATTTGAGGCAATTTTTTTCTGGGTTTAACAGTACACTATGGTTCAGGAGTTTTCCTGAATAAACAGAACTAATAGCTGAATGAAAGGAGATCACAGCAATAATTTATTAAGTGACCCCTTCTTCCTTCCTTCCTTCCTTCCTTCCTTCCTTCCTTCCTTCCTTCCTTCCTTCCTTTTTTCCTTCCTCCCCTCCTCCATCCCTTCCTTTCTTTCTGTTTTTTTTTTTGAGACAGTGTCTTGCTATATAGCCCAGGCTGACCTTGAACTTGTAATTCTCCTGCCTCAACTTCCAAATGCTGGGATTACAGTTGTGCCCCATCACACCTGGCTTGTTTATGTATTATGTCTATTTAGCAAAAGGACCCAGAAAAAAAGTGCATTTATTTTCCTCACTTAGAGTCTAAGGTGAAAGAGTTTATAAGTAATATAGAAAGAATCTGATCCCCACTAGGTCTCACCTAAAGCCCATGCTCTCTGCTGCACAATTGCCCAGCAGAAAAGCAGAAAAGATGCTGAGTCAGAGCAGTTGTGCAGGAGTAGTTGTTGATGATCATGTAACTAAGGAGCCTCAGACCTTTGCCCCTCAAAGTGTACCGCATGGGAAGTGCACTTATAGTGGTTTTTTAGTCCCTCCTTTTTTTTTTTTTGGTGGTTGTGGGAGTGGGGTAGGTGTTGAACTCAGGGTTTTACACTTGTTAGGTAGGTGTCCTACCATTTAAGCCATGCCCCCAGCCCTTATTGCTTTAGTTGTTTTTGGGATAACGTCTCCCATTTTTGCTCCCAGATGGACCTGGACTGCAATCCTGTTTTTGATTCCCATGTAGCTGAAATGACAGGTGCACACCACCATCCCTGGTTATTGTTTCAGATGGGGGGTCTCACTCCTGCCCCTACCCCCTGACCCCTGCGCTGGTCTCCAACCGTGATTCTTCCCGTTTCTATATCCCAAGTAGTTGGGATTACAGGTTTGAACCCCCACACCCTCCTACCTATTATTGTATTAGAACTTACATTTAACTAAAATGCCTGCATAAGGAAGATGTACAACAATCTTTGACAAACACTGCTCTAGAACAATGATTTTCAAATGTGACTGCACAGTGGAATTATGTGGAAAAATTAAGACAAAACCAAAATAAAATAGCAATGTCTGCTTCCATCCCCATGGATTCTGTTTTCATTGGCCTGGGTTGAAGTCTGGGTGGAGAACTCCTGTTTGCAGTCTAGACGATTAGTCTAGATTACAGCTGCATTGAGAGAGAGGAGAACTTTTTTTGAATTATGGCTCCAGAATTCTCATCATTACGTACAACTTCTGCAGTCTTACTACATGAATGGTCCTGTTGGCTCATTGTATAAGAAAACACTAGCTCACTTGTTTAACATCAATCAAATGAAAACACCCATTTAAAAAAATTTATTTCATTGACCATAGGTTTCTTCACATGGTTAAGACTGGTTTCCCAAGACAACCAAGCAATATGATGTTTAGACTACATGGTTGTAAATTTTTCATATTTAATTGTCTTTCTGCAGAATGGAACTAACTTGTATGGTGCTCAGACGTTCTTTCTGTGCCTTGAAGATGCTAGTGGATCATCCTTTGGGGTGTTTCTTATGAACAGCAATGCTATGGGTAAAGGAACAAAAGAATATTCATAAAATGACAAACATACACAAAAGTGACTTTTATTCCCTTTTTATTGCACTATGATAAAAGGAATGGATCCTTTAAGAATAACTGAGCCATAACGTAAGGTCCTAATTATTCCATTCCTACCTTATTACTGTTGACTCATGGTTGCCATGTGTAGGGGATTCTCTTCTAGCTTTTCATTTCCCTGAATCTGATTGTCTCCATTGGAATATTTTGCATTCCAGAGTTAAGATAGTAAACCCTTCCCTATAATCTACTCTGAGACAGTTTCTTCCCATTGTTCTTCTCCCTCCTTAGCCTTGTACTTAGTGGACCCCAATGGCAGTTTCAGTACCTCCACAGGGCAAGAGGAGATGTATCAGCATCTCCCAAGGTTGCAGTGGGCGTAAAATACTAATCCCTACCCTCTTTGTAACTGGGGGTCATTGGGTTAGATCAGTGCTATGCAAAGTGGGGTCCAAGAATGGTTCACAAACTGTTTCAGTTCCACAGAAAGATGAATGTAGAAATTGGGGCTAATCAATGCTGAAGCATCCAAATGCATGCATGGACTTTGTCTAGTAATTCATTTTTGTGTTCTTTTGCAAAAGTTTCAGTTTGCAGTGAATTGAAAATTAAATTTAAAAAATCTAATCCTTCCCTGCAGTCTGAGAAGCACTGTAGGTAATCTAAGATGACTCTAGGATACCAAGTAGCTTAAGAATAGACTTAAAGAATATAAGGATTGTACAGGTTCAGGAAATTGAAAGGAACCAGAAATCAATCTGAGTCAGACTTCATGGTAAAGTTACAAGACCCTACATACTCCGTTCAAGTTGTTCTTATGACACAAGAACACATTTCAGTACATTTTGAGGCCTTTAATGCTGAAACAAACCAAGAATAAAAGGCAACTTCTGAGAATAGTGGTTGGAGCTTAAAGGGTATTTGAATGTATTATATAATTTCTGATTTTTTTCAGTTTGACTCTTGCTTGATATGAGATTCAAGAAAAACATTTAGGAGTAGACAGGTGACTCTTTAGAATGATATATATGTCCTTGGGAAAATAGATGGGAGATGTGAGGCTTGTCATGATGTCTAGAGGTGCTTGTTGTCTCAGAGAAGATTAGAATTTCTCTTAAGAAAGGAATTTGTGAAAACCGAGTATTTTGGGACTCTATTTAGGCGTTTGGAGATATCAGGAACAAGTGCTTTTAGATGCAAATAATTTTTAGGCACCAGTGGCTTATTCTGGGCACTTTCTTGAGCCTATTTGCTTTTTTTTTTTTTTAAGTCAGAGCATGGGTCCTGGTGGAAGGAACTGAGACACAACAGTCACCTGCTATTGAAGTCGGTCACTGAACAAATGCTTTGGCTCCCCTATGTATCAGTTTATCTCTTTGTATTCAAAATGTGAGACATTTGAATCCCCTACACATGGGGGTTCAAATGATTAGTGATCCTCTGGTCTAGAATTTTGTAGTTATTATTGTGGAATACTTCTAATTTTTATTTTCTCCTTTTTTAAATCTTTTAAGAGGTTGCTCTGCAGCCTGCCCCAGCTGTCACCTACCGCACCATTGGGGGTATTTTGGATTTCTATGTGTTCTTGGGAAACACACCTGAGGAAGTTGTACGAGAATATCTAGAGGTAAGTTTATGATATCATGATTATGATTGAGTAAATTCTACATAGAAAATATTTAAGAAAAGCATACTTTGTACAGTGTGACCTAAAAAATTCTGCAATTAAAATGTGGGACATTAAAGGACAGATCTCATGTATGCAATGGAAACTTATTTAATAGAATTTTATGTTATAAAGAGGTGAGAGAATATAAAGATGCCCTAAACATGACCCTATCCTCAATAATGGAAAAGGGACTGGAGAAATAGGCTAACATTTTGACACTAACTAATCAGTGCATTAAAAAATGGAATATTTTTTGTGCACTGAAACTGAACTTGAATACTGTTGATATACTCTCTATACAAGAATGAATATAGAAATGTTTTTTTTTACATTTAAAGACATTTATTGGTGTTTCAGACAACTGGCAAATAGCATTTAAACTTCATTGTAACCTTTATAAAACTTTCCATTTGTTATGCTCATTGCTCAGTTAGAATTTTAAACATCTTTATAAACTCATAGATTTATAGTCTTAGACCCAGGTTCCCCAGACTATGATTCTATAGATAAAGTATACTGTTACATTTATTCCTGTGTTTCTTATTTATTTATTCATATGTGCATACAATGTTTGAGTCATTTCTCTCCCCTTCCCCCACCCCCTCCCTTACCACCCACCCCTTCCCTCTCCCCCACCCCCTCACTACCTGGCAGAAACTATTTTGCCCTTATCTCTAATTTTGTTGAAGAGATAGTATAAGCAATAATAGGAAGGACCAGGGGTTTTTGCTAGGTGAGATAAGGATAGCTATACAGGGAGTTGACTTGCATTGATTTCCTGTGCATGTGTGTTACCTTCTAAGTTAATTCTTCTTTTTATTTATTTATTTATTTATTATTCATATGTGCATACAATGCTTGGGTCATTTCTCCCCCCTGCCCCCACCCTCTCCCTTACCATCCACCCCACCCCCTCCCTCTCCCCCCAACCCCCTCAATACCCGGCAGAAACTATTTTGCCCTTATCTCTAATTTTGTTGAAGAGAGAGTATAAGCAATAATAGGAAGGAACAAGGGTTTTTGCTAGTTGAGATAAGGATAGCTATACAGGGAGTTGACTCACATTAATTTCCTGTGCATGTGTGTTACCTTCTAGGTTAATTCTTCTTTATCTAAACTTTTCTCTAGTTCCTGGTCCCCTTCTCCTATTGGCCTCAGTTGCTTTTAAGGTATCTGCTTTAGTTTCTCTGCATTGAGGGCAACAAATGCTTTCTAGTTTTTTAGGTGTCTTACCTATCCTCGAAATCTTAAACGAACTGAAACTACCTTAAGAAAGGGGCTAAGGTAGAGTGAAGAAAATTAGAGGAGATAAACCAGTTAGGGTTATAATATATATATGCATGGAACTGTGACAAGGAAACTCCCTGTGTAGCTACGTTTATCTCAAACAAGCTAAAATGTCATGTTAAAAGAAAAAGAATATTGCTAACTTTCATTTCCGTATTTCTTCTAGCTCATTGGACGGCCAGTCTTGCCTTCATACTGGGCCCTGGGATTTCACCTCAGTCGGTATGATTATGGATCCCTCGATAACATGAGAGAGGTTGTGAACAGAAACCGTGCAGCACAACTCCCTTATGTAAGTAAGGCTTTAAATGGTTCTCTAAAAATAAAGAAATTCCCTGGAAGAATAAGACTAACTGCTCACACTTTACCTCTTGGAGTATTCTTTTCTTTTCTAAAAGAATTTTATTTTATTTTTGAATTAGCATACATTAGTAACCTGAGTGGATTTTATTATGTATTTCCATACATGCACAGTACATTTTGAACAAATTCAGATAAATGAGTTTTTTTGTTGGGTCAACCATTTTTTTACCTCAAGGAACCCTAGTTCTTTTTATTAGAAATTGTACTTAGAGACCACCATTATGGTGAGGAGGCAACTTGGTCTTGTGTCTATTTTTCTTTTTTCAAATTTTCTTCTCTTTTCTTTTTGAAGTTTTACTAAGAATTTATTTTAGTGTAACAGGACAAAGTAGGGAGAAATTTAAAGAGATGGGAGGAAAAAAAAAGAAAAGGGAGAAAGGATACAACCTGATAGAAGTGCTGGGGTGAGAGAAAATCTCCTGTTTTTCTTCTCCCATGTTTTATTAGTAAAATTTTCTTGTGTTATTGTATTAACTACATTTTACATTTTCATTTGAGCTCTTAAATTAATTCTCTCTATAGCTTAGATTATGCCATTTTAATACTTCTTGGTATTAAACATTAGTTCTTGGTTGCATTGTTTGACTCCATAGCATCATGGCAGAGACCGATCATAAAAGTGATAGAGTATCTTTAATATTTCTCCAAGATTCAGGTATAAGCTTAATTATTATGTTTAATTCAGGTAAAAAATGATGTGGATTCCTGATCCCCCTACTCTTGCTAATTAATATGCTTTAATAGATATTTTGAAGAGAAATTGAGAAAGTAGAGTAATTCTAGACCCCAAAGATGTAGGCCAAAAGAAGTATACTACTGGATACAGGCCCAAACCATCTAAATTAGCACATATTTTTGCACAGATAAAAAAACTAAAGCTATGTAAGGGACAATTAACTTGACCAAGACCACATTGCTAGTTGGTAACAGAATTTGTAATTAAATAGATTTTAAAAATCATATAACAAGTTATAGGTCCATCTAATTTTACATTGGTATTTTGGTTACTGTTGAATTGACAATAAATGAAATTTGTCTTTCTGCATAATGTAGTCATTTCATATCTGAAGTAGAGCTTCAGGAGATATTTTGGGATTGGAGGAAAGAAAACATGATGTGTAAAAGAATTGAGATTCAAAAGATGTAGTAACATTATGGGGAGAGTAGGAAATGAGAGTGGTGGAAGATATTTGCGTGGGTGGATCCACTCTCTATTTTGGCCACAGCCCTGCTTCTCATTATCCTCCAGCTCTGAAGGGATTTTTGGACATGGGGTGAGGATACAGAGGGGAATAGCACTTGAAGTAAGAGAGGCAGGATTGAGGGAATGCTCAGCATAGACAAATGGGACCTCATAAAACTAAAAAGTCTCTGCTCAACAAAGGAAATGGTCTCTAAACTGAAGGGAACACCCACAGAGTGGGAGAAAATATTTGCCAGCTACACATCAGACCAAGGACTGATAACCAGAATATATAGGGAACTTAAAAAACTAAATTCTCCCAAAACTAATGAACCAATAAAGAAATGGGCAAGTGAACTACAGAACTTTCTCAAAAGAAGAAATTCAAATGGCCAAAAAACACATGAAAAAATGCTCACCATTTCTAGCAATAAAGGAAATGCAAATTAAAACCACACTAAGACTCTCTACTTTTTATGTGATCCTTCTCACATATAGACAGACAAGACTGAATAGAAGATTATTAACTAGTTGAATACAGGTGGTGTTGAATTCTGCCAAGTTTAAGTGGGCGAAAGGATATAATACATACATCTAATGAAATATATTTATACTTTGAATGGCTTAATATGAGTGTAGCTATTATATTGGGGGCTTTAATGAGGAATGAGGTTTTAGAAGAGATGCAAATGGAAAAGCTCAAAGTCTCTAGAATAATTTACTTTTCTTTTCCACCACATTCCCTTAGAGGCAGACACCTGCATCTTGAGCAAGAGTAAGTTTCATTCTGGTTCCACTATTTTCATATAAAATTAGCAAATATTAAATACCAAAGACTTGAAGTAGAAGAGAAGTAACAAAACCAACTATGAGGCAATAAAATGAAAGAGAAGTGGGGGAAGAGAGAGTCCCTTATCTTGTGGATAGTCTGAAATGTATTTGATAGCCTTGGTGATATGTCATATATTATACAGTTAACCTGATTGCAGTGATGGGGATAAACCTTGTGTAAATAATGGATCATTTGTTTTTGAAACTGACCTGGGAAGAGAAGCACTTCAATGCCAGGACAGATTAGCTCCCTGTTTAGATCCCACCACAGAGCTGGCACTTATCTTGAATAATAACAGTGATAGTTTGGCTGATTAATTTGAATAGGGACATTTCTAGGTGCTAAATTGTGGATTGATGTATTCTTTCAGGATGTTCAGCATGGTGATATCGATTATATGGATGAGAGGAGGGATTTCACCTATGACCCAGTGAATTTTGAGGGCCTCCCTGAGTTTGTGGAGGAGTTACATACAAATGAACAGAAATTTGTCATCATTGTGGTATGTACTGCCTTCTTTTTTTCTTCCAAATAGGGGGAAAAATGTTCCTTATCATTATGCCCACTTCCTTCTCCATGGTCCCCCAAATCCCAGTCTCCTTTCAGTGCTTCCAGTTTAAAGCTAATTTTTTTGTTGTGTATTTCTTTTCCCTTCTTAGGATCCAGCCATCTCCAACAACTCTTCCTCAAGTAATCCCTATAGTCCATATGATAGGGGGTCAGCTCTGAAGATATGGGTGAATGGTTCAGATGGAGTGAATCCACTAATTGGGGAGGTAACTTAGTGTGCTGTCTGGGTCTGGTCAAGGGGCTGTGGTGGTATGTGTGAGCATGTGTTTTTTTGTTGTATGTTTTCAGATGCCTGTGTGTGGTGAGGAAAACTTTCCTTTGCTCTTTCTTCCTCAGATGCTTACCAGTCATCCTACCTGATGCAAGTCTCTCAGAATTCACTAAAAATAGCTCACTCATTGAATGTCCACTTCCTCACCTTCTCCCTCTTCAGATGACTTTGGTCTCTTTTCTTCCCCCATTACTTCACTGGCACTGATGTTACATGGCACTGGTTATCTTCTACTTCAGAAACTCAAAGGAAATGTTTCATGCCTCTTTCTTACTCATTTTCTCTGCAGTATGTAACCCACTTCATCACTTCTTTCTCAAATATTTACTTGCCATGTTTTTCATGAGGGTGTTACCTGCTGCTCCACCTCTAATAGTTCTGATGACACTTTTAGAGTATAGTGTCTGAGGGAAGCTGGGCAGGGAAGGAAGAGAGAAAAGTAAATGATGTTAGAATTCACAGATTATGATGGACCAGTTGAAGTTCACACAAAACACTTCCCCATTTACTGTTCCTAGAAATGAGAGTAGAGAAAGTGATAGGAAGAGAGAAGCAGAGTTGTAGACAAACAAGTTAGACAATGCCTCTATTCAAGGATTTATTCCTTAAGAACTTAGCCAGATTTTTTAAAAATAAAATTTTCTTTAAGAAGTTATTATTACCCCTGATATTTATTCCCTGTATTCCAAGCGATTCACCTTTTTAACTAAAAATGACCTTTGCCTGGCACCTCTTTCTTCATGAGCATAATAGGAATTTCTTTTCAAAGTTCTTTACTTTATTCTATATATTTACTGAATTTACTCTTTTTTCCTTACAGGTCTGGCCTGGAGTAACTGTTTTCCCTGATTACACCAATCCTAACTGTGCTATTTGGTGGACGAAAGAATTCGAGATTTTCTACAGTCAAGTAGCGTATGATGGAATTTGGATCGTGAGTTCTTAACACTTTGGTTCTTAGGTGACAAATAATCAAATGGCATGTATCTATGTCTGTGTCTTTGAATCATGGAACACAGAGAGAAGAAGAAGAAAGAAAACAAGTTTGGCCATAATTCCTACCATTTCATATCTTACTCTTCAAATAATCTTATCGAAACAGGTAGCTTAGAATCTGAATCATAATATTGGAGTTGGATGGAACTTAGGAATTTGTTTTCCTGAGTCCAGCTGTCCTTTTACAAATAAATGAGCTGATATTAAAAATAGTCATATGCTTCTTACATTGTCATAAAGTGCATGAATTATTTAATTGCCAGTTCTAGCTTTTTTCATTTGGACATGCTGGACAAATTGATGAGAGCCGAAGTTCCCAATTTAAAGTGCCATGTGGCTGCAGTAAGGAGAAATGTCTTGTATAATGCCAAATGAAAACAAATGGAAACCAACTGGTGCAGTCCATCAAAATTTAGGAAATTCTGGAGTTGAACTTTTTTCCTAATTATAAGAGAACTACAGGAAGTTTAAACAATGTAGGCAGCTAAGAAGATCAAAACAAAAGCCCTATAAATCAATATTTTGGTATGCATCCTTTTCAGCCTTTCATTTTCACAGCTTTGGCACATGCATACCCTCTTTTTGTCTCTCTTCCTAGCTCTCTCTTTCTCTCCAAACAGTGTAAACACATTGTGGTGTCTTATAAATCATTTTGTGGATAAGAAGACAGCTTAAATGCATCTCTCTCTCCATGTATATATATACATTTGTGTACTCACAGTTCTGCTTGGATATAGAGAGTATAAATTGATAATTATGACATTGCACATATTGAAATATTTTTTGCCTAATATTTTTGGGAATTGTTCACTTTTAGTGATTTTAGACAGTTAACATTTTGAAAGGATTCTAAGAACCTTCTCCATAAAGTCTTTAGTGGGTAGGGAAGACTGGAGCATCCATTTCGTTCCATGTACATATATGGACCCCTTTTAAAAAAAGAAATGTCTGGAATGATTTCTCGGATTCTTTAAAAAAGACACCATCAATACAATGCTATGAAACATATTTTACTTAGTATTTTTTGCTCTTTGTCTTGTAGGATATGAATGAAGTTGCAAACTTTGTTGATGGCTCAATTTCAGGATGTTCCACAAGCAACCTCAATTATCCTCCATTCACTCCCAGTAAGTTTTCCTAGTCAGCCAGATTGAAGTGACAATGTGACATTTTAAATTCATAAGGATAGATTTGAACAACATGGCTCGGGAATCTGTATGTAAGCGCTCACAGAGAAAGGAAAATGTGGGTAATACATAAAGAAAATTGAGAAAGGAGATAAAAATGCTCTATGGTTTCCTAAAAGAGACATAAATTGCAATGGGACTGTGATTCTTCCTCCTACAGTTCATGCTACTTCTAGGGGATGATCAAGAGAGGATATGATGTAGGAGCCAGGGGTTATTGGTTAGTTTATGTTGCTCTCAAGTATGCACCCCCACAAGCCAGGGCGTAACAGAGAGAGGCGAGATGAGTGGGCTTGGTCCTCAGGAGAGGGTGAAGTCTGGTAACGTCCACAATATGAATGACAGACAAAAGCCACAGAATGAAATAGCTCCAGAGCCTATGGCCTAGGAAGTCAGTGAATGTGTTACTTTCAATCTTTGATTGAACTTTGAACAACACTATCAGGATATGGTGTTGAAATTGCAGTATTGATTGTAGTTTGAGGAAAGCTAAGGGCACCAGTACAAATTGTATCTTGATTGAGAAAGGAATGAAACTTCTAGGATTATAACATTTTGTGACGATTTCATCTTCATGGCAAATGAGGATATTAGAGCGGAGAGTCATATCTAATGTTGAGGGGCTTGGATGGGAGGCTAAACAGTTCATATTTCATTCTTTTGGTGATAGAAGCTATTCATGTTTTAGTTAGAGGGAAATATGATAGTCCAGTGGTTTTTATAAGTGTTAATCCACAAATTAAAAGATAGATCAAAAGTAAATAAGTTATTAAGAATCTATTGCAATAAAGTCGAAAGGTGGTTTGGATCTGAACCACGGTGGTGCACATGAATAAAAGCCAGATTAGAAATCACTCTTTATAATGCATGATCAAGGAAAGAGCAAATCAGAAATTAACTTACTCTTTTATTCAATTTCTATTCTTGGACCATTTAAATTGGTTTAAAGAATTCAGATTAAACTTATTGTCCAACTGGATTCTTTTGCTTCCATATGCCTATCTCTGGTCACATGAGAACTTGGGTGAAAGATATGTGAGGGTCAGCACAATTTATTTATGTATTAGACAGACTACCTCAAGAGTATTCTGATAGTGAGAAAACAGTATGACTGCTCATAGGGTGGACATAGGAAGTGCCTCTTCAGGGGAGCCATCTTTTCAAGTGGGATAGTCAAAGGGTAGGAAATGTGCATTTAAGGCTCTCACTGACTGATTCCTCTTTTTTTTCAGGTGTCCTGGATGGATTCCTGTTCTCCAAGACTCTCTGCATGGATGCAGTGCAGCACTGGGGCAAGCAGTATGATGTCCACAATCTGTATGGCTACTCCATGGCGATTTCCACAGCAGAGTGAGAACATTACTGCTATAGAATAATATGTGATCAAAGTATGAGTCTGTGAGATGCTGGGTGACTCACACATAGTATTTGTTCAAATCTACATAATAAATATGGTTGTCATTAATGGAATGAATGAGGCAAATGCTTCATACATAAGGAAGAAGAAAGCCAATAAATACTTGTGGTGTGTGTAAAATGAAAGAACAAGTGAGAAAATGAGTGCAAGGAAAATTAGAAGAAAGAAAGATAAGAAATTTGCCCTTGATCAAACAGCTAATGCATTGCAAAAGCATAATTTAGTCCTGAGTCTAAAGACAATATATTTTCCCTTCTTACACACTGTGTAGCAGGAATACAAAGGGTTAAATAGCCTGGAGCTATCTAACTACATTGAGGTGTTAGATTTGGCTCAGCATCTTTTTACTGAGCTCTCTTTACCTGTGTGTGAAATTAAATGTTATAGTGAGGAAAAAGTATTTAGAATTTATTCAACTTGCTATCTAACTATAATAGCAGGAAACTGGATCAAAACCACATTAATTCATTATTAAATCAATGGGTATAACTTTAGCCATTTTGAAAGTAATTGAAAAATTCTATATAAAAGTCAATTACTCTACCACTGAGTTACACCCCCAGCCTCACAAAAGTTAAAATTATGGATATTATCTAAAAGTTAAAATTATGGATATTATCTACTTATATTTAGTTATAAAAGTGCACACATGCATATAAATTTAAAATGTCTTCTCTTATCAAAAAATTATTACCAAAGTATTTCTAATTAAAAGTGGAATTTCCAAGGGTTGTTAGTAAGTCCATATTTGTGTATTTCTGAAGTCTTATGTTATGAAAGATTACTGTTTATATATCTCTGTAAAGTTAAATTTCATCTTTGTTTTAGAAAAACTGTATATCTCTAATTACCAACCTTTTTGAGACTGCTGTTGAAATTCTTAGAAATTATGGGGTTAATGATGTACATAAAATACCTTAAAACTAAACAAGACAAGATATGAATGTGGTTAACAGTGCAGGCTACTCCTAACAGCCATTTTAACCCTGTTGGGAAAATGGGATGAGAAGAAGGAAGTATTTTCAAAATACTGAATATTTTTGCTGTATCTCCTGCTCTGAGAATGTCTAAGATCTCACATTGACCCCTTAAATCTCTTCCTTTCTAGAGCTATCAAAACTGTGTTCCCTAATATGAGAAGCTTCATCCTAACACGTTCTACCTTTGCGGGATCTGGCAAGTTTGCAGCCCATTGGTTAGGAGACAATACAGCCACCTGGAACGACCTTCATTGGTCCATCCCTGGCATGCTTGAGTTCAACCTTTTTGGTATCCCTATGGTGAGTTCCTATCCTAAGCTCTCTTATGCATCTCAGTCCATAGAAAGCCTTGTTGACAAGTTTTCAAACCATAAAGCTTGACATGGTCTAGGGATTTATTGTCTGAAAGCATCAACTTAGATATGGCTCTGATACCACAACATCCTTTCCTGTAATGTCTTCTGAAGATAGAAAGTGCAACTTTGACAACCTCTGCAATATTTCTTTCTATTAAAGTATAGCATACATGCAGAAAAGTGCATAAATCCTTCATTCTAAAGCTGATGGATTTTATACACCAAGCATGCCAGGGTCTCTAGCATTCACATGAAGAAACAACATTGCTAGCACTCTAGAGGCTTTGGCATCCTTTTTCTTAAATTCGACATATACATTTATTGAACTCTTACTGTGTCCAATTAAGTATGCCAGTGAGTGTGGAAAAAAAACTCCAAATATACAGAAACAAAAACACCTTCCCTTTCTCCAAAGAGTTAGAATTTAGTAAAAAGAAACATATATGTAAACAATTATGACAAAGTAGGTTAAAAGAGCCGGTAGGTATATATGTATTAAGTGTTATAGGAGACCATGAGAAAGAAATTTATTAACTCTGATAAGACTATAGGAAGGAAGTTGAGGAGCTTCATAGAAAAGATAGTACTTGAACTTAACCTTGAAAACTGACTAATGAGGAGAGAAACTTCAACTATATTGTGTTGTAAGAACTTTACAGATGTCACATGGTGCCCCCAGTAAAACAATAATGAAAAATTTTAAAAAGATTGAGAAATAAATATGGGCAAAGATAGTGTGAGGGTGAGAAACTGATGCATGCATAAGGACTGGTGTGTAGGATCACCAATTTACTCTGTAAAAGGTAGATTGGAATCAGGTTTTGAAGAGTTAATAGGATGAATATCAAGGAGATTCTGGAGTCTTTTGACAAGGTGAGTAACATGATTTGAGTTATGCTTCGGAAAAGTGCATGGTAAAACAATACTTTTAACAATATTACTAGTTACTATTCATCAAAAAGCATATGATATGCATTTTAGCACTGAAGAGAGACTGGAGCATGGGAAGGGGAAATAACTCACTCCATGTCATCCAGCAGAAGAGCATGGTCACAGGATATAAGCAAATTCTGACCACACTTCATTAGCCTTCCCAGTAAGAAGTTTTTGCACAAAATCAGTTGGAAGATCCCTGGTAGAAAACAAAGGAGAATGGTGGAAGTGAGGCACAAATGCACTGCTGTCTGTGTTTTCTTCCAGGTGGGTGCAGACATATGTGGCTTTACACTGAACACCTCTGAAGAGCTCTGCAGGCGGTGGATGCAGCTGGGAGCATTTTATCCATTTTCCAGGAATCATAATGGCCAAGGCTACCAGGTAGGGCTCCTGGGAAACAATAAAAATTGGCATACATAGGACTGGATCTGCTTGTATCCTTCCTAAGAAATCTGCCATGCCATGGTACTTTACTTATGCTTATTTGTTGTATCATAAAATGAGCCATTGTCATAGCCTCTCATTTACTGCTGCCATTAGGAAATGGGGAGTCTGAGAAGGTTTTCAGTCAAACCTATGTAATACTTCATCTATCTTCTCATTTTGTAATGAGAAGCAAGTGGGGGAATATTTCAAAATTATTTAAATGGCAGTTTCTCAAAAGAGCACTTCCAAGACTGGGTGAAATAGGATGAGTTGCACATTGCAATGGCCACCTGCTTGGTGAAATGGTCCACCATTGCCCAGCTGTACTGCTCCTAGGCGAAATTTGCAACCTAAACTCCAGCTTATTTAGAAAGGAAATTCTTGGTTGTGCTGAATGGGTTCTGGAATTTTCTGGATGTCTCTGCTTTCCTAGAGCCAACCCACAGTTTCAAACTCTTATTTCCTCCCAGGACCAGGATCCTGCCTCGTTTGGAGCTGACTCCTTACTGCTGAATTCCTCCAGGCACTACCTTAACATCCGCTATACTTTACTGCCTTACCTCTACACTCTCTTCTACCGTGCTCACAGTCGGGGGGACACAGTGGCCAGGCCCCTTCTGCATGAGTAAGTTTTTCCAATTTAAAGGAATTACATTAATATAATTGAGGTGACATTGACTATGTCATAGCATATCAGAGTAAAACTTAAAACAATCCAAGCAGTTATTCAGATGTGTGTTTGTGTGTGTGTGTGTGTGTGTGTGTGTATGTGTGTATGTGACTGGAATACCCAGTTGGTATTTGTAAGGCTACTGCTATGTAGGAACTTTTGTAGGACTTAAGTAGTATAGCCTGTTAACTTTTGGAGAGAGAGCTAGACTAAAAGTTATATGACTCAAGGACTTTTCTTTGTTCTGTCACCAGGTAACTGTATCTCAGACAAGACTCTTTTTTTCAGTGCTGAGTATTGAACCCACAACCTTACACATGCTAGGAAAGTCTTCTACTACTGAGCTATACACCAGTCCTCTTTAGTCCTAATTTAAAAGATTTTCTACCTTGATTCTAACAATCTCTTCTATAATGTACTATAAGGCCAATATTCTGTTCAAGGTCTAGGAATAAGCCTGTAATTTGCAAATGAAAAAGAACCTGTATAATTCCATAATTCTTATTTGTCAGCCAATGAACATCTCTGATTTAACTTTGCAAAAGGGCACTTAAGAACCTTTGTTTGTCAAAATACAGTTCACTCCCTTAAGTGTGTGACAGGTAACTATCTACATTCTTATATATTCATTTTTGGGTTAAGTTTTTGCTTACTCCTGAAATTCCCAGTTAAAAGGCAAATATCCTAAAAAAGGAAAAAAATAAAAATTTGCATTATCTGGTATTTTTTGATGATCAGACCCAATTCTGCCTTGATAGTCATCTGAAGTGCTAAAGTATATTGGTTATTTTACTTATTTTTTAAAGGGAGATATGGCAAATAAAATTACAGCCTGGGACCTGCCTAGCATAGGTACTGGCATAGGAAGTTCTGTCCAATCAGAGGGAAGAACAGAAAAGCCCATGGCCTGGGGAAAGGGGATTTTTTGGAGGTGGGAGTGGGAAGAGGTTGGGGTAGAGTAGGTGTCACAGAATAATTGTGGGTGTTTTCCTGGTCAGTTTGCATACATGCTTTGGACAGATTATAGTGAGAGCTACCAGAAACATTGCCCACATCTCAGTGACCTGTGTCTTTGCTGTCTAGATTCTATGAGGACAGCAACACTTGGGATATAGACCGACAGTTTTTATGGGGGCCAGGCCTCCTCATCACTCCTGTTCTGGATGAGGCAAGTATTCTCAGAGACATGCTAGGGGTGTCTGCTTCTGTCTCTGTACTCCTTCCCCAAACTCTTCTCTCTTCTTTTTATTCTAAACCAATTTCCAACATCTGTGGCTGAGTCAGCCTTGAACAGAGTATGCAGGGGTTTGGGGAAGTGGGAATTCTGATATAAATTTTCCTTTCTAGAACTCTTTTTCTCTAGACTAAATTCCCAACCATTTTAAAAAGAACCTACTGGCCACTTTTGATTTAAGAATGAGTCTGTGGGTGTTCAGATTATCCTAGCCTAGCCTAGATCATTACTGCCCTGGACAGATTAGAGCAGTGACCAGCTTGCTCTCTTTTAAATCACACTAGTCAGAAAAAAAATATACAGTCACACTAGTAAGGATGTGATTGTTGTCTCCACCACTCAGGACCTGTGTGATCTGCAGCAAGGCACTGTGCTAGTTTCTCATTGGTAATGGTGGAAAAATTAAATGAGATAGTCAATGTAAAGTTGAAATTTTTCCCCACAGTACCTTTTATTATTATTGTTGTTGTTATTATTATTATTCCTAACGTGGTCCCATTTGGAATTTTCCCCTGGACTGCCAAGTTACAGCTTTTCTTATCTTTATTAGATGAAAGACAAAAGAAAGACATGGCTCAATAACAGAGAAAGGTCATGTTTATCCTGTCTAAATCTGGTTAAGAAGTTTTTTAGGGAAGGCAAGGTAATCCATTTTATCCCTTCAGAGGCTGAGTCAAGAAGGATGATATTTTGTTTTGATTCTAGGGTACAGAGGAAGTGATAGCATATGTGCCTGATGCTGTCTGGTACGACTATGAGACTGTAAGTAGCTGGGATTTTTCTTAAACTTCTCAAGACCACAGCTGCAGCTGAATAGATAAGATACCTCCTCTGAGGTATCTTCCTTTAGTTTCACAGAAAAGCCTAGATACAGTGAGCCCGTGTCATTGAACACCAGTCACAATGAAATCTGAAAAAAATAATTCCCTATGAAAACTCAGATGGTATCGCATGAGCAAATATTGGCTTGGCTCATGGGCAATTTGAGCTTGGTCAAGAATCAGATTACATGTGCAGAACTATCAGTTCATATCATATGTATTGAATGGGTTTAGCATGGCATAAACATTATTTCACACATCTCAACTGACCACCAAACATGTTGCTCTTTGACTGCCTGAGCAGACAGTAATTCAACTGAGAGGAAGGGGAGAACACTGTAGAGAACTCAGCACATGGGTGGCCACTGGAGGCCCTTGTGCTGTGAGGCCAATGTGTTTTATTTATCTGCCTGCATCAGGGAGGTCAATTGAAATGGAAGAAGCAAAAAGTTAAGATGGAACTTCCTGGAGATAAAATCGGGCTTCATCTTCGTGGCGGCTACATCTTCCCCACACAACAGCCAAACACAACTACTGTAGCAAGGTATAGCATGAAATATTCTTTTAGGAAGAAGTTGACAAAGCTGGGCATTTCTGTGTCCATCTCTTGTCCAGAGGATGCCGAGAAGTACTATGTAGAGTGTGGAGCAGAAGGATGCTGGCGTGTGTGAGTGTGTGCACATGTATGTGTGTATGGGAGAGGGGATCATCAAACTCTGTTCTTGGCTTTCCTTTGGCCTCTTTTCAAGAAACTGTTGATCTAGAGCTGCACCCAGATGGATTTTGAAAGGGCTTAATCTCTGTTATTCTTTAAATCCTTTAAATTTTTCACAACACATGAACAGGTTGACTGTTCTGCCTCCCTAGTTTGCCTAAGACTGTTGCAGTGTTAGCCCTGAAAATCTTACATTTTGTCAGACTCAATTCTGGGCAAGTTGCATGTCAGCTGATAATCTACCTGGCTTGGCCTGACCACTTATCCATGACTCTCTTCTCTTGCCTCACTTATTCTCATTTATAGATTTGGGATCCACTATCCATCCTCCTATAGTCTTAACTTCCTGTTCCTTTTCTCCACTGAGTCGTTTCTTATTGGTGATTCAAAACTGGGTTTAAACATGGAAATGTCACGAGAAAACTCCCTGTAGAGCTATCTTAAACCAAGCAAATGTCTTTTTTCAAAATGGAGAACTGGAAGGTAAAACAGGTCCTATTTGGGGGTTGGTAGCAGTGGGAGGGGGGAGGATATAAAGAAAGCATGAAGGAGACTGAGTGTATTAGAAATATGATGTATTCATGTATGAAAATGGAAAAATGAGACCTGTTGAAACTATTCCAGGAATGGGGGAGAAGGGGATAAAGGAGAATGATGGAGGGAGTGAATTCAACTGTGATATATTGTAAGAACTTTTATAAAAGTCACAATGTACCCCCAGGACAACAATAATATAATTCAAAAGACTGGGTTCAAGAATTACCTCCTCCTGTAAAATTCAGATCTCCCCTACATTGTTGATTTTTCCTTTTTACTTCTTTGATTCCTTATCTCTGTGTCACCCTGGGGTTGTAATCTCTAAAATGACCTGGCTGCACCACTGTTGTCTAGGATTTCTTTCTCTTCTCACTATCTGGTTTGGAATGGTAGCTGTGGCCACAGGTTTTACTGTAACTACTGTGGTGATTCTGATGCTCACATTCTTGCTTCCTACATTAATGCCGACGTGTGACATGTTTCTGTTTCCTGTGTCATTACTGATACTGGAGTAATATGCTCCTGACATTTTTGCCCTTGTTCCTGAAGAAAAGCAGTACAATCTGTAATATTTTCCATTTGAAATTTTATGGAAGCATATAGCAAAATTCTTTGGACTGTAAGTCCTTATCTCTTACATAAATCTCATTTCCCATAGCCGACAGAACCCTCTTGGTCTTATCATTGCCCTGGATGAGAAGAAAGAAGCAAAAGGTGAACTTTTCTGGGATGACGGGCAAACAGAGGGTGAGTGTTGTTTTGAGAATATTGCAATTTCATAACCTGCATTTTTAAGTTTAGTTCTTTACTCCTGGTGATCATTCAGCTGTGGGAGAAATCTCATCAGCTTCAGTAGCATTTTTTCTTACGTTGAGAGATGAGTTTTGTTTACAGTTGCACCAGTCAGTGGCCATGATAGATGAACCAGAGATGGAATGAAAAAATGTTGCAATATCTCAGAATTCTCCCATTTGCAGGGCTCTCATTTTATTATGAATGAACACCTGGAAGACATAGTTTCAAGACTGTTCTTATATAATTCAACTAATAATGTAAATATCTTCATCAAAATACTTGGGAAGAAATGGTGATGATACAAAAACCATACCCATGTCAGTGGCACTGTGGGATTATGCTTTCCTACTATGTGTGTTTCTATCCCTGCTTTAGCACATCATTTTGACTCCAGTGTAGTAATGACTTTTGTGAATGTAGCTTAGGACACAGAATCCTATAAGACATATACCTTGACAGCACTTGGAAGAGAAGCTTTTTCAAAGTTTTGATAGAAGGGAGAGGGCAAAACTGTAGCTTGGTCTTGGAGATTCTGTTGATAATATGGTCAATCTCAAGACCTGGGTTTTGATTTTTTAAAATAGTTTTTAATTATATTTTTGAATTAATGTACATTAATAACAAGAGGAGGTTTTATCATGGTAACTCTATACATACATTCAGTGTACTTTGACAATAGCACCTCCTCCATTATATTTCCATTCACCCTCCTTTTCAGTGTTTGGTGGATTTCATTATGTTCTCTTCATGTGTATATGTGTAGCATACTTCTATCCTCTTCACTCCTCAGTATTCTTTTCTTTTCCCTTTTCCCCTCCCATTGATCTAGACCATTCACCTATCACATTCATGTCCCATTAACATCACCACCATCACCACCATGTTCTCCACAAGTGAGGGAGAACATGGAACATTTGCCTTTTTGAGCTTGACTTATCTCATTCAGCATGATCCCCTTCCATCCTTTTTCCTGCAAATGGTATAATTTCATTTTTCTTTATGGATGAGCAATATTCCATGGCATTTATATACTATGTTTACTTTATCATCCCATTGGTTGTTGGGCATCTTGGCAGTTAAGCTATTATGAAGAGAGCTGCAAAAACATGGGTATGTAGGTATTGGTCCTGTAAATGATTTACACTCCTGGATACATGCCCATGAGTGGTATGATGGAATCATAAGGTAGATCTATTTTTAGTTTTTTGAGGATCATTCATAATGATTTCCATAATGATTGCACAATTTACATTCTCACCAACAGTGTATGAGGGCTCCTTTTCCAAGACCTGGGTTTTAAAAAGCCTTTCATTTATTCTTATTTAAATTTTTTAGTTGAAAAATATTGAGCATATTCAAGAGTCAGCTTTAAGAAAAGGCAGGTGAAATTTGTTCTGTGGTAGGCAGGCCAGTCTAACTTGTCCTTCTTGTGTTTTCAGATACTATGACAAAAAACATTTATATTTTCTGTGAGTTTTCTGTCAGCCAAGTAAGTAGCACATTTTCATGAATTTTAGGTGTGGGCTTGTATTTGACCATTAGCATATATGTGCTTGAGTATATGTGTAATTAAAGTTTATAATTTCATTTGCATTAATGACTGTAGGTAAGTATATTTCCATTTATGACTCCCAATAATTGCATCCTTTGTGTTATCCAAAGGAGACAATTTATAAATCAAAGCAGCTGGTGTTTTCAAATACTGTTTACTTAAATGTCTCTGTGTGTGCTTCTAGGTTTTATATTACCTCAAAGTGTTATGTAATAACTTTTAAGTCACCAAGCACACATTAGTAGAGAAATCTCAGAGACATCAGAACAGGGAGAGTGTGGGGTCTGAGACAGAGCATCTGAGTGACTGAGAAATCTGTGGATACTTTTTGTGCTAACTTGTGCTTCATTATGTTGCAGAACCACTTGGATGTGAATATTTCACATTCAGCCTACAAGGACCCCAATAATTTAGCATTTCAGGAGATTAAAATCTTTGGAACAGAGGCACTTAACAGTATTACAGTCAAGCAGAATGGTGTCCTGAGTCAAATGTCTCCTAAAGTGACTTATGATCCTAACCTGAGGGTAAGAATCCATTTGGTTTATGTGGTTTTTCAAGAATTCTTCATAGCATTCTAGTGTTCTTTCCTGCTAAAAGTTGTGTGGGTTCTAGAAGGACCAGAGCATCTGTGAGATCAGGGAAAGTCAGTGTGTTAGAAAGGAATGTGACGATGAGGAATTGGTATGAGCTAGAATGAGTTGGAGAGATACTGGAGAACACAGACAAGGTCCAGTTGTTTTCATGCCTACTGTTTCCTCTGCCTCTTACTCTTCTGCCCTTTTTGCTATCTTCATTTTCAAAGAAGTAGTTATTATGGGCAGAGCAGACTTAGGAAATGGGGTGGGAGAAAGGGTTAGAAGAAAAAGGATCTGAAACCTGACGGTTGGTGGCAGTAAGGTGGGAGGCAGGAGTCATGCAAATGAAAATTTGAGGTACTTTTTAATGCATTGACTTATACTACATGTATATTTATATAATATATATATATATATATAGACTCACAACATATACATTCTCAAGAAATACTATAAGAGCAATAATTTGAAAATCTTATTCAATGGCTACTTTTTTGGTTAGTTGTTAATGGTAAAATAATTTTTCATCACTTGTAATGAGATCTGAGTTTCCTGATCTTCTTGTAGTTCTTCTGGTGCTTTAGCATCATTAGTGATCCTTTGCCAAGTAATCCTAATCATGTGTGCAGATCCTCCTGGCAACAGAGCTTCTGGGTCACAATGGGGTTTTAAGGGAATCTTCTAAGTCTAGTGAAAATTATCCAAGTAAGACTTCTATTATAATGGCATTGGACATGTCCAGGCAACAATTATTGAGAATGAACCTCTTATAAATTTACATTAAAAATTTTAATTTTAATGTACTATATTGTTGGTTCTACATATGGCAAAGTACAAATCAATTGAAGGATGCAGGTGTAAAAACACACTTGATTCACTTATGTCAGATAAGTTAATAAATATAAGGCCAAAAGAACTCTTTCAATGTTTGAATTTGGGTGATGGAGGGACATAATTTATACACACAAATCTATTGGGAAGGGAACAGGGAATTCAAGCCAACATATGGAAAATGTTAGCTTATGTCTTAATTGGTGATCAAGGCTTAATGGAATAGTCAAGCACAGATTCTTAAAGAAGGCAGGACTTAGGTGGACACTGGCAGATGGTATGTCAGGTATGGATGTGTGAGGGACAATTGATAGGATACCTAAAATAATGGAGAGTTCTTGGCATTGGTTCAATGGCTCGAGATTGAAAGATTGAGGTCTTTTCTTCACTTGTGATTGGAAATGGCTGTTTGATTCTAGTCACCATGCCTCTGCTCCAGAAGTTTAAAAAAAGAAGAAGAAAAATGAGGAAGGAGAAGGCAATGGTGAAGGTGAAGAAAGTAGTTGCTTAAATCAAGAAGAAACTCTTTCCAGCAACTCTCATTATGCTTGAACTTTTTTGTGGCCACAGCTATACTGCACTGATTAAAATTTGCTATTGATTAGGAAGTTTGGTATTTTAATCTGAAATAGTAGGAAGGGCACATTTCATATGAAGAATGCAGCTAGCAATGTATTCCATAATTGGGTACCATTTTTTTAGAATGGGCATTTGTCTATGTAAAGAATTCTAAGTTGTTATACCAGAATAATCCAGTCTAGCATTTGCTTTTGGAATGAGATAAGTTTGGATAGGATGAAAGTTTTGCTCAGGTTTGAGAGGCTGACATGTCAAAATAAGAAAGTCATACTTGATTTAATTCTCAAAGGGTCTTTTATAATGATTCTTGAATTGAGGTATGATTGGAAATGGAGATAGGGGATAGGGATTGTCAGGACAGGAAAGTGCAAGATGGTTTAGACTAGGAGAAGACTGGGAAAAAATGATGACCCTTAAAATGTGATTTTATTTGCTATGGGTAAATTAGTTTACTTTGTAAAGTGCTATTTAAACAGGCAAAATATTTGTATGACCTGAAGAGAACCCAGAGTGTGGAAAGAGCTATTTAAGTAAGAGCCAAGGATTAAAAAATATAGAAAGATATTGAATATTTCAATTGATGAGTGTGTCTCAAAAAATGGTTTCAAGTTTTAAGCAGAAGGATGTAGAGTAAGGAAGAGCAGGGATGTTAGAAATGGAAGGTAATATGGTAATCTGTTCAACTCACCAATTTTAAGATGACAAATCTAACTCTAAGAATTGATCTATTTATAAGATTCCAGAGAAAAGTGAGGATGAGAACCCAGGACATATGGTTTTCATTGCTCTGTTCTTTTTACTATCTCAGACAAGTGGGGGATATGGATTTGCTCAATTTGGAAAGAGCAATAGAGAGACTTTCTGAAAAAAATTAAAGAAGGGGCAGACGGGTCAGGGAAGTAGCAAAAATGGGGTAATTGCAATAGGTTATATTGGGGTTGATTGTTTCCACAAACACAGTAAAGTACAAGGATCTGCTCCAGACCTGACGATTACCCTTTTGCCACTGAATAGTAACCTTACATGTAGACATCACTCTTTCTATAAGCGACGAAATATGTTACTTACATAATGACAGTATGGTCTCATATCCATCTGTTTCTTTCCTCCCCAAAACTTTCAGGTCAAGCAGGGATTGTCCTGAGGATGAATTTCCTTGTGCCTTTTCCACAGGTTGCAGTTATCACAGAAATTAGTCTCACCCTGGGAGAAGCATACACGGTGGAGTGGGACACCAACATACGGGATGAGGAGAAAATAGACTGCTATCCAGATGACCATGGTGTTTCTGAAGCCAACTGCACAGCCCGTGGCTGTGTCTGGGAGGTAACCTTGCTACTGAGGGTATTAGAGAATAAGATCCTCTGCAGCTAACCTGTGATTTCATGAGCAAAGCACCAATGCCTAAGTATCCACTAAAAATCCATGCAAAGAGGGGGCCTCCAGTGGATCCTCATCATGATATGAAGAGTAGGTGGGATAAGAGTGGGTGCTTTAATAAATATTTCACTTGGAGGCCAGGAATTAAAATCTTTTCCACTAGCCAATGAAATAAAGTGAATAAGTGATGTGATGGCTTTTTCTCCATATAGATTGCCATTTTCTAACCCTTTCTATGACATAACATTAGGACCACATGCTGCTCTGATACTGACTTTGATTTTCAGATACCCAGTTCTCTTGGAGCTCCTTATTGCTACTTTGTCACTGATATGTATTCTGTCAGCAACATTCAGTATAACTCAGATTGGGCCATGGCTGACATCTCTTTGGAGTCTCCTTACATCAATGCCTTCCCCTCCACTCCTGTGAACCTCCTGCGTCTGCTTGTTACCTACCACAGCAATGAGATGCTGCAGTTCAAGGTAAACACGTAATTGTATCAGGTGTCAGTAAGTTCCTTTCAGTTCAGTTACCCTGCTAGTCATTGTCTTGGAACCCTAAACTAAGTATATTCCATTTTCAAATAGACTAGATCATTATCCCAATGCAAACAGCAATGACAAATCCTTGATAGAGAAGTGAGACCTTTCCGAATTTGCATTTTGAAAAGATTACTGTAGCTACTAGATAGGAAATGATTGTGATACCAAGGTGTGGAAAGTCCAGGGAGGAGCCTACTAGTTAGGTTGTTTTATTGCAGGATTGAACTTGGATATATGTAGGAAGGAAGGAGTAAACGAGGATGTGTTTGAGGCTGAGAGGTTGGAATGACACGACCTGCACCCTGAAGGCTTGGGGGAGTTGAGAAAGAGGGAAGACTAAAGCATTATTGTACGTTTCCAGCTTGTGTCTGTGTGGATATAGTGAATATTAACTGAATTGAGGAAACTGTAGTGGTTAATGTTTGCATAGTATGAGAGGATGAGTTCAGTGTTAAACACTGAATTGGAGGTCCCTGTGATATAGGCAACAAAAACGAGAGTGCTTCTTTCCCTTCCATCAATGGACTGGGGTGGGCTAGTCATTCTTTTAATAATTTCTCTATTAAGTTGTGAACTTGTTCAAGACCAGGCTTCCTCCTTTCTTCTTGGTGATTCTGATCTAAATCAGAGGCTAGTAGAATGTAAGCACTATGTAAATGCTTTGAAATTGTAGCTGTTTTGAATTATATGATGTGTTGTTAATTATAACCACTGTCTGTACAATACGACAGCAGAATGTATGAATTCTCTTTTTTTATTTTCATATTATTGCTGTACTAGGGGTACCTTGTGACATTTACAAAAGTGCTACATTATATCTTAGTTATATTCACCCCTCCATCATTCTTCTTTATTGCAATCCCCCCATACAATGTATACACTCTGTATCTCCAATTAAAAATCAATTAATTCTTGTCTAGATTTATGATCCCAACAACAGCCGATATGAAGTCCCAGTCCCTGTGAACATCCCCAACATTCCATCTGGCACCTCTGAGACTCGACTCTATGATGTCCTCATTAAAGAGAATCCATTTGGGATTGAAATTCGCCGGAAAAGTACAGGCACTGTCATGTACGTGGCTTCTGGTCTTATTTGGAAGTAGTGGTTACCTAAAAATTCCTAAACATGCCAGGCCCATGGTGATTGGAGCTAGCCTGGCTCAAATTATCACACTTTCCATTCCAGATCCATGAATAAGTGATTTCCTTCAGACTGATCTTATGTGAAATCTTTGTCCACTTAGAATGATTACTGAGGCAGCTACTTGTATCTGGAATTCACCCAACAAGTATTTATTAGGTACCACCTCTGTGTTGGGTGCTGTTCTAGTTCCTGTTGCCATAGACAGAACAGGTGTTTCTTTTTGTGAAAGAAGTGATGGTTTATATTATAATATAAAAGGAAGTTGATATTGTGGTAAGTGTGGTTTAGGGAGAAAGGACAGTGTCATCAGTGTTTTGTGTTGGTTACTGCTTTTGGTATAGTAGTTGAGGAGGGCTCTCTAAGTGTTACTTGTGCCCCCACTAATAAGGTCTGCCTCCTATTCTGAATGTTCACCCTCATTAAGAAAACAATGGTATTATATGTGTATATTCTAATGTGAATGTATGAATATAAAAATGAATGTACTTGTACTTTTGGCCAAATGGCAGAGAGAAATTCTTAACTTGGCCTTGGTCATGAAACAGCCCAGAAATATGCATATGGAGATATTCTTTCTTCTGATCTAAGTACTCCTGGGGGTGGCCTGTTCTCACTTCCATGTGGAATTTCTTGGAGCAAACCTAATCTCTAGGGTCCCAGTGACATGAGGATGAGATAATTCTTGAGATAGGGAATGGATCAGCTAGGAGCTCTCCATGTGCTATTCTGAGGGAAGGGAAAATATTTAAGAAAATGAAAAATTGTGTACATAGTTGGGGGTAGTAGGGAACTTCCCAGGGCAAGAAATAAATTAAGTCTAGTGCAGTAAGTGAAGAGGGGAAGGTGGGAGACAAAGCTGGGTTGTTTGGTGAGCTTCAGATCAGTGAAAGCATTGAATGATTCATAAGGTGTTTCCATGTGAACTCACTGAAATATGAAAATGGAGACAGGGGAGTGCTATGATGGGAGGTACACTTAAAAACATCTCTCTGGATGCATGTAGAGACTGGATTATCAAGAGAAAGAGTAGAAGGTAGGGTGGGATGACCTGGTAGCAGTTAAAATAATGAGAAATGATTGGATTTGGGATTATGGAGATATCAGTGAGGTGGGGAAGTGATTGAGGAAAGTAGAAGAATGGTGATTCCTCATCTTTTCATAAGAGTGTCCATGATTATTTTAATCAAGTAGATATTGTGTCTTGCTTGATGTTCTCTGTGGGTGGGTAGAAGACCGGGTTCTGTTGATCTTGAAAAGTTAAGTGCTTGAAGTCAATAAGAAAGCTAATTTTCTTCCCCCAAATGACCTTTTCCTGTTGCAGCTGGGACTCTCAGCTCCTTGGCTTCACCTTCAATGACATGTTCATCCGCATCTCCACTCGCCTTCCCTCCAAGTACCTCTATGGCTTTGGGGAAACTGAGCACAGCTCCTTTAGGAGAGACTTGAACTGGCACACCTGGGGCATGTTTTCCAGAGATCAACCCCCGGGGGTAAGGACAGAGTGTTTGTGGTCTGCCACTGTACTTCTTTGCACCAACACGGTGTGCCCTCTAGGCCTCACCTTCCAAGACTCAACATGGATTATCACATTCTTCTTTTAGGCAAATGGGCCAGTTTTCGGGCTCTTTTGTTTATTGTGTGTTTAATGTTCTTTTAAGAGAAGTCTAGACCCATCTTAAACTTTTGTTGAGTTTATTTCTCAGACACAACTTCTTCTAACCTCTTACAACTTCTCCCATATAACTCTCAGTACAAGAAGAATTCCTATGGTGTTCACCCCTACTACATGGGACTAGAGGAAGATGGCAGTGCCCATGGAGTCCTCCTGCTGAACAGCAATGCTATGGGTAGGATGAAGCTGGCCCTTCCTTTTATCTGAGTACTAATCTTTCTTGACTCAGTGTAGAATATATTGAATCAATTTGAAGCTATGGGGTAGAGCTCTCATTCTGGGAGCATGATCTATGATGAAAAGTTTCTTGATTGTAGGAAAGGGTAGAAAATAAGGTGATTGTTAAAAACTGTATTAAAAATTGGTGGATGTGAATCATCTATCCTTAGTGAATAATTATTTGTCTATTGAATTTTCCTGGTTTTGATAAGATATAATATTTCTATAAGGTATTGTCATGGGGAAAAGTGGCTAAAATGTTCATAGAAACTCACAGCACAATTGTTGAAACTTCTTTCCAGTCTTAAACTGTTGTAATAATAATTTTGAAGGAGCAGGATGATAAACATAATAAGAAGACACGCAAAAGGGAAAACATCCTAGCATGGGTTCCTGTAGCCGTTCTCTTAAGTTCTTCATTCTGGGTGGCTATAGTGCAGAATATGTGCTCTTCGTATTGAGCAATGGAGGAGAGAAAAGGCATGGTAGCCAGAGTTCATTCCTCACTTTGAAGGTTTGAAGTTTCCTTGGCATTTTCCTGTTTTCAGATGTGACATTCCAGCCCATGCCTGCCCTGACATACCGTACCACAGGGGGAATTCTGGACTTTTATGTGTTCTTGGGGCCAACTCCAGAGACTGTCACTCAGCAGTACACTGAGGTAGGTTGAAATTCATTTTGTTGTCAGATGTTCATACAGCGATTCTGTGTTCCAAGACTCACATTTGTTAGTGTGACTCTCACAGCATAACTAAAATTGTTGAAATTTCATGGAGGCAGCTATGTTTTAAAGTAATGAGCAATAAACACATTCTAATAACCAGTAATTTCAATGCCTCTCACATTGAAATTCTTCTATTCTATCACAGAAGAGGAGAAGCACAGTCATGTTACTGGTGTTCGGGGTGAGGCTACGTTTATAGTGATGGTGGTGGTGATGGGGATGGTGGTGATCGGGGTGGTAGTGCTGACAGCTTTGGTGGTAGTATTGGAAGTTTTCGTGATGGTGGTGATGGTGATGGGAGAGATGGTGGGGAGTGATGGTAACATTGGTGGTTATTTGGTAGAAATAACAGTTATATCCTAATTAGTGTATGTATTACTTAGTGTATGTCTGAGGACTTCAGATATCGGATCTCCATCAGTCCTCCTATAAGACAGATATTCCTCCTATCCCCAAATTACAGGTGAAGAAGCAAGCACAGAGGCTAGTAAATGTTGCCCTAGGTTGCACAGCCAGCAGTACCTCGAACTTGCATACTGACCCATGTATTTTGCCTCTGGGTTTTATCCTTTTAATAGTAAGTTAGACCACATCTCGAAATCAGAAAAAAACCCTAAGCTTTTCAGTATTCCAAGTACAAGCTCTAGTGTAACAAGAGCATTTCCACAAGGTAACCTAGTGTCTCTGGATCCCTTCAGATTCTCTTTGCATTTGAATTTGTTGACTCTCTAGATTGGGGCACTTGGAAAATATTTTTGTTACTTCCTGACAATATCATTCTGGATTCTATTTTGAGAACTAATACTTTATAACTATATTCTAGTTGATTGGTCGTCCTGTGATGGTACCTTACTGGTCCCTGGGGTTCCAGCTGTGTCGCTATGGATATGAGAACGACTCTGAGATCTCCAGCTTGTACGATGACATGGTGGCTGCCCAGATCCCCTATGTATGTATAAGGCATGGTAAACTGTCTCTATGACCTCATAGCTAATGTAGGTGTCTCTGGGTTTACATTTGTATGTTGGATTTTCATACTATTCTATAAGAAGTCAAAGTGCTTTCACTTTGATGTCATAATGAGTCTGACCCCAGCACAGTGATACACATGGGAATCCTGCCCCTAACTAGTCATTCAAAATCTCACAGTGAGGACGTAGGACTGATTTTAAGACCCTTTGCGTTTTATCATACTTTCTTCCTTTTCTTTTACATTACTTCAAGACTTTTACTCAAGTGATTCTTGGTCCCATAAAATCAGAGATTTCTACAAAAGTAGTTCTGCATAATTTAAAATATTAATAACCCCGAATTAACTATACCATTTTATGTTTAGATACATCCCGAATACAGTTTGTGGGACTTGGAGCATAGTATTAGTTCAGTCCTGAGCTACCCACAGGCTGAATCTGGATGGACTTCTAGAGGAAGCATTTCTGGAAACAAACTTTATCCTTCATCCATTAATTAGAACTGATCCCATGGACCACTATCATAATTAATTTTATTCTTCTATTGTTTACAATTTTTTGATCAATATAAAGTAAACAAATGCAATATATCATTCTTTGTAAGAAAATGCTATGTGATTACCAAAAGGGTTGGCTATGCCATAGGAATTACACACTTGTTAGTATTTCTTTGTAGTAGATTTACTGTTCATTTAGTATTATAACTAGAAAGATCACATTATCTACTAATGAGAACCACTGATTCAAGGGCAATCACATGTGGGAAATTATCACACTCATTCCTCTACTGGCAGTTTACAGAGTCCTTTCTAATATATGGTATTTAGTGATCTCTGTAACATCCATTTCTGATAGGCATTATGAGCCTAGTATTTACTTCTGTATGTGTGTGTGTGTGTGTGTGTGTGTGTGTGTGTGTGGTTTAGATTATTTTCTATTTTCTGAGTGAAAAATTTAAAACTAACAGGTGAATTTCTCATTCCATAAATTACAAATAACAGATCTCAATTTTAAAGACTCACAAAGAAGCCATTTGAAATTCACCATCGGTGGTACAGGGGTCTTTTCTTCTGGAACCTGCATGTGTACCACCAGCCCCCACTCTGATTCCTTGTGTCCTCCCCCAGGATGTGCAGTACTCAGACATCGACTACATGGAGCGGCAGCTGGACTTCACCCTCAGCCCCAAGTTTTCTGGATTGCCAGATCTGATCAATCGCATGAAAGACAGAGGGATGCGGGTCATCCTCATTCTGGTTAGTCCTTGTGTGAAGATGGGCGTGTCTGGGACAGTGAATGGGCTTTGGTACAGACGGCCTTTTATTTTCTTACTTTCCATGTCACAAAAGGGGAAATTAAAAGTGCTTTTCTCAGAATTCTCACTCTATAGTTTGAATTTAGGGACATCATTGTGGAGAGATTCCCTTTTTCTGTCTTTGGTCATTCTCTTGAGTTTGATTTTCCACCTCTCTTGTGTTTTGACGTCAGGATCCAGCCATTTCTGGTAATGAGACAGAGCCGTATCCTGCCTTCACTGAGGGAGTGCAAGATGATGTCTTCATTAAGTATCCAGATGATGGAGGAATTGTCTGGGGAAAGGTACGATCAAAGTGATGATCCACTAAACCTAGTCTTAGTGGGGGTGGAGCTATTAATGTGTTCATTCATTTTGTTTTAGGTCTTTTCTCTTTGGAATCTTAGATCAGTAGTGATTTTCGGAAGGAGGTAATACCTGTGTTGAACTCAGGGCTTTGTGCGTGGTAAGCAGGCACTCTGCTCTTGAACCACTTTGCAAGTCCTTTCTTGGTTGGTTTCTTTTGAGACAGGTTCTTTCTTCTGTGCCCACAACTTGGGCCTAATCCTCTTATTCATGCTTCCTGCAGTATCTGTGGTGACATGTATACATCACTGTGCCCAGCCATTGGTTCAAATGGGGTCCCAGAAACATTTTTGTCTGGACTGGCCTTGATCATGATCCTCCTGATCATATCCCCAGATGGGAATTATCTGGGGAAGATATGATTGATCTAAGTATGATCCATTAACCACTAGCCTGAGTGTGAGGAGCATTTAATGTGTTAATTCATGCTGTTTATGAGACTTTTCTATTTAATCTAACAACTATAGTTTTTATTTTTCTAGAAATATTTTTCCATTTAGGAAAGGACGTTGTGGAATCTAATATGCTTTAGATGAACCTGCATGATAGTTTTTTAGGAAATACATAGGAATACATGGGAAATATCTGATGCGTTACTGTTGAATGTTTTTCTCTGCATAGGTCTGGCCTGATTTCCCTGATGTTGTTGTGAACAACTCTCTAGACTGGGACAGTCAAGTGGAGGTAAAAGGCTGTTTATGGATATTGGGTGAAGTCAGTGTGGTCAGAACGGGGCAGCCATAGCTATGATACCAGACATGCTCATACTATGGAGATGGGCATGGTGAGAGAAAACGTTAAGATGATGTACCCCTCATATCAGTCTTTGTGTGGATTACATGGTATACAGGAATGTTTTCTTTCCCTTGCTATGTGCATTATTGCTCTTGGACTATACCTCAGAGAACTTCAATTATTTGTCCATGTCTAGGTGACACAATGGTGATTTCAAATCCAAGGCTGTAGATTTCAGTGGTCCATGGAATTTTCATTAGATGATACCTCTAAGAAGTGCTATCATTTTTCGGAATGAGTGTCGTTTCTGTGATTGTGGTTTTTTGGGTACCCCTTTTAAATAGAGTTCCTAACCTTTTTCTTAATGTCAGTGATTGGGTCTTATTCTCTGTACATTGTTTCTCCTGCATGTATACTTTTTCATCTTCAAAAATATCCTGGTCATACTCTCATGCTGCCTCTGATATCTCATCTTTGTTTGACTCTTTAGCTTTCAGCCTTATATTAAAATGTTTCTGTCTTCTGGTTCTTGCTTGTAATGCATCCAGGTAGTCCACGGTTCTGGGACTGAATTCTTCCCAGTCACCCTAAGGATTGCTCATTTGTATACATTTATGGTGTCTTAGTAGTTTAAGAAATCTTCACCCTCATCATTTAATCCAATGTGGACACCAAGAATTGACAAAGCCTGTTTGATCTGCTATCAAATATAATAATACCTGTGAGCAGGGTTCTCAGATTTGTGTTGAGAACTCTTCTGAAGTTCAAGTACCTTGCCTTAATGTCTTTAGCTCTTCTTCCATATTTACTATTCTTTCTGGAGAGGAATAATGGTAGTGCTTGTGTTGGTTTTGTAACCTAAATAGAGGAGCTGGGGAAAAACAAACTATTTGCCATGACACTAGCGAAGAGTCGAAGGACTAAAGAAGCTGACCTTTGTGTGGACATCAAGGTGATGTAAGCAGTAGTGTATAGAAACTATCAAGATTGAGGATTCATCTGAGAAATATCTTTATTGTGGGACCAAGCAAAGAGGTTGTAAATTCATTTATTAGTCACTAGAAGCCTATGGTCTCAAATCCATGTTTAATCTCTTTCCATAAATATAGAAAGGAGTCATTGAGGGGATATGTCGGAAAATGATCCCAGCCACCAGAAATGGGACTAGCTGGTGGTATGTGAAATATTCATGCTTTATTCAGAGGAGTTAGTTTTCATGGCTGAAGGACAGTCCTTTAGGGGAAAACAGATATAATACAGAACTAATACAGACTGTGAACTCAGGTCTCAAGCTTGAAATAGCTCTCTGAGAGAAGTTAGAAGAATAGTACTGTAAACCAGTGGTGTACAGTTAACTGGCATTAGTTTCTGACCCCCTCCATCCTTGTTGGCAGCAATAACACTCTATGTGCAAAGTGAGATACCTACCCTAAGATCAAGCTGCAGGGCTATTGGATTAAGTATCTTTGATTTGTGGAAGTAGATGAAATCTATCTATATATTTAGCTATCATCTGTCTATCTTCTGATAAGGATTCAAGGGAGAGGACCTAGCTCCCTGTCCTCTCCATCATTTTTCACAGAGGGTCACTTTAATTTTGCCTCTCCAGGAATCCCACACTGACAAAGTAACTTACCAGCCTGAGACATTCAGGGACTCAAGCTCTATGGCATTTGAATGCTTGCATTAGGGGGCTCCCTTCATCAGTCAGGTAACTGACTGTTTCCTCTGAGACACACGGTTCATCACCCTCTAAGGACAACGCTTCCCCCTAATTTTCAGGTCATTTGGAGGTGTGTGGGGCAGTATTGGTAACCACAGTACCAAGGGGTCCCCCATGTGCCTTTAGTAGGTGATGACCTGGGATGTCCATTGCTCTTATTACAGGGTGTTTTATATTAGGAATTCTTTTGCCCTAAATTCCAATTGTGCCTTTGGTGAGAGTCCTTTCATAGGAGGTGAAAGAATCTATTATACTGTTCATAGAGTTTCTTCAATGAGGCTTTGAGGATGAAATAACTGATGTCCAGATCTAGCATTACTGAGAGTAGTGTAAAATAAACAAGCAGCAAGAAACCCATGGAAAGCAGATCTCTGAGTCTGTGTCTCAGAAGTTTAATACAATAAGTCTACAGTAGAATGCAGAAGTGGCATCTCTGCATTTTGGTACCATGCAATGGGTTGTGATAAATAATCCTGTGGCAGTCATGTTTGTGGGCCCATCACTGCTTAAAAATGAAGGAAAGGGAGGGATGAAGGTGTAAGGCAAAAGTTAAGTAGGAACAGGAGGAGACAGAGCCAGCACCCTAGAAAATGTAGGACTTTTTTTTATTAGGATCATCAGAGCAAATTTAGTAAGATTAATAAACCATATTTGGCTTTAATTTGGAACCCATATAGGGTAGAATTCTGACTGAGAACACAGCTACCAGTGACTCTTTATTCCAATATTCTGTGCCCCATCCATCCCATTGTTTCTGACCTTGCCTGAGCTGGGCTCTTTGTTGTTGGTGAAGGGTTCTCTTTGTTTAGTTGCATGCTTGCTATAGACATTGCCCAACCTAAGGCATCCCAAGATTCCCCGTAATGGGACACATAGCCCTCCCATTCCTTTGATCCAGATTTATGCATTCTGAACCATTTCTGCTCTTTTATGTATGTTTTTCTTTTGTGATTTGTGGATTCTTAGCTGTCTTTTGTCTGTTGTGTATAGGAACATTTGCAGACCAAATGTTCTTCCTGTTGTTCTTACTACACTCACCATTGACATTGATTTGTAATGCAGTGGTTCCCACAGAGTCCTTGAGACACACCAAGGACTGTATTGTCTCACAACATGCAACATGAAGGAGTAGATAGGCTTTTATGGATATTTGCTGTAATTGAGTGGCTTGAATCCATAATTAAATACTGAACATTATTGTCATTTATTTATTATTATGTCAGGTTCTGGACTAAGCATTGTAGGGGAATGAAGATCAATCAGAAGACTATAAAACAAGGTCCTTGCTCTCAAAACTTTTCCAGCATACTGAATAATTAACACTTTGGGTTCACTTTCACGTTAAGATGTAGACATCACCTTCCTTATTTGATGGAAGATGAAGGGAAGAGAAGGTTGAAAGTTCCTTCTTAAGCCCTCCCACTTACATTGCCTGAAAAACAAATATCTTCAGATTCTGAAATTACAGAAATCAGTGAGCCATACAAGTTAGTCCAATATTATGGACTGTAGTCTTATCTCTCCCCTCTTTCCCAGTGGAAATGTTCCAAAATTGGTACTATTACCTGATGTTTGACTTTTTTCTCCCTGGCTCCTGCTTCACGCTAGAAGAGTTCTCAGAAAGTGTTCAGGTAGTCGAGTGCAGGACAGTAGAGCTTTAAAACATTTGGTAGTGAGTTCAGTGCATTAGTTGTTACCATGTTTTTAGCTCTGAAGAGAACAATATTGCATGAACATTTTCCAAATGCTGAAGCATGTAATTTGTAATTCGTTTTTATTTCTCTTCTTTCAACTCAATTTTTTTTATAATCTAAGTACATTATACTTGGAAGGAAGTGTTTAGTCTATGTCTGTCACTTTGTGCCACCAGATACTACAAACTTTTGCATGATTAAGTTCTTAGTATATGCCTGACTGCTGTCTAGTGTATTAGTTTGAGACAAGTGAATTGTATTTTATTTTCATAGCAATACCGAGCTTATGCGGCCTTCCCGGACTTTTTCCGTAATTCAGCTGTCCAGTGGTGGAAGAGGGAAATTGGAAAAATGTATAATAATACAGAAAGTCCAGAGAAGAGCTTGAAGTTTGATGGCATGTGGATCGTAAGTGCATGCTTGGATGCTTGTGTACACAGTGAGAATTGTGTGTTCATCTGTTTTAGCATGTGGACACTGACCTAGACGAAGAGGATTATAACCATCCAAGAAAGACTTTGGACATCTCATACTGGAGGAGAATAGAATAGCCCAGTCATTCTCATCCCTCATACCTTGCTTGAAATCCCTAATGTTAAACCTTGAGAGTGATTGCTGAGAGGCCCCTAGAACTTTGTTTGCCTTGAGGGAGATTTCTTTAACTCTCTAGCCAGTCATCCCATAAGAGTTATTTTCTTTTTGTAGCCCATTCTGCCCACAATGTAACGATCCTCCCAGGGCAATGCCTATAGGAATTACAGGGTGTTTAAGGATTTATTCACTACTTCCTCACTTCAGAACTGACAATTGTAATTATCTTTAAAAGCAACCCTGTTTGTGTTTGACATTTCTAGGATATGAATGAGCCTTCAAGCTTTGTGAATGGGGCCGTTCCTGCAGGCTGCAGGAATGCTACTCTGAACCATCCTCCCTACATGCCGCGTAAGGACCCTGGCCTCCTCCACCTGCAGAGGCCTGGCTGGGAAAAGCAATGACTGCTAGAGCTCAGCAGCCAGAGTGTACCTTGAGCACTGTGTTCAGGTCCTCACTGGTGCTGTGGTTTACTGGGGCCCAGAGACAGGAGTACTTCATGTACTTTGCCCCCTAGGGTATGTGTATGTTACTGGATCCCCTGGGTGCGTTTTTGGAATTTGCTCAGAAAGCATGTAACAGTGGTAATGTCTCCAATTGTTCTCACAGCTAGATTTCTTAGTTCTTCAGGCTTATTAAAATTTACCCACACAATTTCTATTACACCAATGGGTAAAATGATGTGACTTCCCCATTGGTAGCTGATGGTATTTGGAATTACACGTGAGTTTGTCTTGGCTCCATAAATCATTCTTTGTGTGAGTCAAACTCCAGAGATACTGTGGTATTTCCAAGCATCAGTTTTCTAAATGTACGGGGCAAATAGCCCGCACACTTCAAAGGTTTATTGTAAGAGTTATGTGAGCTAATGTATGTGTTCAAGGCACTGCTCGGGGCCTGCTCCATAGTGAGTGCCTGATAATCCCTGTTCTTCTAATACCTCCACTTCTGCACGAATGATGGTGAAGACACCTGCAGCACCACTGCACGCAGAGCAGAGCACTCTTCTCATGCCCTGAGGGAGGAAGAGTGACCCATGCAGGGGTCTCATGACCCAGAGCTCGATCCCTTAAAGAGCGGCCAGGAACTGAAAGTGTCAGGGCTGTTTTTCACATTTCCAATCTTTCCTCTCAGATGTGGAGGACAGGGGTGTGGGCCTCAGCAGCAAGACCCTGTGCATGGAGAGTGAGCAGATCCTGCCGGATGGTTCGCGGGTGCGGCACTATGATGTGCACAGCCTGTACGGGTGGTCCCAGACCAGACCCACCTATGAGTAAGTCAATTTCTGTCTCCTCCTCTAGTTGGCATCACCTGTGTGCTCAGCATAGCTTCCCTTCTTTTCCTTAACTACCCTTACTAAGGAGCAAGAATTTCATTACAAGTATGTAGCATTCTTATTTACTCAGTGTACAGTCTGTGAATATGGAATGAGGTCCTGTGATTATAGTTGGGGGAGAACAGATTTAATAAGGCATATCTCTTCAGGGTAATACGAATATTCATCATGGTGGACACTTGCATGGTGATACCTAATATTAATAGATAATACAACTGTTGCTATGCAGTGGTTTGGACATCTGTCTTGTTTATTTCAATAATCAATCATTTCTACTGGGTTTTTTAAATATTCTTTGTTAGGTAATGGTTCATCTCTTAAATTAGTTGATTCTCAATTTGTAAGCCCAATGCATGATGCAGATCATCATATAAAACATCTTGTTAAGAAATTTTCCTTTTTTCCTGATTGTGACTGGTGAAGTGCGTAGGAAGTTTCTAAGAGTGGGGAAGGGAAACTCTACTCAAGACCAAAGTGGCAGAGAAAGAGAGTAAGAGAGAGAGAGAGAGAGAGAGAGAGAGAGAGAATCTGTCTTGCATAGAAAAGAATGTAAGAATCTGAGATTTAAGCAGATTCATTAAATAGCAAGAAAAGTGTATGTTGAAAGGATCAAGTGTAGGTTTGAAAACAACGTGCTGTTCTATGTTTAGTGAGCTATGAAAATATTTTGTGGCTTTATCTTTGTTGGTTTTTCTTTTCTTTACTATCTGGATACTCATTTTTTTTTTTTAGTTTTAGTGTTTTATGTAATTATTCCTGTCCTTAAGCTGTGCATCTTTGATAGTGAGAGGGTCAAAATTTAGGCACATAGTCATGAATTACTACTCCAGGAGAATATGTTGGTTATTTTTAGTGAAACCATAATGTATTTTCTGTAAGGACTGGTACCTTAAAATGGGTATTTACTATTCTCTGTGGGGTTTCTTTATGGGGTTAGAGTGTTGGAATGCAGTGTTTATAGTTCTCTGACAGGTGACAATGTAAGGTCAGAGCTTTATGTATTGGATTGAACAGAAGGCAATGCAGAAGGCTTATTCTAACTTTTAGTTGTTTACATTTCACATTCCCTTCTCTGTCCTCTCCATTTTACTCAGTCATTTTTCAATTTTTGGGAAAATAAATAACAATGCCTAGTGATAGCTTACAATTTTGGGACAACCCATGGTGAGGTTCTATATAAAACAAGGTAAAAAAGCGTTGCACCAATGTTCTTGTTTTTTCCATCAGCCAGTGTGTCCTTGCTCAGGCTCAGACTCCATGAAGCATACAGTCAGGGGGCAAATGTTTTGTCACCAAGCCCTATGCCAAAGAGCTCTGGAGGGAAACCCTGTTGCCTTCCTTCCTCTGCTCTGGTCTCAGTTCTCCTGTTCCCCTCCTAACAGAGCTGTGCAGGAGGTGACAGGAGAGCGAGGGATCATCATCACCCGCTCCACATTCCCTTCTTCTGGCCGCTGGGCAGGACACTGGCTGGGAGACAACACAGCTGCTTGGGATCAGCTGAAGAAATCTATCATTGGTGAGTGGGATTGTTCTGAGGAGCCTCTCTGCCCATAGGGGAGGGAGTTAGATCCTTGATGAAGGAGGGAGGAAGTGGCAGGCCATGAGGGCCTGGCTTGACATTGCTGTGGTTCTCATTGCAGGCATGATGGAGTTCAGTCTGTTTGGCATCTCCTATGTAAGTGACCTTTGGATTCTCCTAATCCTCAAGAAGATGGTGGCATCTTTCAGAACTTCTTAAGACGCTTGTTTTCTTCCCTTTTATTTCAGACAGGGGCAGATATTTGTGGGTTCTTTGAAGATGCTGAATATGAGATGTGTGCTCGCTGGATGCAGCTGGGAGCCTTTTACCCCTTTTCCAGGAACCACAATGGCGAGGGGAACAGGGTAGGACCTGAGCACCCACCTTACCTGTTTTGTTGTCATTGGCAACTTCCAATTTTGAGCTATATTTTATGCCACCCTTATTCCCTGGGCACAATTTCACACCATTACACTCCTGTCAGAGAACCATATTTCCTTTTTTGTTTTTAATTAGAGGAAGAAAGTTTCCCAACATATCCCAAGCAGTTTTCTATGTCTTTCATAGAAAACTTTGGTGACCTTTCTTAGGCTATTAAGATAATTCTCTTCTGTAGTTTCCTCCATAATCATCTATACTTTGCTTCATATGTGATCCATAGGAAATAAGGTAGAAATAGATGGCATGAATCTCATAAATTACCTGCATTGAATCTGAATACATTTTTCTGTCTTCTTTAGAGACAAGACCCTGTATCCTGGGATGATGCTTTTGTGAATATTTCCAAAAATGTGATTCAGACCAGATACACCCTGTTGCCCTATCTCTACACTTTGATGTACAAGGCCAACACAGAGGGCATCACTGTTGTGAGGCCACTACTCCACGAGTGAGTGTCTACCCAAACTCATGCTGACTAAGGGATAATTTATTTCATTCTGTTGCGTGTCAGTTGGTGCAAACAATTCTTTCAATATGGAGATATGCTATCTTCTTCATAAGCCCTCCAGGTAAAACACATACATTTCTTGACCTTTTTGTACAATGTGACACTTAGAAAAAGCATTGATGAAAGGCTATATACTGAGTGGACATTTTTTAACATAATAAAATACAGCAGAGTAGAATTTATTTTCTATATGACCATGGTAAGACCTTCCATTTTTTGTAGCAGTTTGGTTATGCAGATGTAGTCCAAAATGTGTTCAGGTCACCGAAGAGGGCATTCTAGGAGATTGGAAGTATGAGGTCTTCCTTGTATTGAAAATGTGCAGTCATAAGGAAAAGTGGAGGTGCACAGGAGATCACATCCCTAAATTGTTGAGGTACAACAAACATGCCATGCAGAAAGCAGAGACAATGTGATCCATACTAAGCTGGGGTAGAGGAAGATGTCATAGGCTGCAGCTGGATTTCTGACCTGGGCCTAAACTGGAGGGTTTCTTCAAGGCCTTGGGCTGGAGCCCTGTTGAGGCTCTGATTGTGACACTTTCATTTCCTTCTCCAGGTTTGTGTCTGACAGGGAAACCTGGGATATAGATAATCAGTTCCTGCTGGGTCCAGCTTTTCTGGTCAGCCCTGTCCTGGAGTCTGTAAGTATGGAGGCTCCTGCTGGATGGAAGATACCAGCTGTGAGGCTAGGTGAATCAGTTTGGAGAAGTCTTGTGTGAGGGATCCCGAAACATAGCTCCTTATTCTCCATGTGTCTCTTCCTCTCTTTCTGAGCAAAACTCTCTACCTTAGGTTACTTGGGGCAGGCCCTTCTTAATGTCACCTAGCAATTTGTTTTGTAGAACAATCCAAGAAGAGAAATAATATTCTCATATAATTGAAGGTAATGCAGTTTCTCCCAACAATAAGAGTCCCATGTTACCATTAATGCGAAGCTTACCAGTAGAGCAGCATGCAGCAATGTGTGTCTTCTTATTGCTGCTGATCAAGACTCCATTCCTTCTATAAGTGGTCCTGCAAGCAGCAAATCATTTATTTACTTCCTCTGTGAATGATTATTTTTGTGTTTAAAATTCCTTATTTATAACCCCTCAATCTGTATACCTGCATAATTTTCATATAACCCAACCCAATTTAAACCATGTCTCTTTAGAGAGAGGATAGATAAATCTCTAGCATTTGGTGATTGTTAATCTGAAGTCATTTGTCCATAAGGACTTTATGAAGTGCCTTGTTTGGAGGAAATTTCCTGTGTAAGAGATAAAAGGGAATGAGGCTCCCAACACTGGGAAAGAGCAGGAAAGAGCTGATACAGTGGCTCAATTCTTTCACCTGTGCTGCAGCCCCTTACATGTGCAGATTGCTTATTCTGGCCTAGATATCAGTGTCCACTTCCCACACCTTGTTTGTGTTTAATTTCAGAATGCCACGAATGTCACTGCATATTTCCCTGGTGCACAGTGGTATGACTACTACACGGTAAGATTTGGATAATGATTATATAACCTGGGAAAATGGTAGAGTACAAAAGATTTATGTCTGACAGTGCTCAGGCCAAATGCTTCTATTTCAACTTGGACAAGGTATTTTAAACCTATGGCTTCAGTCTTTCTTACCCATCTGTGATGTGAGAACAATCCCTCCTTCACAGAAATGTCTTGATGTGACACATGACCTTCACTGAGTGCGTAGTTTTTATTTCTGAGTTTATAACTCTTTCCATCATCTCTATTCGCAGGGATATATAAAAGTAGACACCAGTATGTTCTGAAGTTGTGATATAAAATACACTTTTTGTTTGTATCTTCTATTATGATAAGTTTCTAATTAAAGAGGCCTTATGCTATCTGCCTTTTTAATAAATATCTGCTTTGTAACATGTATGCTTAAAGATTTTCTCTATAAGATTACCTAAGATTAGAGAGTTATAAGGCAGTATGTAAAATGCAAACAGGTGTAGGGGTCCATGTTTCAGGGGCTTTTACAAATGAGGAACCCTGTTATATATTTGTGGCCCAGTGTGAGCCCCAGAGATCAGTGTGTAGAACAGGGTCTTGGGAAGCCACTCAGCATGGTCTCTTGAGGGACACAGATTGGTCAGATTCTGATTCTTTGAGAGGAATCTCAAAAACAGGGTATTCTAGGTCTGTAACCAGTGTGAAGGGGCCTGACTTTCTGAGCGAAAAAGGGACAGACTGGAACAAAGCAGGAAGACAAGAAAAGAGCTTGTGTCCTCAGCTCTCTTCCAGGGGAATTGAAGTGAGATTGCCTCCAAAGTGGACAAAGAAAAATATAGTGGAGTTGTTCCTCTTCTCTGTCTGGCAAGTAGTAACCACTGCCCAACTCTTTTATTGCTGACTGGCTCTGTCCTTGGATATAATACATTAAGACTCTGCTATGTATGTTCCAGCCAGCTCCAATTCTTTTGGGGAGAGAAGTGAAAGCTTTAAGTGATCCTTACATGGTCTTGAGTTTGCATGTTGACTGCTCTGTTCCCATTTTCACAGTTGTTTTGAGTGTGTTAAGATTTCTGCTGAGGGTCCTGGACTAGGGCTAAGCAGAAAGAGCTTAGGGTGTAAGTATAAGGAGGCACTACATTGTAAGGATGGCCCTATGTTTACATGAATTGAGTGAGGACCTCCTTAAATTTTGCACTTTAGGCATTTTGCTAGTCTCTCTAGATCCAGCTTTGTCCAAGTGCAAAGCTCTGTACTGAGTTCTGTATGTTTGGAAAGTGGAAAAATTTCTCCATGCATTCCCCGTGTAATGAGGAGCTAAGATTTGCTCATGAGAAGCATATGGAAATAACTGTATGTAGCTCATGAGAGGAAGCGAATTATGACGGATTATGAAGGAAAGTCTCCTGGAATGGCTGATTTTTACACAAAGTTCTATTTATTTATATTGATATAAGAGGTGAAGAATCTAGTACTGTTTTTTCTTCATTATGTAATTTTTTAATGCACTGCAACTCACATAGTATAACATCAACCATTTAGATTATTTTACATTCATATGTTTACAAAGGCTTTATAATAGAAAATAGCATTAGATAAAGAAGAAATGGTAACAGAAATCATGTGGGAAGATAAACATTAATGGAGTAAGGCATTCAATGAATATAAAATTTCCATGTTAAATTCAAAATAAAGTTGGGTGGGAGTTGGGTTGTTACTGGTGTCCAGTGGGAAGAACCTGGGGAGGCTGCTTAATATAAAACAAGCATAGGGGAAACCCATAGGTTGAATTATCTGACCTCAAATCCCAGAAGAGCCAATACTGGGAATGTCTACTGTAGTTGAAAAACTGTGAGAGGATGATCCTTTAGGATTTGTTTTTGTGACTCAGCTGTGAGGCTCCCTCTCATCCAGGAGGAACCATAAACATGTCACATGATGCCAGGTAAGGATTGTGACATGAGGCAGGTAAAGATGCCAATCCTAAATGCCCATGTATTATGTTCACATATGGATATGTAAATAAGTTGCTCACTTGAGTCTTTTCTGTGAAGTAAGAGTGAGAAATGTTAGTTAAGCTGGTAGAGATGAGAGAGGGCAGTGAGGGAAGACAGAGACTCAGTAGGTTCTCGGTGAAAGAGAAGGTCTAGAATTGCCATTGTAGGGAGTGTGTCAGGATCCACCAAGAAGTGAATGAATATATTCCTCATCCTCCTCTAGCAGTGCTCTCTGTCTTAGAAAAGGTTATGGAGTGAGGGTGGGCTGGAATCCATGCTAGGACCTCATGTAGTACATGGTATAGAAACCCCTAAACGGTCACAGACTCTCACTAGACATGTAAGAACAAAGAAAGATTTCACACAACAGTAGGCGAATACAAGACTGTAAGAACAGGTGTGTGCTATAAGGTGGTGGACAGGTGGCAAGTTCAGAGAGGCAGGTGAGATGTTTTGCAGAAGCATGGCTAAAGGAGGTGTGTGTCCTCTCGCTCACCATCTGTTCCCTTCTTTGGCCCACAGGGTGTGGATATTAAGGCCAGGGGACAGTGGAAGGTGTTGCCAGCGCCTCTTGAGCACATTAACCTTCATGTCCGTGGGGGGTACATTCTGCCCTTGCAGCAGCCTGCACAGAACACCTACTATAGGTGAGTGAAGGAACCCTGGTTCTGCTTTGCATACTGGTTAGCTCACTTATTTGGAATGGATGCCATCAGTCACACAAAGATTGTTCTTAAAGCCAAAAGCGATTTTACTGAAGTGTCATATGTATATTTGTTTGCTTTTTTGCTTTTACCTTCTTCAGTCTCTCCATTCTGAACAATTATCATCATCTATGTTAGGTTCATAGGTGTGGAATGATGTTCTAAGAAGTGATATTTGATCTAGAAGTTAAAATACATCAATCATGATTCATGATAGTTTAAAGAGTCTATCTGAATCTTAGTTGGCTACTATCCAAAACAGTATTATTGAAAATTGATAAGTACTATGACTACTGACACCTGGGGCTGAGATATCTCATAAAAGCTTCAAAAATTCTGCTCTAGGCCTATAGGTAATTACCAATAACTAACATCAAGTGAGTTGTTTCTTTGTGTTTGAACTGTGCCAATAGGGGAGCTCTCCTTGGAGACTTTCTATTTTTCCTTAATAATAGGATAAAAAATCGGTTGTTGTGGGGATCATTACAATCCCTGTTTCACAAAGAAGCAAAGAAAGTTTTTCTGAGGATACATGATTTATTGAGTCACATAGCTAGTCAGTGGGGGAACATGATTTAAACCTGTGTGTGTCTGACATCATTCCTCAAAACTTAGATGCCCAGTTGTTTGACTTCAGAGAGTAACAAAGTACTGATGTACTTAGGATATTTGTAAATAAAATTCTATTGTGTACATATTACACATTTTTGTCACCTATTTGTTTATTAATGGCTACCTGGCTAGTTTCTGAGAGTTAGCTATTGTGCATCGCACTGCATGAATAGTCAGCAATCTCTATGCTAACCTGACTGATCCTTTGAGATATACACACAAGTGGTATGGTGGGATCCTAGGGTGTTTCCATTTTTAAAAGTTAGGATTTCATTGCTCTTTATGTCTGAGTAATCATTGACACATTTTTAATAATCTAGTTAAACACGGATTTGTTCTGTGAAAATTTTGTCTATCTCTTCCAACAGAAGGATTACTGATGCTTCAATATTCATGGTCATTAAAATATAGAAACAAATATTTTCTCTTATTGGATTTTTCTTTCTCCTTTAATATTGTTAAATATTCAAGCACAGTTATTTCAAGGTCTTTGTAAATGCCATTGTCTGTAGTCCTTGGGAACTTAAATCTATCGTTAGCTATTTCTGCTGACCTGCTTTCATGTTGACTTATTACCTTATATATTTACTAATGATTTGTTTTTAAATTTGTTGTGGTTAAGGACCCAAATGTAGCTATCCTTTCACCAGAGATGATTTGTCCTTTCTTTGGTTGTGGCCCAGGGACATTTGCCAACTTAGTATCATATTATTTTGCTTCAAGTGTCCTTGTTTCACAGGGGAATCCAAAGTTCAGCTTTTGTAGCTTTGATTGCCAGGTTTCAGGGCCCAGGTGCCCCCCACAGCCATTTCTACCTGGGAAATTCCAGGTTTTGCTTACTGTCATGCTTGTGGATTTAGTTCGCTGTTTGGCTCATTTTGTTTGTTGTCCTTTTGGACTAGTGGATATATGATTTATTTTCTTACAAGCTCAGCTATGTTTATTTACATATTTTTAAATTTTGTTTTCAGAAATATTTTTCTTTTTCCCACCACAGGAATTGTGTTGTGATTATCTAAGATCAACTAGTATTTCAGTGCGTTGGTCCTCCCTTACCCCCATTCCTCTGGTAGTGTCATTCTGGACTCTTGTAGTATCTTAACTTCTGTGTCAGTTTTCATTTTCTGCTTTGAGTTTTTGTTGAATGTATTTAGTTTTTGTTATACTACTTAAATTCAATGAAGTCAAGAGCTGTGACTTGCATCATTTCTATTTATCATTGTATTTCCTTGACTTCTCAGCAATAATGGCTCAATTCCTGTACTACCTATGAGAGGAGGTGATGTTATTGATAGTGGACTGTGATTACTGAGACAGAACTCCGAAGAAATGCGTTAGAGAAGTGGGGTCAGTGAGGGGCACAGCACGATCAGAGAATTGTGACCAGAGGATGATGAAATGATGAGATTCCAAATGAAATTGCTTTCTTTCTCTTTCCCTACATCTACCTCCTTCACCATCTCTTTGAGTAGTTTTTTGTGTTTCTTAATCTTAATTATAAAGCAGATTATTGGAATTTTTTTCTAATGAAATGAAATTATATAATCAGGAAGGGAAATAACCACTATATCAGATGGACCTTCTTGTGTGCTTTCTTCTGAGTAAAAATGTCCTTATTAGGGAAAGTTTGTTGCGCTTACAGCAGTTGCCTCTTTTGTCGCTGTCATACCCAGTGACCTGACCACACCACTACTGAACAGTAATTCCCTCTCTCATAAACATCCAGGTTCTACTTAATGGTTGCAGAGACAGCTTTTTATTGTAATGAATGCAGTGGGTCAGATGCTAACATTCTTGCTGCTACATGGAAGTTTAGTGCTAACGAGTATTTCCATTTCCTGTGATATCACCGATACTGCAGTAAGATGTTCCTGACATTTTTGCCTTTGTGTCTGAAGGAAAGCAGAGCCCTCTGAGCTAGTAACTTTTTCTATGTGAAATATGAGGAAGCGTTTGGCAAAATTCTTTGTGTTATAAGTCTTTGTCTCTTACATAAACCTTGTTTCCCACAGCCGGAAGAACCCTCTTGGTCTTATCATTGCCCTGGATGAGAACAATGAAGCCAAAGGAGAGCTTTTCTGGGATGATGGGCAATCCATAGGTGAGTGTCATGTGAGAATGTGACCATTGCTAGCCTCCTGTGAGAATGTGACCATTCCTAGCCTGAATTGTTCTGTTTGCTTTTTGCTTTTTGAGAAAGGTTTTCCTATGTAGCTACACTAGCCCGGAATTGATATGTAGCCCAGGGCGGGCTTGAACTTACAAATCTCATGGCTGTGTCTCCAAGGCGGTGTGATGATACTCGTGCCCCACCATGCGTAGCTAAACCTGCATCTTTGATTTTGCCCTTTCACTCCTTCTCGCTGTTGTGTTTTGGAAGAAATCTCACTGGGCACATCCCCGAGAGAAGAGTTTTATTGCTAGGTACACCTGTCAGAAGAAGTGATAGTTGAACTGTAGAATTCCCAGCTTTCTCTCACTGGCAGTGTGGTGTAAAGGATTCTCCTTTTATTGTTAACGGACACCGTTACAACATAGTTTTATGACCTTTCCTGTAATTTTTGTAATGTAAATATCTTTCCCCCAAATACTTATAAACAAATGGCAATGCTATGAAAACCACTCCCAGGTGAGTATATGCATCCCAACTGTGTGTGCACAAGCTCTGTTTTAGTACACTGCTGTGACTGCAGTGTAGGAACTCTTTTTGTGTCTGTGGCTTAGCACATAGAGTCCCGTGAGACATCTGCCTTGAACGCACTTGGAAGAGAAGCCTTTCCTGTTTCCTTTAAGAGGGAGTGGGCAATACTGTAGTTTGGCCTCAGACTATTAAATAATTGTCACTCTCAAGACCCGGCTTTTACAAAGGACATTTTTATTATTATAAATATTTAATTAATAAAGAGTGCACCTACTCAAGGTGAGGAACACACACATCATATATGCAGACTCGCATACCATCAGCCATACTGTTCAGTGCACCCCACAGTGAGATCTGTGAACACACTGATCACCACAGTGCTGTGTATTATGCACTGACTCACATCTCACTTTTGTGTCCACACAGATTTTTACTATAAGTAAAAATTGTGTTGTTTTTTTTTTAGCCTCATTAAATTCTATTTTTTATTGTTTATTTTCCCCAAGTATTCCTTTCTTTTTTATTCTTTTATTCACATGTTCATACATTGTTTGGGTTATTTCTCCCCCCTGCCCCATCCCCCTCCCTCTCCCCTCTCCCCACCTCAGTTCCAGGCAGGTCCTGTTCTGCCTTTATCACTAGTTTTGTTGAAGAAAAGAGACAAGCCTAGTAAGGAAGACAAAGTGTTTTTGCTAGTTGAGTTGAGGGTAGCTATACAGAAATATTCCTAGCATTGCTTTCGTGTACACGTGTTATGACCCATGTTGATTCATCTCTAACTGATCTTTACCCTGGTTACTGATCCCCTTCTCATGATAACCTCTGTTGCTTTAAGGTTTCTGTATTAGCTCCTTTGGAGTGGGGACATCAAACACTTTCATGTTTTGGATTTCTACCTACTTCTACATCACCCAAATGTGCTCTCTCCTTGTCATGTGGTCCCAGTCCAACCACATTGTTGCATTTGCCCTAGATCTAAAGTCTGCATATGAGGGAGAACATACAATTTTTGATCTTCTGAGCTTGGCTGACCTCACTCAGAATGATGTTCTCTAGCTCCATCCATTTACCTGCAAATGATAAGATTTCATTCTTCTTTATGGCTGAGTAAAATTCCATTGTGTACAAGTACCACATTTTCTTGATCCATTCATCAATAGTGGGGCATCTTGGTTGTTTCCATAACTTGGCTATTGTGAATAGTGCCACAAGAAACATGGGTGTGCAGGTGCCTCTGGAGTAACCTGTGTTGCATTTCTTTGGGTATATTCCCAGGAGTGGGATTGCTGGATAATATGGCAGGTCTATGTTTACATTTTTAAGAAGTCTCCAAATTTTTTCCAGAGTGGTTTTACGAGCTTGCATTCCCACCAGCAATGGATTAGGGTTCCTTTTTCCCCACATCCTTGCCAACACATGTTGTTGGTGGTGTTTTTGATGATGGCTATTCTAACAGAGGGGAGGTAGAATCTTAGTGTGGTTTTGATTTGCATTTCCTTTATGGCTAGAGATGGTGAGCATTTTTTCATGTGTTTTTTTGGCCATTTTAATTTCTTCTTTTGAGAAAGTTCTGTTTAGTTCACTTGCCCATTTTTTTATTGGTTCATTAGTTTTGGGAGAATTTAGTTTTTTGAGTTCCCTGTATATTTTGGTTATCAGTCCTTTGTCTGATGTATAGCTCGCAAATATTTTCTCCCACTCTGTGGGTGGTCTCTTCAGTTTAGAGACCATTTCTTTTGTTGTGCAGAAGCTTCTTAGTTTTATGAAGTCCCATTTGTCCATCCTTTCTCTTAGTTGCTGAGCTGCTGGGGTTCCATTGAGGAAGTCATTGTGTATGCCTATTAGTTCCAGAGTGTTGCTCTTTTTTCAGTGGTGGTAGTAGGGGCTGAACTCAGGGCCTTGACCTTGACTCTACCACTTGAGCCACACCTCCATTTCTTCTTGATTTAGTATATTTGGGATAGGATCTAATGTTTTTGCCAGGGCCAGGCTGGACTGAAACCCTCCTACTTATGCTTCTCACATAGCTGTGATGACAGGCAAGCACTACCAATCTCAGCTATGGGTTGGGATTGGAACTGACTAAATTTTGTCTGGACTGGTCTTGAACTGACTCTTCCTCTAGTGTGCCTCATATCTGGGATTATAGGTATGAATCACCATTCCTGGGTAGTTCAAAATTTTTTTTAGATTCACATGCCAATGATATCACATTCTTTTATTTTTTGATATCTGGCATATTTCACTTCATTTATTATATACCTGGTTTATCCATATATCACAAATCTCAGGATTTCATTTTTCATGACTAAACATTACTCTATTGTGTGTTTGTGTCACAATGTTTTTTGCCTATATCTTGTATATTGTGAGAAATGAGTTTAGACTTAAATGTAAGGGCTGAAAGCATAAAGCTCTTAGTATAAAAATAGGGCACAATTTCTTTGTCAGTTGACTTGGGTAGTAATTTTTTGGTGAATCTGACACCAAAAGCATAGTCAACAAAATAAAAAAATTCAAGAAGAGTCACTGCATCAAACTACAAAGCTGTGCAACAAAAGAAACATGCAACAACTTGAAAAGGCAACCCACAGAATGGAATAAAATAACTGCAAGTATTTGTGGTCTAAAACAGTTAATATAAACATATGTAAAGAACTCTTACAACTCAAAATTAATGAATATATAGCCTGGTTTGAAAATGGCAAAGGATCTCAATAGATGGTTTTCCAAGTACAACGTAGCACTTCCACCAGATATATGGAGAACTGTTGAATGCCACTAAGCAGCAGAGAAATGAAAGTGAAAAATTCCAATGAGCTATCACCTCACACCTTTTAGGATGGTACTATGAAAAGCAGAAAGGTGACAGTGTTGGCGAGTATGTGGATCAAATGCAATGAAGCCAGAGATACTGCTGGAGAGGTGAATAGTTATAGCCACTATGGGGAACAGTGTAGAGCTTCTTTAATATACTTAAAACAGAGCCACCATTGATCCCACAATCCCATTTCTGGTATGCATCCAAAGGACATGAAAAGTGTAGACTGTAGAGATATCTGTAGTCTATGTGTACTGCAGCAGTAGTCATTAGAGAAAAAGCACAAAGAACACCTTTGTGTCCACTGATAAGGTAGATGAATAAAAATGTTGTATGTAGAGGTTATGGAGTCAGGTTTGAGGAGAGGCAGGTGAAATTTGTTCTTCTGTGTTGGGCAGGATAGTCTGACTTCTGTTTTTATTCTTTCAGATACTGTGGCCAAGGATGATTATATTTTTTGTGAGTTTTCTGCCAACCAAGTGAGTAGCACATTTTTATAAATCTAAGTGTGTTCTTTTGTGTATCTGTAAGCACATATGTGACTGTGCATATGTGTAATTAGGTTTTTGACACAATTTTCATTTAGTGAATATAGGTAAAAAGGATTTCTACTTATAACTTAACTCCTAATAATTGCATCTTCTGTGTAACCAAAAGAGGGCAGTAATATTTACAAATCAAAGCAAGTGGTGTTTTAAAATACAATTTACATAAATGCCTCTGTGTGTGTTTCCCTAATTGTTTTTCTTAGAGTGTTATTAAATAATTTTGTAGTTTCTGAATACACATTAATAGAGAAAGCTCACAGGCATGAGAGCAAGGGAGCATGTGGTCTGGGTGGAGTATTTGAATGACTGGGATATTTGTGTATTACAGGTGTACTTTTGTGCTTAAATGTGCTCTGTTGTTTTGCAGAGTCACTTGGATGTGATGGTTTTAAAATCAAACTACAAGGACCTCACTGATTTAGCATTTCAGGAGATTAAAGTCTTTGGGACACGGGCACTTCACAATGTGATAGTGAAATACAATGGTGTCCTGAATCAAATGTCTCCTAAAGTGACTTATGATCCTAACCTGAGGGTAAGAATCTATTTGGTTGAGTTGGTTTTTTTCCAGAATTCTTCACAGCATCTTCATATTTCTTCCTCTAATGGTTTCATGGGTCCCTGAAGGACCAGAGCATTTATGAGGCCAGTCTTGGGATATTCAGTGTGCTGGGACAAAAGGTGAAAATGAGGAACTGGTCTGAACTAGAATGGTTGGAGAGACTGTAGGGAACATGGGATAAGATTCAATGTTCTTTCATGCTTACTGTCTTCTCTGTCCCTCAGTGTTCTGTTCTCTTCACTGTCAAAAAAACAGTATTATGGGCAGAGGAGCAGAGTTAGGAAAGAGGGGAACAGGATTAGAAAAAAAAAAGATCTGTAAGTTGGTGGCTGATGGTGAGAGGTAGGAGTTGCATGATTTAAATTATGAGCTGCCTCTGTTATTGTGTTGATATATATATATATATATATATTCTAAAAAATACTTTTCAGAAAACTAATTTGATTTTCCTAGTGAATGGATGCATGCTTGGTGAGGTGAGAATAGTGAAATGTTTCCATCACTGTAATGAGCTCTGAGAATCCTGCACTTCTTGTATCAGTTCTTCTGATGACTTAGCGTTGTGAGTGATCCTTTGCCAAGCAATCCTGCCCACAGGTGCAGGTCCTCTGGGAAATGGAGCTGCTGAGTGTGCATGGATTGTGTGACACCTTTCAAATCTGAGGGAAATTAGCTTATTTAGACTTCACTAATAATGGTATATTAATCATCTTGGACATGTTGAACAGAAAACACATGTTGAGAATGCACATGTAATAGATTTACAATTAAAACATTTTCTGGTTGATGCTACATATGGCAATGTGCAAGTCCTTTGAAAGCTTCATATGTGAGAGCATACTAAATCCAAATATGTCAAAGAAGTTAATAAATATAAGACCAAGGGAACTCTTTCATTGTTTGAATTTAGTTGACAGAGAGACATAATTTGTACACATGAATCTATTGAGAAAAGAGCAGGGAACACAAACCAACATATGGAAATATTATCTGATGTCTTATTTTGTGTATAAGGTTTAATGTAATAGTCGAACCAAGATTCTTGGAGAAGACTGGGCTTAGGTAATCGTTGGAAAAGGGTGTTCCATGTAGGGATGTATTAGATGTAAGTGATAAAAAAAACCCGAAATAGTAACATATAAGGAGTTTTTTCTTTCACTTTTGGAATTTTGGAAGGTTTAGAGCTTCTGTCTTTGGCTCAGTGGCTTAGAGTTGTAAGATTAAAGTCTTTTCTTCTCTTGTGATTGGAAATGTCTTCATGATTCAACTCAGCATGATCTGTTCCAGGAAGAGTGAAAAAAACTTAAAATAATTTGAGGTATGAGAAGGCACAAGCAAAGGTGAATTGGTAAGCACATGAATCAGGAAAGAAGGCTTTCCAGCAATGGTTATTGTGCTTCAACTTCCCTTTTCATGGCCACAGATATACCACATTGATTAAAACTTTAGCTATTAATTTGGAACATTAGCATTTTAAACTTAAATAGTCAGTAAGAAGAACACATTACACATAAACCAAACACTAGCCCTGTATTTCACAATGGGCACCATTTTCCTAGAAAGGACATTTTTTTCTAGGTAAAATATTCAACGTTAAAAATCAGAATAACGTAGGTCGAGGGCTGAGATAGCCTTGTGGTTTCCTTTATTATAGTACAGGTAGGATTCACTTTTGGAAGGAGATCAGTTTGTATAGCATGGAAGTTGTGGTCAGGTTTGGAGAGGCTTAGATGTTAAAATGAGAAGGTTTGATTGGATTTAATTCTCAAAGAGTCTTTTTGTAATCCTTGAATCTAGGCATGATTGAATGTGGAGATGGGAGATGGGGATTGTCAGAACAGAAAGTACAGGATAATTTACACTGGGAGGACACTGGAGAAGATGGTAACACTTAAAATGTGATTTTATTCTCCAAGTAAATCAATTTGTTGACTTTTTTAAGTGCAGTTTTAAAAGTTAAACTATTTATATGATCTGAAGGGAAACCAGAGTATGGAAACTTCTATTTAAGGAAGAGTCAAAGATTAAAAAATATAGAAAGATATTGACTATTTCAATTGATAAGTCTGATGCAAAAACTGTTTCCTGTTTTAAGCCTTTGGGCTTTAGTAATGCAGAGGCTTGGATTTTTGTTGAAATTGTTCCAGGAATTGGGGAGAGGGGATAATGGAGAAAATGGAAGGGGTGAATTCAACCATGATTTATTGCAAGAAATTTAGTAAATGTCACCAAGTGCCCTCAGTACAACAATAATAATAAAAAATTTTTTTTACAAAGAAAGGAAATAAGATTTTCCCAACTTAACCAATTTTGCAACTGATGTATCTGAGATACAAGGAATTCAGATAATTGGTCTCAGATTCCAGAGAGAAATGACAATGGTAACATAGGCCAAATGATTCTTTTTTTTTTCTTTTATTATTCATATGTGCATACAAGGCTTGGTTCATTTCTCCCCCCTGCCCCCACCCCCTCCCTTACCACCCACTCCAGCCCCCTCCCTCTCCCCCCCACCCCCTCAATACCCAGCAGAAACTATTTTGCCCTTATCTCTAATTTTGTTGTAGAGAGAGTATAAGCAATAATAAGAAGGAACAAGGGGTTTTGCTGGTTGAGATAAGGATAGCTATACAGGGCATTGACTCACATTGATTTCCTGTGCGTGGGTGTTACCTTCTAGGTTAATTCTTTTTGATCTAACCTTTTCTCTAGTTCCTGGTCCCCTTTTCCTATTGGCCTCAGTTGCTTTAAGGTATCTGCTTTAGTTTCTCTGCATTAAGGGCAACAAATGCTAGCTAGTTTTTTAAGTGTCTTACCTATCCTCACCCCTCCCTTGTGTGCTCTCGCTTTTATCATGTGCTCATAGTCCAATCCCCTTGTTGTGTTTGCCCTTGATCTAATGTCCACATATGAGGGAGAACATACGATTTTTGGTCTTTTGGGCCAGGCTAACCTCACTCAGAATAATGTTCTCCAATTCCATCCATTTACCAGTGAATGATAACATTTCGTTCTTCTTCATTGCTGTGTTCTTCCTACAACTCTGAACAGTGGGAAACACTGATTCAGAGAGAGGTGAACCAGAAGGATAGAACAATTTTGAAAGATTAACAAGAGACCTACCAAAAATAGAAAAAGACAAAAGGGGTCAGAGATGGAACTAAAAGGGGTAATCACAAAGGGTTTTATTTGACCTAATTGTTTACACAATGTAATGTACAAGGTTCTGTTTGAGTACTGACATACTTATACCCTGTCAGTAATCCACATTCATGCATCTCCTTTCCCATATGCTGAAGTAATGCATCACTTGTCATTGTTGATAGGCCGGTCCCATTTCCATTGTTCCCTCCCCCTCAAAAAATTCAGATCAAGCAGGGATTGTCCTGAGGATGAATTTTCTTGTGCCTTTTCCACAGGTTGCAGTCATCACAGAAATTAGTCTCACCCTGGGAGAAGCATACACGGTGGAGTGGGACACCAACATACGGGATGAGGAGAAAATAGACTGCTATCCAGATGACCATGGTGTTTCTGAAGCCAACTGCATGGCCCGTGGCTGTGTCTGGGAGGTAACCTTGCTACTGAGGGTATTAGAGAACTAAGATCCTCTGCAGCTAACCTGTGGTTTCATGAGCAAAGCACCAGTGCCTAAGTATCCACGAAAATCCATGCAAAGAGGGGGCCTCCAGTGGATCCTCATCTCAATATGAAGAGTAGGTGGGACAAGAATGCGTGCTTTAATAAATATTTACTTGGAGGCTGGGAATTTAAATCTTTTCCACTAGCCAATGAAATAAAGTGAAAAAGAGATATGGTGGCTTTTTCTCCATATAAATTGCCATTTTTAATCCTTTCTATGCAGTAACGTTAGGACCACATGCTGATCTGATACTGACTTTGCTTTTCAGGAATCCAGTTCTATTGGAGTTCCTTATTGCTACTTTGTCACTGATATGTATTCTGTCAGCAACATTCAGTATAACTCAGATTGGGCCATGGCTGACATCTCTTTGGAGTCTCCTTACATCAGTGCCTTCCCCTCCACTCCTGTGAACCCCCTGCGCCTGCTTGTGACCTACCACAGCAATGAGATGCTGCAGTTCAAGGTAAATATGTAACTGTATCAGGTGTCAGTAAGTTCCTTTCAGTTCAGTTACCCTGCTAGTCATTGTCTTGGAACCCTAAACTAAGTATATTCCATTTTCAAATAGACTAGATCATTATCCCAATGCAAACAGCCAATGACAAATCCTTGATAGAGAAGTGAGACCTTTCCGAATTTGCATTTTGAAAAGATTACTGTAGCTACTAGATAGGAAATGATTGTGATACCATGGTGTGGAAAGTCCAGGGAGGAGCCTACTAGTTAGGTTGTTTTATTGCAGGATTGAACTTGGATATATGTAGGAAGGAAGGAGTAAACGAGGATGTGTTTGAGGCTGAGAGGTTGGAATGACACGACCTGCACCCTGAAGGCTTGGGGAGTTGAGAAAGTTCATCAATGGACTGGGGTGGGCTAGTCATTCTTTTTAATAATTTCTCTATTAAGTTGTGAACTTGTTCAAGACCAGGCTTCCTCCTTTCTCTTTGGTGATTCTGATCTAAATCAGAGGCTAGTAGAATGTAAGCACTATGTAAATGCTTTGAATTGTAGCTGTTTTGAATTATATGATGTGTTTTAATTATAACCACTGTCTGTACAATACGACAGCAGAATGTATGAATTCTCTTTTTTATTTTCATATTATTGCTGTACTAGGGGTACCTTGTGACATTTACAAAAGTGCTACATTATATTCTTATATTCACCCCTCCATCATTCTTCTTATTGCAATCCCCCCATACAATGTATACACTCTGTATCTCCAATTAAAAATCAATTAATTCTTGTCTAGATTTTATGATCCCAACAACAGCCGATATGAAGTCCAGTCCCTGTGAACATCCCCAACATTCCATCTGGCACCTCTGGGACTCGACTCTATGATGTCCTCATTAAAGAGAATCCATTTGGGATTGAAATTCGCCGGAAAAGTACAGGCACCATGTACGTGGCTTCTGGTCTTATTTGGAAGTAGTGGTTACCTAAAAATTCCTAAACATGCCAGGCCTGGTGATTGGAGCTAGCCTGGCCAAATTATCACACCCATTCCAGATCCATGAATAAGTGATTTCCTTCAGACTGATCTTATGTGAAATCTTTGTCACTAGAATGATTACTGAGGCAGCTACTTGTATCTGGAATTCACCCAACAAGTATTTATTAGGTACCACCTCTGTGTTGGGTGCTGTTCTAGTTCCTGTTGCCATAGACAGGAAAGGTGTTTCTTTTTGTGAAAGAAGTGATGGTTTATATTATAATATAAAAGGAAGTTGATATTGTGGTAAGTGTGGTTTAGGGAGAAAGGACAGTGTCATCAGTGTTTTGTGTTGGTTACTGCTTTTGGTATAGTAGTTGAGGAGGGCTCTCTAAGTGTTACTTGTGCCCCCACTAATAAGGTCTGCCTCCTATTCTGAATGTTCACCCTCATTAAGAAAACAATGGTATTATATGTGTAATATTCTAATGTGAATGAATGTAAAAAATGAATGTACTTGTACTTTTGGCCAAATGGCAGAGAGAAATTCTTAACTTGGCCTTGTCATGAAACAGCCCAGAAATATGCATATGGAGATATTCTTTTCTTCTGATCTAAGTACTCCTGGGGTGGCCTGTTCTCACTTCCATGTGGAATTTCTTGGAGCAAAACCTAATCTCTAGGGTCCCAGTGACATGAGGATGAGATAATTCTTGAGATAGGGAATGGATCAGCTAGGAGCTCTCCATGTGCTATTCTGAGGGAAGGGAAAATATTTAAGAAAATGAAAAATTGTGTACATAGTTGGGGGTAGTAGGGAACTTCCCAGGGCAAGAAATAAATTAAGTCTAGTGCAGTAAATGAAGAGGGGAAGGTGGAGACAAAGCTGGGTTGTTTGGTGAGCTTCAGATCAGTGAAAGCGTTGAATGATTCATAAGGTGTTTCCATGTGAACTCACTGAAATATGAAAATGGAGACAGGGGAGTGCTATGATGGAGGTACACTTAAAAACATCTCTCTGGATGCATGTAGAGACTGGATTATCAAGAGAAAGAGTAGAAGGGGGTTGGATGACCTGGTAGCAGTTAAAATAATGAGAAATGATTGGATTTGGGATTATGGAGATATCAGTGAGGTGGGGAAGTGATTGAGGAAAGTAGAAGAATGGTGATTCCTCATCTTTTCATAAGAGTGTCCATGATTATTTTAATCAAGTAGATATTGTGTCTTGCTTGATGTTCTCTGTGGGTGGGTAGAAGACCGGGTTCTGTTGATCTTGAAAAGTTAAGTGCTTGAAGTCAATAAGAAAGCTAATTTTCTTCCCCCAAATGACCTTTTCCTGTTGCAGCTGGGACTCTCAGCTCCTTGGCTTCACCTTCAATGACATGTTCATCCGCATCTCCACTCGCCTTCCCTCAAGTACCTCTATGGCTTTGGGGAAACTGAGCACAGCTCCTTTAGGAGAGACTTGAACTGGCACACCTGGGGCATGTTTTCCAGAGATCAACCCCGGGGGTAAGGACAGAGTGTTTGTGGTCTGCCACTGTACTTCTTTGCACCAACACGGTGTGCCCTCTAGGCCTCACCTTCCAAGACTCAACATGGATTATCACATTCTTCTTTTAGGCAAATGGGCCAGTTTTCGGGCTCGTTTATTATGTGTTTAATGTTCTTTTAAGAGAAGTCTAGACCCATCTTAAAACTTTTGTTGAGTTTATTTCTCAGACACAACTTCTAACCTCTTACAACTTCTCCATATAACTCTCAGTACAAGAAGAACCTATGCGTGTTCACCCCTACTACATGGGACTAGAGGAGATGGCAGTGCCCACGGAGTCCTCCTGCTGAACAGCAATGCTATGGGTAGGATGAAGCTGGCCCTTCCTTTTATCTGAGTACTAATCTTTCTTGACTCAGTGTAGAATATATTGAATCAATTTGAAGCTATGGGTAGAGCTCTCATTCTGGAGCATGATCTATGATGAAAAGTTTCTGATGTAGGAAAGGGTAGAAAATAAGGTGATTGTTAAAAACTGTATTAAAAATTGGTGGATGTGAATCATCTATCCTTAGTGAATAATTATTTGTCTATTGAATTTTCCTGGTTTTGATAAGCTATAATATTTCTATAAGGTATTGTCATGGGGAAAAGTGGCTAAAATGTTCATAGAAACTCACAGCACAATTGTTGAAACTTCTTTCCAGTCTTAAACTGTTGTAATAATAATTTTGAAGGAGCAGGATGATAAACATAATAAGAAGACACGCAAAAGGGAAAACATCCTAGCATGGGTTCCTGTAGCCGTTCTCTTAAGTTCTTCATTCTGGGTGCTATAGTGCAGAATATGTGCTCTTCGTATTGAGCAATGGAGGAGAGAAAAGGCATGGTAGCCAGAGCTCATTCCTCACTTTGAAGGTTTGAAGTTTCCTTGGCATTTTCCTGTTTTCAGATGTGACATTCCAGCCCATGCCTGCCCTGACATACCGTACCACAGGGGGAATTCTGGACTTTTATGTGTTCTTGGGGCCAACTCCAGAGACTGTCACTCAGCAGTACACTGAGGTAGGTTGAAATTCATTTTGTTGTCAGATGTTCATACAGCGATTCTGTGTTCCAAGACTCACATTTGTTAGTGTGACTCTCACAGCATAACAAAATTGTTGAAATTTCATGGAGGCAGCTATGTTTTAAAGTAATGAGCAAAAAACACATTCTAATAACCAGTAATTTCAATGCCTCTCACATTGAAATTCTTCTATTCTATCACAGAAGAGGAGAAGCACAGTCATGTTACTGGTGTTCGGGGTGAGGCTACGTTTATAGTGATGGTGGTGGTGATGGGGATGGTGGTGATCGGGGTGGTAGTGCTGACAGCTTTGGTGGTAGTATTGGAAGTTTTTCGTGATGGTGGTGATGGTGATGGGAGAGATGTGGGGAGTGATGGTAACATTGGTGGTTATTTGGTAGAAATAACAGTTATATCCTAATTAGTGTATGTATTACTTAGTGTATGTCTGAGGACTTCAGATATCGGATCTCCATCAGTCCTCCTATAAGACAGATATTCCTCCTATCCCCAAATTACAGGTGAAGAAGCAAGCACAGAGGCTAGTAAATGTTGCCCTAGGTTGCACAGCCAGCAGTACCTCGAACTTGCATACTGACCCATGTATTTTGCCTCTGGGTTTTTATCCTTTTAATAGTAAGTTAGACCACATCTCGAAATCAGAAAAAACCCTAAGCTTTTCAGTATTCCAAGTACAAGCTCTAGTGTAACAAGAGCATTTCCACAAGGTAACCTAGTGCTCTGATCCCTTCAGATTCTCTTTGCATTTGAATTTGTTGACTCTCTAGATTGGGCACTTGGAAAATATTTTTGTTACTTCCTGACAATATCATTCTGGATTCTATTTTGAGAACTAATACTTTAAACTATATTCTAGTTGATTGGTCGTCCTGTGATGGTACCTTACTGGTCCCTGGGGTTCCAGCTGTGTCGCTATGGATATGAGAAGACTCTGAGATCTCCAGCTTGTACGATGACATGGTGGCTGCCCAGATCCCTATGTATGTATAAGGCATGGTAAACTGTCTCTATGACCTCATAGCTAATGTAGGTGTCTCTGGGTTTACATTTGTATGTTGATTTTCATACTATTCTATAAGAAGTCAAAGTGCTTTCACTTTGATGTCATAATGAGTCTGACCCCAGCACAGTGATACACATGGGAATCCTGCCCCTAACTAGTCATTCAAAATCTCACAGTGAGGACGTAGGACTGATTTTAAGACCCTTTGCGTTTTATCATACTTTCTTCCTTTTCTTTTACATTACTTCAAGACTTTTACTCAAGTGATTCTTGGTCCCAAAAATCAGAGATTTCTACAAAAGTAGTTCTGCATAATTTAAAATATTAAAACCCCGAATTAACTATACCATTTTATGTTTAGATACATCCCGAATACAGTTTGTGGACTTGGAGCATAGTATTAGTTCAGTCCTGAGCTACCCACAGGCTGAATCTGGATGGACTTCTAGAGGAAGCATTTCTGGAAACAAAACTTTATCCTTCATCATTAATTAGAACTGATCCCATGGACCACTATCATAATTAATTTTATTCTTCTATTGTTTACAATTTTTTGATCAATTAAAAGTAAACAAATGCAATATATCATTCTTTGTAAGAAAATGCTATGTGATTACCAAAAGGTTGGCTATGCCATAGGAATTACACACTTGTTAGTATTTCTTTGTAGTAGATTTACTGTTCATTTAGTATTATAACTAGAAGATCACATTATCTACTAATGAGAACCACTGATTCAAGGGCAATCACATGTGGGAAATTATCACACTCATTCCTCTACTGGCAGTTTACAGAGTCCTTTCTAATATATGGTATTTAGTGATCTCTGTAACATCCATTTCTGATAGGCATTATGAGCCTAGTATTTACTTCTGTATGTGTGTGTGTGTGTGTGTGTGTGTGTGTGTGTGTTTAGATTATTTTCTATTTTCTGAGTAAAAATTTAAAACTAACAGGTGAATTTCTCATTCCATAAATTACAAATAACAGATCTCAATTTTTAAAGACTCACAAAGAAGCCATTTGAAATTCACCATCGGTGGTACAGGGGTCTTTTCTTCTGGAACCTGCATGTGTACCACCAGCCCCCACTCTGATTCCTTGTGTCCTCCCCCAGGATGTGCAGTACTCAGACATCGACTACATGGAGCGGCAGCTGGACTTCACCCTCAGCCCCAAGTTTTCTGGATTGCCAGATCTGATCAATCGCATGAAAGACAGAGGGATGCGGGTCATCCTCATTCTGGTTAGTCCTTGTGTGAAGATGGGTGTGTCTGGGACAGTGAATGGGCTTTGGTACAGACGGCCTTTTATTTTCTTACTTTCCATGTCACAAAAGGGGAAATTAAAAGTGCTTTTCTCAGAATTCTCACTCTATAGTTTGAATTTAGGGACATCATTGTGGAGAGATTCCCTTTTTTCTGTCTTTGGTCATTCTCTTCAGTTTGATTTTCCACCTCTCTTGTGTTTGACGTCAGGATCCAGCCATTTCTGGTATGAGACAGAGCCGTATCCTGCCTTCACTGAGGGAGTGCAAGATGATGTCTTCATTAAGTATCCAGATGATGGAGGAATTGTCTGGGGAAAGGTACGATCAAAGTGGTGATCCACTAAACCTAGTCTTAGTGGGGGGGAGCTATTAATGTGTTCATTCATTTTGTTTTAGGTCTTTTCTCTTTGGAATCTTAGATCAGTAGTGATTTTTGGAAGGAGGTAATACCTGTGTTGAACTCAGGGCTTTGTGCGTGGTAAGCAGGCACTCTGCCTCTTGAACCACTTTGCAAGTCCTTTCTTGGTTGGTTTCTTTTGAGACAGGTTCTTTCTTCTGTGCCCACAACTTGGGCCTAATCCTCTTATTCATGCTTCCTGCAGTAGCTGGGGTGACAGGTACACACCACTGTGCCCAGCCATTGGTTCAAATGGGGTCCCAGAAACATTTTTGTCTGGACCGGCCTTGATCATGATCCTCCTGATCATATCCCCAGATGGGAATTGTCTGGGGAAGGTATGATTGATCTAAGTATGATCCATTAGCCACTAGCCTGAGTGTGAGGAGCATTTAATATGTTAATTCATGCTGTTTGTTTGACTTTCCTATTTAATCTGAGGACTATAGTTTTCATTTTTCTAGAAATATTTTTCCATTTAGTTTAGGACTTTGTGGAATCTAATATGCTTTAGATGAACTCTGCATGATAAATAAAATATATAATTCTGGAACGATGGTCTGTAGTTTGTTAGGAAATTCATGGGAATACATGGGAAATATCTGATGCGTTACTGTTGAATGTTTTTCTCTGCATAGGTCTGGCCTGATTTCCCTGACGTTGTTGTGAACAACTCTCTAGACTGGGACAGTCAAGTGGAGGTAAAAGGCTGTTTATGGATGATGGGTGAAGTCAGTGTGGCCAGAACGGGGCAGCCATAGCTATGATACCAGACATGTTCATACCATGGATATGAGGGAAAATGCTTGGACATGTGCCCCTCATGTCAGTCTGAGTGTGGATTACATTGTACAGAGTAATGTTTTGTTTCCCTTGCTATGTAGTCAATATTGCTCTAGGACTATACCTCAGAGAACTTCAATTATTTATCCATGTCTAGGTGACACAATGATGATTTCAAATCCAAGACTATAGATTTCAGTGGTCCATGGAATTTTCATTGGATGATATCTCTAAGAAGTGCTATCATTTCTCTGAATGAGTATTGTTTCTGTGATTGTGGTTTCCTTGGGTACCCCATTTAAATAGAGTTCCCAATCTTTGTCTTTACTGTTAATGTTGGGGTCTTATTCACTGTATGTTGTTCCTCCTGCATGTACACTTTTCTATCTTCACACATATCTTGGTCATACTCTCATGCTGCCTCTGATATCTCATCTTTGTTTGACTTCTTAGCTTCCAGCCTTACATTAAAATGTTTCTGTCTTCTGGTTCTTGCTTGTAAAGGATCCAGATAGTCTTGGGTTCTGGGTCTGAATTCTTTCCAGTCTCCCTAAGGATTGCATGTTTGAATACATTCATGGTTCCTTATTGGTTTAAAAAATCTTCAGCCTCATCATTTAATTCCAATGTGCTCCCCAAGAATTGACACAGCCTGTTTGATCTGTTATCAAATGTAATAATACCTGTGAGCAGAGTTCTCAGGTTTGTGTTGGGAATTCTTCTGGATAGAAGTACCTTGACTTAATGTCTTTAGCTCTTCTTCAATATTTACTGTTCTTTCTGGAGAGGAATTTTGGTAGTGCTTATGTTGATTTTGTAAACACAATAGAGGAGCTGGGCAAAGAGAAAGTATTTCCCAGGACACTAGCCAAAGGTTAAAGGTCTAAAGAAGCTGACCTTTGTGTGGACAGCAAGGTGGTGTAAGCAGTAGTGTATAGAAACTATCAGGATTAAGGATTCATCTGATAAATATCTTTACTGTGTGACCAAAGCACAGAGGTTGTGAATGTAGTTATTAGTCACTCAGAGCCCTAAAGTCTCAGACCCATGTTTAATCTCTTTCCATAAATATAGAATACAAGTCATTGAAAGGATTTATAGGAAAAGACCCCAGTCCCCAGAAATGGGACTGGCTGGTGGTAGGGGAAATATTCATGCCTTATTCAGAGGTGTTAGATATCATGGCAGATGGACAGTCCTTTAGGGGAAAACAGATATTATATAGAACTACTACAGACTTGGACTCAAGTTTCAAGCTTAAAATAGCTCTCTGAGAGAAGTTAGAAGAACAGTATTGTAAAGCAGTGGTGTACAGTTAACTTCCCTTAGCCTCTGATCTCCTTGATCCCAGTTGGCAGCAGTAATACTCTATGTGCAAAGTGAGATACCTACCCTAGATCAGGCTGCATGGCTATTGGATTAAGTATCTTTAATTTCTGGAATTAGATAAGATAGAATAAATAGAATGTGATGAGCCAGGTTTCCAATATTGATGATAATGATTCAGACTAAGTTCATGGTTGTTTCTCTTGTATTTGCTATTGAACAAGTCTATCTGTGTATCTATCATCTATCTATCTACTATCTATCTATCTATCTATCTATCTATCTATCTATCTATTCAACTATCTATCTATCTATCATCTCTCTGTCTTCTGATAAGGATTCAAGGGAGAGGACCGAGCTCCTTCTCCTTTCCATCATTTTTCACAGAGGGTCAATTTAATTTTGCCTCTCCAGGAATCCCACACTGACAAAGTAACTTACCAGCCTGAGACATTCAGGGACTCAAGCTCTATGGCATTTGAATGCTTGCATTAGGGGGCTCCCTTCATAATTCAGGTAACTGACTGTTTCCTCTGAGACACACGGTTCATCACCCTCTAAGGACAACGCTTCCCCTTAACTTTCAGGTCATTTGGAGGTGTGTGGGGCAGTATTGGTAACCACAGTATGTGGGGGTCCCCCATGTGACCTTTAGTAGGTGATGACCTGGGATGTCCATTGCTCTTATTACAGGGTGTTTTATATTAGGAATTCTTTTGCCCTAAATTCCAGTTGTGCCTTTGGTGAGAATCCCTTCATTAAGGAGCAAAAGTATCTATTATCCTGCTCATAGAGTTTCTCCCTAATCTGAACAATTATGATTATTTATATTAGGAATTCCACTCAATGCTCAATGAGTGTTTGAGGCTGAGATAACTGATGTCCAGATCTAGCATTGCTGAGAGTAGTGTAAAATAATAAAGCAGCCAAGAAACCCATGGAAAGCAGATCTCTGTGTCTGTGTCTCAGAAGTTTAATACAATAAGTCTACAGTAGAATGCAGAAGTGGCATCTCTGCATTTTGGTACCATGCAATGGGTTTGATAAGTAATGCTGTGGCAGTCATGTTTGTGGGCCCATCACTGCTTAAAAATGAAGGAAAGGGAGGGATGAAGGTGTAAGGCAAAAGTTAAGTAGGGACAGGAGGAGACAGAGCCAGCACCCTAGAAAATGTAGGACTTTTAAAATTAGGATCATCAGAGCACCATTTAGTAAGATTAATAAACCATATTTTGCTTTAATTTTCCACTTGCAACCCATATAAGGTAGAATTCTGACTGAGAACACAGCTAACAGTGACTCTTTATTCCAATCTTCCATGCTCCTATCCATCCCATTGTTTCTGACCTTGCCTGAACTGGGCTCTTTGTTGCTGGTGAAAGGTTCTCTTTGTTTAGTTCCATGTTTGCTGTAGACATTGCCCAACAAAAGGCATCCCAAGGTTTCTAGTGATTTGATACCTTGCCCTCAGATTTATGCATTCTGATCCATTTCTGCTCTTTTATGTATGTTTTTCTTTTGTGATTTGTGGATTCTTAGCTGTCTTTTGTCTGTTGTGTATAAGAACATTTGCGGACCAAATGTTCTTCCTGTTGTTCTTACTACACTCACCATTGACATTGATTTGTAATGCAGTGGTTCCCACAGAGTTCTTGAGACACACCAAGGACTGTATTGTCTCACAACATGCAACATGAAGGAGTAGATAGGCTTTTATGGATATTTGCTGTAATTGAGTGGCTTGAATCCATAATTAAATACTGAACATTATTGTCATTTATTTATTATTATGTCAGGTTCTTGCTAAGCATTGTAGGGGAATGAAGATCAATCAGAAGACCATAAAACAAGGTCCTTGCTCTCAAAACTTTTCCAGCATACTGAATAATTAACACTTTGGGTTCACTTTCACGTTAAGATGTAGACATCACTTTCCTTATTTGAAGGAAGTTGAAGAGAAGAGAAGGTTGAAAGTTCCTTCTTAAGCCCTCCCACTTACATTGCCTGTAGTTTCTCCAGACCAAATGTTCTTTCTGTTGTTCTTATTACCTTCACCATTGGCATTGACTTATAATACAGCAGTTCCCACAGAGGAGGCTAATTATTGAGACACACCAAGGACCCTACTGTCTCACAACATGCAACATGAAGGAGTAGATAGGCTTTTATGGATATTTGCTGTAATCGTGAGCTGAATCCATAATTAAACACAAACATTTAATATCATTGACTTATTATTATGTCAGGTTCTGAGCTAAGCATTGTAGGGAATGAAGATCAATTAGACGAGTATAAAACAAGGTCCTTGCTCTCAAAACCTTTCCAGTATACTGAATAAATAACACCTTGGGTCCACTTTCATGTTAAAATGTAGACATTACTTTCATTTTTTGAGGGAAAATGAAGAGAAGGGAAGGCTGAAAGTTCCTTAAGTCTTCCCATTTTACATTACCTAGAAATACAAATTTCTTGGGTTTCTGAAATTACAGAAAATAGAGATCCATAAAAATTAGTGTAATATTATGAACTATAGTCTTATCCTCCCCTCTTTCCCAGTGGGAATGTCAGGTGGAAAATTCTTCAGAATTGATGCAGTTACCTGATGTCTGAATTTTCTGTCCCTGGCTCCTGGTTCATGCTAGAAGAGTTCTCTGGAAGTGTCTGGATTGTTGAGTGCAGGACAGTAGAACTTTAAAACACCAAGAAGTGAGATCAGGATATTGGTTGTTACCATGTCTTTAGTTTTGAAAAGAACAATATTGCATAGATATTTTTCCAAATGCTGAAGCATGTAATTTGTTCATTTTTCTTTTCTTTCAACTCAATGTTTTTCTAGTAATCTAAGTACATTATACTATGGAGGCAGTGTTTTGTGTATGTCTGTCACTTTTTACCACCATGTAGTACAACTCTTTGCATGATTAAGTTCTTAATACCTGGGTGACTACTTTCTTGTATATTAGTTTGAGAATAGTAAATTGTACTTTATTTTCATAGCAATACCGAGCTTATGCGGCCTTCCCGGACTTTTTCCGTAATTCAGCTGTCCAGTGGTGGAAGAGGGAAATTGGAAAAATGTATAATAATACAGAAAGTCCAGAGAAGAGCTTGAAGTTTGATGGCATGTGGATTGTAAGTGCAGCTTGGATGCCTGTGTACATGTGGAGAATTGTGTGTTCATCTCTGTTTTAGCATGTGGACACTGACCTAGAGTAAGGGGATTATAACCACCCAAGAAAGACTTTGCACATCTCATACTGGAGGAGAATAGAATAGCCCAGTCATTCTCATCCCTCATACCTTGCTTGAAATCCCTAATGTTAAACCTTGAGAGTGATTGCTGAGAGGCCCCTTGAGGGAGATTTCTTTAACCCTCTAGCCAGTCATCCCATAGGAGTTATTTTCTCTTTGTAGCCCATTCTGCCCACAATGTAACGATCCTCCCAGGGCAATGCCTATAGGAATTACAGGGTGTTTAAGGATTTATTCATTACTTCCTCACTTCAGAACTGACAATTGTAATTATCTTTAAAAGCAACCCTGTTTGTGTTTGACATTTCTAGGATATGAATGAGCCTTCAAGCTTTGTGAATGGGGCCGTTCCTGCAGGCTGCAGGAATGCTACTCTGAACCATCCTCCCTACATGCCGCGTAAGGACCCTGGCCTCCTCCACCTGCAGAGGCCTGGCTGGGAAAAGCAATGACTGCTAGAGCTCAGCAGCCAGAGTGTACCTTGAGCACTGTGTGCAGGTCCTCACTGGTGCTGTGGTTTACTGGGGCCCAGAGACAGGAGTACTTCATGTACTTTGCCCCTAGGGTATGTGTATGTTACTGGATCCCCTGGGTGAGTTTTTGGAATTTGCTCAGAGAGCATGTAGCAGTGGTAATGTCTCCAATTGTTCTCACAGCTAGATTTCTTAGTTCTTCAGGCTTATTAAAATTTACCCACACAATTTCTATTACACCAATGGGTAAAATGATGTGACTTCCCCACTGGTAGCTGATGGTGTTTGGAATTACACGTGAGTTTGTCTTGGCTCCATAAATCATTCTTTGTGTGAGTCAAACTCCAGAGATACTGTGGTATTTCCAAGCATCAGTTTTCTAAATGTACGGGGCAAATAGCCCGCACACTTCAAAGGTTTATTGTAAGAGTTATGTGAGCTAATGTATGTGTTCAAGGCACTGCTCGGGGCCTGCTCCATAGTGAGTGCCTGATAATCCCTTGTTCTTCTAATACCTCCACTTCTGCACGAATGATGGTGAAGACACCTGCAGCACCACTGCACGCAGAGCAGAGCACTCTTCTCATGCCCTGAGGGAGGGAGAGTGACCCATGCAGGGGTCTCATGACCCAGAGCTCGATCCCTTAAAGAGCGGCCAGGAACTGAAAGTGTCAGGGCTGTTTTTCACATTTCCAATCTTTCCTCTCAGATGTGGAGGACAGGGTGTGGGCCTCAGCAGCAAGACCCTGTGCATGGAGAGTGAGCAGATCCTGCCGGATGGTTCGGGTGCGGCACTATGATGTGCACAGCCTGTACGGGTGGTCCCAGACCAGACCCACCTATGAGTAAGTCAATTTCTGTCTCCCTCCTCTAGTTGGCATCACCTGTGTGCTCAGCATAGCTTCCCTTCTTTTCCTTAACTACCCTTACTAAGGAGCAAGAATTTCATTACAAGTATGTAGCATTCTTATTTACTCAATGTACACCTGTGAGTATGGATTGAGGTCCTGTGATTATAGTTGTGGAGGACAGGTTTAATAAGTCATAGACTCTTCAGTGAGTTGCAAATATTCCTCGTGGTGGACACAAGCCTGGAGATACCTGATATTAATAGATAATGCAGCTATTGCTATATATCTGTCTCATTTGTTCAAGTAAATGAGTGGGGAAGGGAAACTCTACTCATGACTAAAGTGGGTGGGGGGGAAGAGAGAGAGAGAGACAGAGAGAATATCTTTCTAGCATAGAAAAGAATGTAAGAATCTGAGCTTTAAGCAGATTCTTTAGATAGCCAGAAAAGCATATGCTGAAAGGATCAAGTGTAGTTTTGAAAACTATATGGTTTTCAATCTTTAATGAGAAATGAAAATATTTTTGGGCTTTATCTTTGAGATTCAGGTCTATGTTGGTTTTCTTTTTCCTCACCATCAGGCTGCTAATTTTTTTTTCTTTTACTTGTAGTGTTTTATGTAATGATTCCTGTCCTTAGCTGTGTATCTTTGATAGTGAGAGGTTCAGAATTTAGGCACATAGTCATGAATTACTACTCTACGGGAATATGTTGGGTATTTTTAGTGAAACAATAATGTATTTTCTGTAAGATCTGGTACCTTAATAGGGGTGTTTACTGTTGCTTATGGGGTTTGTATATGGGGTTAGAGTGTTGGAATGCAGTGTTTACATTTCTCTGACAGCTGTCAATGTAAGGACAGAGCTTTATGTACTGGATTGAACAGATGGAAATGCAGAGGCTTTTTAAAAAGACTTACTTGTTTACATTTCATATCTCCCTTCCCTGTCCTCTCCATTTTACTGATTCATTTTCTCCTCACATATAAAAAAACCATTTGTTGGGAAAATAAAAAACAAGACCTAGAGATAGCTTACTATTTTTCGACAACCCATGATGATGTTCTGTATAAAACAAGGTAAAAAGCACCACACCAATGTGGTGTTTCTCCATAAGCCAGTGTGTCCTTGCTCAGGCTCAGACTCCAGGAAGCAAACATTTTGTCACCAAGCCCTATGCCAAAGAACTCAGGAGGGAAACCCTATTGCCTTCCTTCCTCTGCTCTGGTCTCAGTTCTCCTGTTCCCCTCCTAACAGAGCTGTGCAGGAGGTGACAGGAGAGCGAGGGATCATCATCACCCGCTCCACATTCCCTTCTTCTGGCCGCTGGGCAGGACACTGGCTGGGAGACAACACAGCTGCTTGGGATCAGCTGAAGAAATCTATCATTGGTGAGTGGGATTGTTCTGAGGAGCCTCTCTGCCCATAGGGGAGGGAGTTAGATCCTTGATGAAGGAGGGAGGAAGAGGCAGGTCATGAGGGCCTGGCTTGACATTGCTGTGGTTCTCATTGCAGGCATGATGGAGTTCAGTCTGTTTGGCATCTCCTATGTAAGTGACCTTTGGATTCTCCTATCCTCAAGAAGATGGTGGCATCTTTCAGAACTTCTTAAGACGACTTGTTTTCTTCCCTTTATTTCAGACAGGGCAGATATTTGTGGGTTCTTTGAAGATGCTGAATATGAGATGTGTGCTCGCTGGATGCAGCTGGGAGCCTTTTACCCCTTTTCCAGGAACCACAATGGCGAGGGGAACAGGGTAGACCTGAGCACCCACCTTACCTGTTTTGTTGTCATTGGCAACTTCAATTTTGAGCTATATTTTATGCATCCTTATTCCCTGACACAATTTCACATCATTACACTCCGTCAGTGAGCCAAATTTCTTAGTAAGATCTTTTTTTCTTTTTTAAGGAAGAATAGTTTCCCAACATATCCCAACAGCAGAATGCTTTGACATACACTTTGATGACCTTTCTCAGGCTATTAAGAATATTCTGTTCTGTAGTTTCCTCCATAACCATCTCTGCTTTGTTGTGTGTGATCTATAGGAAATAAGACAGAAATAGATGGCATGAATGTCATAAATTACCGGGATTGGATCTGAATCCTTTTTTCTGTCTTCTTTAGAGACAAGACCTGTATCCTGGGATGATGCTTTTGTGAATATTTCCAAAAATGTGATTCAGACCAGATACACCCTGTTGCCCTATCTCTACACTTTGATGTACAAGGCCAACACAGAGGGCATCACTGTTGTGCGGCCACTACTCACGAGTGAGTGTCTTCCTAAACTCCTGCTGACTAAAGGATAATTTATTTTCATTTGTTGGTGTCAGTAGGTGCAAACAATTCTTCCAATTTGGAGATATGCTTTGTTCTGTCATAAGCCTCCAGGCAGAGAACATAGACCTTTTTGTACAATGTGACACTTAGAAAAAGCATTGAATGAAAGACTATATACTGAGTGGACTTTTTTTGGACATGATCAAATACAGCAGAGTAGAATTTATTTTCTATATGACCATGGTAAGACCTTCCATTTTTTGTAGGAGTTTGGTTATGCAGATGTAGACCAAAATGTGTTCAGGTCACTGAAGAGGGCATTCTAGATTAGAAGGATGAGGGCTTCCTTGTATTGAAATGTGCTGTCATAAGGTAAATTGAAGGTGCACAGGAGAGCACATCCCTAAATTGTTGAGGTATGATGAACACAGCACGCAAAAAGTGGAGACAATGTGATCGTCACTAAGCTTGAGTAGAGGAAAATGTGATAGGCTGCAGCTGGATTTCTGACCTGGGCCTAAACTGGAGGATTTCTTCAAGGCCTTGGGCTGGAGCCCAGTTGGGGCTCTGATTGTGACACGTTCATTTCCTTCTTCAGGTTTGTGTCAGACAGACAGACCTGGGATATAGATGGTCAGTTCCTGCTGGGTCCAGCTTTCTTGGTCAGCCCTGTCCTGGAGTGTGTAAGTATGGAGGCTCCTACTGGGGGGGAGGATCCCAGCTGTAAGGCTAGGTGAATCAGGTTGGAGACGTTTGGTATGAGGGATCCTGAAACATTGCTCCTTACTCTCTATTTGTCTCTTTGTCTCTTTCTGAGTAAAACTCTATACCTTAGGTTACTTGGGTCAGGCCCTTCTTAAAGTCAGCCTAGCAGTTTGGTTCATAGAACAATCAAGAAGAATATAACATGCTTGTATATTTGAAGATTATGTAGTTTGTCCAGAAACTAAAATAAGGAGCATAGAATAAAGTTGGTGGAAGCAGTGTAAGAATTCATGCAGTCTTCTGTCTCCCTTAATGCAAAGCTTACCAGGAGAACAGCATGCAGCAATGTGTGTCTTCTTATTGCTGCTGACCAAGCCTCCATACCTTCTGTAAGTGGTACTGTAGGCAGCAAATCATTTATTTACTGCCTCTGTGAATGATTATTTTTGTGTTTAAAATTCCCTATTTATAACCCCCTCAATCTGTATACGTGCATAATTTTCATATAATCCAACCCAATTTAAACCACGTCTCTTTAGTGAGTGGACAGATAAATCTCTAAGCAAATTGTGATTTTTAATCTGAAGTTATTTGTCCATATGGGCTTTATGAATTGACTTGTTTGGTTAGGAGAAATTTCCCCTGTTTAAAAGAGAAAAGGAAAGGAAGCTCCCAACATTGAGAAACAGCAGGAAAGAGCTTTTGCAGTGGCTCAATTCCATTACCTCTGTTGTAGTCCTATACATGTGTAGATTGCTCACTCTGGCCTTGACATCAGTGTCCACTGCCCACACCTTGTTTGTGTTTAATTTCAGAATGCCACAAATGTCACTGCATATTTCCCTAGTGCACGGTGGTACGACTACTACACGGTAAGATTTGGAAATGATTATACGACCTGGGAAAATGGTAGAGTACAAAGTATTTATGTCTGACAGTGCTCAGGCCAAATGCTTTCATTTCAACTTGGACAAGGTATTTTAAACCTATGGCTTCAGTCTTTCTTACCCATCTGTGATGTGAGAACAATCCCTCCTTCAGAGAAATGTCTTGATGTGATACATGACTCTCACTGAGTGCCTAGTTTTTATCTCTGAGTTTATAACTCTTTCCATCATCTCTAGTCACAGGTATATATAAAAGTAGACACCAGTACATTCTGCAGTTGTGATATAAAATACACTTTTTGTTTATATCTTCTATTACGATAAGTTCTGTTAAAGAGGCCTTATCGTGTCTTTATTTTTAGTAAATATCTGCTTTTCTAACATTGATGCTTAAAGATTTGCTCTATAAAATTACCTAAGATTAGTGAGTTACAAGGCAGTGTATAAAATGCAAACAGGTGGAGGGTTCCATGTTTCAGGGGCATTTACAAATGAGGAACCCTGTTATGTATTTGTGGCCCTGTGTGAGCCCAGGAGATCAGTGTAGAACTGGTCTTGGGAAACTACTCAGCCTGGTCTCTTGAGGGACACAGATGGGTCAGATTCTGATTCTTTGAGAGGGATCACAGGGGTATTCTAGTCTATAACCAGCCTGAGGGGGCCTGACTTTCTGAGTGAAATAGGGACAGATTGGAACACAGCAGGAAGGCAAGAAATGGAGTCTTTGTCCTCAGCTGTCTTCCAGGGGGATTGAAGCTCTTTCCAGGGGGCTGCAAACTGGACACGGGCAAAGATAGTGGAGTTGTTCCTCTTCTCTGTCTGGCGAGTACTAACCACTGTCCAACTCTTTTGCTGCTGACTGGCTCTGTCCTTGGATATCATACGTTAAGACTCTGCTATGTATTTTCCAGCCAGCTCCTGTTTTTGAGGGAGATAAATGAAAACTTTCTTAAGTGACCTTTACATGGTCTTGAGTTTGCATGGTGCTGTTCTGTTCCCATATTGACAGTTGTTTGAGTGTGTTAAGATTTCTGCTGAGGGTCCTGGAGTACAGCTAAAAGAAAGCTCCTAGGGTGCACAGTACAAGGAGGAGCTACATTGTAAGGCTGGCCTTGCATTTACATGAATTGAGTGGGGATCTCCTTAAATTTTGCACTTCAGGCATTTTGCTAGTTTTATCTAGGTTCATCTTCGCCCAAGTGCGAAGCTCTGTACTAAGCTCTGTATGTTTGGAAACTGGAAGCATTTCTCCATGCATTCCCCGTGTAATGAGGAGCTAAGATTTGCTCATGAGAAGCATATGGAAATAGCTGTATGTAGCTCATGAGAGGAAGCGAATTATGACAGATTATGAAGGAGAGTTTTCTGGAATGACAGATATTACCCAAAATTCTATTTATTTATTTTGACATAAGTGGGGAAGAATCTAGTGTCATTTTTTCTTCATTATATAATTTTTTAATGCACTGCAACTCACATAGTATAACATCAACCATTTAGATTATTTTCCATTCCTTTGTTTACAAAGGCTTTAATATAGAAAATAGCATTAGATGAAGAATAGGTAACAGAAATCACGTGGGAAGCTAAATATTAATGGAACAAGGCATTCAATGAAAATAAAATTTCCTTGTTAAATTCAAAATAAAGTTGGTTGAGGGGCTGGGTGTTACTGGCATCTACTGGGAAGAATCTGGGGAGGCTGCTTAATATAAAACAAGCATAGGGGAAACCCATAAGGTTGAATTATCTGACCCAAATGCCAGTAGTGCCAATACTGGTTACTTCTTCTGTAGTTGAAAAAGTGTGAGGATGGTCCTTTAGGATTGTGTTTATGACTCAGCTGTGAGACTACCTCTCATCCAGGAGGAACCATAAAGATGTCACATGATGCCAGGTAAGGATTGTGACATGAGGCAGGTAAAGATGCCAATCCTAAATGCACATGTATTATGTTCAACATGTGGATATGTAAATAAGTTTCTCACTTGAGTCTTTTCTGTGAAGTAAGAGTGAGAAATGTTAGTTAAGCTGGTAGGGATGAGAGAGGGCAGTGAGGAAAGATAGAGACTCAGTAGGTTCTCGGTGAAAGAGAAGGTCTAGAATTGCCATTGTAGGGAGTGTGTCAGGATCCACCAAGAAGTGAATGAATATATTCCTCATCCTCCTCTAGCAGTGTTCCCTGTCTTAGAAAAGGTTATGGAGTGAGGGTGGGCTGGAATCCATGCTAGGACCTCATGTAGTACATGGTATAGAAACCCCTAAACGGTCACAGACTCTCACTAGACATTAGTAGCAAAAATGATTTCACACAACAGTAGATGAATACAAACTGTAGAACAGGTGTGTGCTATAAGGTGGTGGACAGGTGGCAAGTTCAGAGAGGCAGGTGAGATGTTTTGCAGAAGCATGGCTAAAGGAGGTGTGTGTCCTCTCGCTCACCATCTGTTCCCTTCTTTGGCCCACAGGGTGTGGATATTAAGGCCAGGGGACAGTGGAAGGTGTTGCCAGCGCCTCTTGAGCACATTAACCTTCATGTCCGTGGGGGTACATCTGCCCTGCAGCAGCCTGCACAGAACACCTACTATAGGTGAGTGAAGGAACCCTGGTTCTGCTTTGCATACTGGTTAGCTCACTTATTTGGAATGGATGCCATCAGTCACACAAAGATTGTTCTTAAAGCCAAAAGCGATTTTACTGAAGTGTCATATGTATATTTGTTTGCTTTTTTGCTTTTACCTTCTTCAGTCTCTCCATTCTGAACAATTATCATCATCTATGTTAGGTTCATAGGTGTGGAATGATGTTCTAAGAAGTGATATTTGATCTAGAAGTTAAAATACATCAATCATGATTCATGATAGTTTAAAGAGTCTATCTGAATCTTAGTTGGCTACTATCCAAAACAGTATTATTGAAAATTGATAAGTACTATGACTACTGACACCTGGGGCTGAGATATCTCATAAAAGCTTCAAAAATTCTGCTCTAGGCCTATATGGTAATTACCAATAACTAACATCAAGTGAGTTGTTTCTTTGTGTTTGAACTGTGCCAATAGGGGAGCTCTCCTTGGAGACTTTCTATTTTTCCTTAATAATAGGATAAAAAATCGGTTGTTGTGGGGATCATTACAATCCCTGTTTCACAAAGAAGCAAAGAAAGTTTTTCTGAGGATACATGATTTATTGAGTCACATAGCTAGTCAGTGGGGGAACATGATTTAAACCTGTGTGTGTCTGACATCATTCCTCAAAACTTAGATGCCCAGTTGTTTGACTTCAGAGAGTAACAAAGTACTGATGTACTTAGGATATTTGTAAATAAAATTCTATTGTGTACATATTACACATTTTTGTCACCTATTTGTTTATTAATGGCTACCTGGCTAGTTTCTGAGAGTTAGCTATTGTGCATCGCACTGCATGAATAGTCAGCAATCTCTATGCTAACCTGACTGATCCTTTGAGATATACACACAAGTGGTATGGTGGGATCCTAGGGTGTTTCCATTTTTAAAAGTTAGGATTTCATTGCTCTTTATGTCTGAGTAATCACTGATACATTTTTAATAATCTAGTTAAACATGGACTTGTCTGTGAAAATCTTGTCCATCTCTTCCAACAGAGGGATTACTGATGCTTCAATATTCATGGTCATAAGAATATGTATATAAACAAATATTTCCCTCCTATTGGATTTTTCTTTCTCCTTTAATATTGTTAATATTCAAGCACAGTTATTTCAAGGTCTTTGTAATGCCATTGTCTGTAGTCCTTGGGAACTTAAATCTATAGTTAGCTATTTCTGCTGACCTTCTTTCATGTTGAAATATTTACTAATGATTTGTTTTTAAATTTGTTGCTGTTAAGGACCCAATGTAGCTATCCTTTCACCAGAGATGATTTGTCCTTTCTTTGGTTGTGGCCCAGGGACTTTTGCCAACTTAATATCGTGTTATTTTGCTTCAAGTGTCATTGTTTCACAGGGGAATCCAAAGTTCAGCTTTTTGTAGCTTTGATTGCCAGGTTTCAGGGCCCAGGTGCCCCCACAGCCATTTCTACCTGGGAAATTCCAGGTTTTTGCTTACTGTCATGCTTGTGGATTTAGTTCGCTGTTTGGCTCATTTTGTTTGTTGTCCTTTTGGACTAGTGGATTTATGATTTATTTTCTTACAAGCTCAGCTGTGTTTATTTACATATTTTTAAATTTTGTTTTAAGAAATGTTTTTCTTTTTCCCACCACAGGAATTGTGTTGTGATTATCTAAGATCAACTAGTATTTCAGTATGTTGGTCCTCTATTATCCCCCATTCCTCTGGTAGTGTCATTCTGGACTCTTGTAGTATCTTAACTTCTGTGTCAGTTTTCATTTTCTGCTTTGAGTTTTTGTTGAATGTATTTAGTTTTTGTTATACTACTTAAATTCAATGAAGTCAAGAGCTGTGACTTGCATCATTTCTATTTATCATTGTATTTCCTTGACTTCTCAGCAATAATGGCTCAATTCCTGTACTACCTATGAGAGGAGGTGATGTTATTGATAGTGGACTGTGATTACTGAGACTGAACTCTGAAGAAATGCGTTAGAGAAGTGGGGTCAGTGAGGGGCACAGCACGATCAGAGAATTGTGACCAGAGGATGATGAAATGATGAGATTCCAAATGAAATTGCTTTCTTTCTCTTTCCCTACATCTACCTCCTTCACCATCTTTTTGAGTAGTATTTTCTGTTTCTTAATTTTAATCTTAAAGCAAGTTATTGGAATGTTTTGTTTTTCTAACAAAACAAAATTATATAATCAAGGAAGGGAAGTAACCACTATATCAGACGGACCTTCTTGTATGCTTTCTTCTGAGTAAAAATGTCCTTATTAGGGAAAGTGTTTCACGCTTACAGCAGTTGCCTCTTTTGTCGCTGTCATACCCAGTGACCTGACCACACCACTACTGAACAGTAATTCCCTCTCTATAAACATCCAGATTTTACTTAATGGTTGCAGACACAGCTTTTATTGTAACGACTGCAGTGGGTCAGATGCTAACATTCTTGCTGCTACATGGAAGTTTAGTGCTAACGAGTATTTCCATTTCCTGTGATACCACCGATACTGCAGTAAGATGTTCCTGACATTTTTGCCTTTGTGTCTGAAGGAAAGCAGAGCCCTCTGAGCTAGTAACTTTTTCTATGTGAAATATGAGGAAGCGTTTGGCAAAATTCTTTGTGTTATAAGTCTTTGTCTCTTACATAAACCTTGTTTCCCACAGCCGGAAGAACCCTCTTGGTCTTATCATTGCCCTGGATGAGAACAATGAAGCCAAAGGAGAGCTTTTCTGGGATGATGGGCAATCCATAGGTGAGTGTCATGTGACAATGTGACCATTGCTAGCCTCATGTGACAATGTGACCATTGCTAGCCTCCTGTGAGAATGTGACCATTCCTAGCCTCATGTGAGAATGTGACCATTTTAGCCTGAATTGTTCTGTTTGCTTTTTGCTTTTTGAGAAAGGTTTTCCTACGTAGCTACACTAGCCCGGAATTGATATGTAGCCCAGGGCGGGCTTGAACTTACAAATCTCATGGCTGTGTCTCCAAGGCGGTGTGATGATACTCGTGCCCCACCACGCATAGCTAAACCTGCATCTTTGATTTTGCCCTTTCACTCCTTCTCGCTGTTGTGTTTTGGGAAGAAATCTCACTGGGCACATCCCCGAGAGAAGAGTTTTATTGCTAGGTACACCTCAGAAGAAGTGATAGTTGAACTGTAGAATTCCCAGCTTTCTCTCACTGGCAGTGTGGTGTAAAGGATCTCCTTTTATTGTTAACAGACACCGTTACAACATAGTTTTATGACCTTTCCTGTAATTTTTGTAATGTAAATATCTTTCCCCCAAATACTTATAAACAAATGGCAATGCTATGAAAACCACTCCCAGGTGATATATGCATCCCAACTGTGTGCACAAGCTCTGTTTTAGTACACTTGTGACTGCAGTGTAGGAACTCTTTTTGTCTGTGGCTTAGCACATAGAGTCCCGTGAGACATCTGCCTTGAACGCACTTGGAAGAGAAGCCTTTCCTGTTTCCTTTAAAGGGAGTGGGCAATACTGTAGTTTGGCCTCAGACTATTAAATAATTGTCACTCTCAAGACCCGGCTTTTACAAAGGACATTTTATTATTATAAAATATTTAATTAATAAAGAGTGCACCTACTCAAGGTGAGGAACACACACATCATATTATGCAGACTTGCATACCATCAGCCATACTGTTCAGTGCACCCCACAGTGAGACCTGTGAACACACTGATCACCACAGTGCTGTGTATTATGCACTGACTCACATCTCACTTTTGTGTCCACACATTCTCTGGAAGTCACTGCTCTACCCGGAGTACTATAAGTAAAAATTGTATTTTTCATTTCTTCTTTTTTTGTGGTGGTAGTAGGGGCTGAACTCAGGCTTGACCTGACTCTTCCACTTGAGCCACACCTCCATTTTTTTTGGTTTAGTATATTTGGGATAGGGTCTAATGTTTTTGCCAGGCCAGGCTGGACTGTGACCCTCATATTTATACTTCTCACATGGCTGTGATGACAAGCAAGCACTACCATTCTCAGCTATGGATTGGGATTTGCACTTACAGGTTTTGTCTGGGCTTCATATTGAACTGAATCTTCCTTTAGTGTTCTTTATATCTGGAATATAGCTATGAACCAATGTTTCTGGCTAGTTCAAAATTTTGTTTAGATTCACATAGGAATGAGATCACAACTTTCTTTTACTTTTTTGATAGCTGGTATATTTCACTTAGTTATGAGGGATACCAGGTTTATCCATATATCACAAATCTCAGGATTTCATTTTTCATGACTAAATATTACTCTGTGGTTTATTTGTGACACAAATTTTTTGCTGATATTTGTATTGAAGAAATGAATTATAGACTTAAAAATAAGTGCTGAAAGAATAAATCTCTTAGTGTAAAAATAGGACATAATCTTTTTGCCATTTGTCTTGGTAGTAATTTTGGTGAACTTGACACAGAAATCATAGTCAAGAAAATAAAAAAATTAACAAATGTGATACATCAAACTACAATGTTTTTGTAGAGCAAAAAATGCACAAATTGAAATGGCAACCAATAGAATGGATAAAATAACTGCAGGTATTTGTGGCCTAAAACAGTGAATACAAAACATATATAAAGAACTCTTACAACTCAATATTAATGAGTTAATAGCCTGATTTAAAATGGCAAAGGATCTCAATAGATGGTTTTCCGAAAAAAACATAGAACTTGCCACCAGATATATGGAAGCTGTTAAATGCCACTAAGCAGCAGAGAAATAAAAGTGAAAAATTCCAATGACCTATCACCTCACACCTTTTAGGATGGTACTGTGAAAAGCAGAAAGATGACAGTGTTGCGAGTATGTGGATCAAATGCAATGAAGCCAGAGACATTGCTGGAGAGGTGAATATACAGCCACTATGGGGAACAGGGTAGAGCTTCTTCAATATACTTAAAACAGAGAGCCACCATTGATCCCACAATCCCATTTCTGGTATGTGTCCAAAGGACATGAAAAGTGTAGACTTTTTCTTTTCATGTTATCTGCAGTCTCATGAGTACTGCAGCAGTAGTCATCGGAATAAAAACACCAAGAACATCCTACGTGTCCACTGATAGGTAGATGAATAAAAATGTTGTATGTAGAGGTTATGGAGTCAGGTTTGAGGAGAGGCAGGTGAAATTGTTCTTCTGTGGTGGTCTAGCGAGTCTGTCTTTTCTTTTTACTCTTTCAGATACTGTGGCCAAGGATGAGTATATTTTTTGTGAATTTTCTGCCAGCCAAGTGAGTAGCACATTTTCATGACTCTAAGTGTATGCTTTTGTGTCTTATAAACACATAAGTGACTGTGCATGTGTGTAATTAGGTTTTTGACACAGTTTTCATTTAGTGAATATAGGTAAAAGTGACTGTGCATGTGTGTAATTAGGTTTTGACACAGTTTTCATTTAGTGAATATAGGTAAAAACATTTCCACTTATGATTTAACCCCAATAATTGCATCTCTTGCATTATCAAAAGTGTTCATTCATATTTATAAATCAAAGCTGTGGTGTTCTAAAACAATTGATGAAAATGTCTCCATGTTTGTTTTACAATTGTCTTCTTACAGTGTTATTTATATAAATTTAAACTGTAAGAATTTATTGTTAGAGAAAGCTCCAAGCATTAGAGCAGGGGAATAAGTGGTCTAGGGGGAGCATTTGAAGGACTAGGAAATCAGTGTACTACAGGTGTACTTTAGTGCTTAAATGTGCTTTGTTGTTTTGCAGAGCCACTTGGATGTGAAGATTTTAAAGTCAGCCTACAAGGACCACAACAATTTAACATTTCGAGAGATTAAAATCTTTGGGACACAAGGACTTAGAAATGTTACAGTCAAACACAATGGTACTCTGAGTCAAATGTCTCCTAGTGTGACTTATGATCCTATCTTGAGGGTAAGAATTGTTTTGATTGAGGTGTTGTTTTGAAGAATGCTCCACAGCATCATGTTGGCTCTTCCTGTAATGTTGCATGGGGTTCTGAAGGACCAGAGTATTTGTGGGGCCAGCGTTGGGGCAGTTAATGGGCTGGAAAGCTAAGGTGGAATGAGGAACTGGTCTGAGCTAGAATGGTTGGGAAGAAGTTGGGGAATAGGGAATAAGGACCAAAGGTCTTTCAAGTTTACCATCTTCCTGTGGTCCTTGGTGTTCTGCTCTCTCAACTGTCTTCACTTCCAAAGAAACTGTGTTATGGACAGAAGAAGAGCAGAGTCAGGAAAGGGGAACAGGATTAAAGAAAAAAGATCTGAAAGCTGATGCCTGATGGTGTAAGGGAAAGGTGGGAGGTAGGAGTTGCGTGCATTAAACAATTGAAGTGCTGCTTTTAGTGTGATCACATATATAGAGACTTGCTCCAACACATGCATTCTCAAAAATACTTTTCAAAAACTGAATTTGATATTCCTAGTGAATGGATACATGTTTTGTGAGGTGTATCCATTACATCACTGTAACAAGCCCTGTGACTCCTGCACTTTTTGCATCAGTTCTTCTGATGGCTTAGCATTGTGAGTGATCCTTTGCCAAGCAATCCTGCCCCAGGTGCAGGTCCTTCTGGAAATGGAGCTGCTGGGTCAGTGTGGATTGTAGTTCTCCTTAGCGGTTACACTATTTACATCGCCATCAAACAGTGTACAAGGGTTCCTTTTCCCACAGCCTCACCTGCATCAGCTGTTGTTTGTGTTACTGATGACAGCCATTTTGACTGGGATAAGGTGAACTCTCAATGTCAATTTGATTTGCATTTCGTGTATGGCTGAGGAGATTGAGCCTTTCTTCATATGTTTATTGGCCATTGTATTCTCTTTTGAGACTTGTCTATTCAGTTCATTTCCTCACTTATTCAATGGGGTGTGGAGTCTTTGATAGCTTGGTTATTTGAGCTCCCTATATGTTGTGATTATTAATGGTTTGTCAGGTCTATAGCTGGAATAGATTTTCTCCCATTTTAATAGGTTGTACTTCAGCCTGGTGATTGTTTCTTTGCTGTGCCAAAGCTTTGTAGATTCATGTAGTACCTTTGTCAATACTTTCTCCTAATTGCTAAGCTATTGGAGTTTCATTCATAAAGTTATTACTATGCCAATGTGTTCCCAATTTTCCTGAATTAATTTAAAGATTTTACATTAAGTTTTTTTAATCCATTTTGAAATTGCTAGTCCAAGGTGAGAGACTGGGATCTAGTTTCAGTCTCTGCAGTTGGAAATCTAGTTTTCCCAGCACCTTTTGTGGCAAGGCTGTCTTTTCTACAGCACATATTTTGTTACCTTTGTCAAAAATCAGATGGCTATAGTTGTGAGGTTTGGTGTCAGGGTCTTCCATTCTATTCCCTTGATCTTCTTGCCTGTTTTTGTGTCAGTACCATGCTGTTTTCATTACTATGGTTCTGTGGTATAGTTTGAAAGTCAGGTATTGTGGTATCTCCAGTGTTGGTGTTTTGGCTCAGGGTTGCTTGGCTAGTCAGTGTCTTTTGTGCTTTTATGTGAACTTTAAGATTGAATTTTTTATGTTGGTGAAAAATGTTGTTGGACTTTTTGATAGGAATTGCCTTGACCATATAAATTGGTTTTTGTAGCATACATATTTTCACAGTATTGATTCCTCAGATCCATGAGCATGGGATTTCTTCCATCTTCTGGTGTCTTCTTAGATGTCTTTCTTTAGTTACTTGTAATTTTCATTGTATAGGTCAGTCACACCCATTGTTAAATTTATTCTTGTGTAGTTTAGTTGTTTTGAAGCTATTGTGAATGGTATTATTCTCCTGATTTCTTTCTCAAGCTGTTCATTGATTATATGTAGAAATGCTGCTGATGCTCGTGAATTGATTTTGTAGCCTGCTACTTTGCTGAAAGTTTGTATGAAATCTAAAAGTTTTTTAATTGATTTTTTAGGGTCTTGAAGGTATAGAATCACATCATTTGTAATTAGGGACAATTTGATTTCTTCCTTCTCTATTTGAGTCCTTTGTATTTCTTTCTCTTGTCTTATTACTCTGGCTAGGAATTCCAACAGTGTTGAATAAGAGTGGGGAGAGTGGATACTCTTTTTTCATTCCTGATGTTAGAGGACATGGTTTCAGTTTTTTCCCATTAAGAATGATGTTGATTGTAGGTTTGTCATATACAGTGTTTACAATGTTGACAAAGGTGCCTTTTATTCCTACTCTCTTTAGAGCTTTTGTCATGAAAGCATGTTGAGTTTTGTCAAAGGCTTTTTCTGCATCTATGATATGTTGATGTGGTTTTTGTCTTTGAGTCTGTTTATAATTGTATTACATTTATTGAAAAGGTCATACTTGATTTAATTCTCAGAGTCTTTTTATAATTCTTGATATAGGCATGATGGATGTGGAGATGGAGATGGGACAGAAAAGTGCAGGGTGGTTTAGCCTGGGAGTACACTGTAGAAGGTGATAACACATAAAATGTGATTTTATTCCTCCAAGTAAATTTGTGAACTATGTTGAATGCAATTTTAAAGTTAAAAATCTTCATATGATTTGATTAGAAATCAGAGTATGAAAAGTCAAAGATTTAAACCTTTTTTTTGTTGGGGGTTGAAGTAAAGCTTTTTAAAGGAACAAAGGTTTAAAAATATAAAAAGATGTTGAATATTTCTATTGATGAGTTCATGCAAAACTTGTTTCATGCTTTAAGCAGTGATTTTTAATGAAAAGGCTTGGAAGTTAGAAAAGGAAGGAAGTACAATGATTTACCATCTTCAAAAAATTTTACATTTGATAAATCTGAGACCAAAGAATTCAGATAATTATTCTTAGATTTCAGAGATGAATGAGAATGAAAATAAGGCAAATTCTTCTTATTGCTTTCTTGTTTCTATACCTTCAAACCATAGGAAACACTGACTTGGAGTTGGGGAAGGACAAAAAGAATACCTCAATTTGGAAAGATTAGCAGAGACTTTCTTAAAAAAATAAAAAAGGGATAGAGAATTAACAACACTGTGTGATCACAGCAGGTTTTATTTGACCTAATTCTTAGTACCGTATAACGTACAAAGTCTGCTAAAGAAATGCCATATTCCTGGTCTGTATTCCACATTTACCCACTTACTTTCTCATAAGCTGAAGGAATGGGTTACTTGCATTGTTGTTAGACTGGTCCCATTATATATTTTTTTAATCTCAGATCAATCAGGACTTGTCCTGAGAATTAATCTCCCTGTGTCTTCTGTGTTCCCACAGGTTGCTGTCATCACAGAAATTCATCTTATCCTGGGGGAAGCATACATGGTGGAGTGGGACATAGACATACAGGACGAGGAGAAAATAGACTGCTATCCCGATGAGCATGGTTTTACCGAAGCCAACTGCGCAGCCCGTGGCTGTGTCTGGGAGGTAACTTTGCTACTGAGGGTATTAGAGAACTAAGATCCTCTGCAGCTAACCTGTGATTTCATGAGCAAAGCACCAGTGCCCAAGAACCCACTAAAAATCCATGCAAAGAGGGGGCCTCCAGTGGATCCTCATCTCCGTATGAAGAGTTTACAGTGACACAGTGGAATGTTTTTAATGAGTTTTTTGCTTGGATGAAAGAATTTAAATCTTTGCCATGAACCAATGAACTAAAATATGAATGCATGGTAGACTTTTCCTCCATATAAGTTGACACTTTCTAACTCTTTCTATACTGTAACACTAGACCCACATGCTGATTGATACTGGCTTCGCTTTTTAGGAATCCAGTTCACTTGGAGTTCCTTCTTGCTACTTTGTCACTGATCTGTATTCCGTCAGCAATGTTCAATATAACTCGGACGGGGCCACAGCTGACCTCTCCTTGAAGTCTTCTCCTTACATCAGTGCCTTCCCTCCACACCTGTGGATCCCCTGCGCCTGCTTGTGACCTACCACAGTAAGAGATGCTGCAGTTCAAGGTAAATGCAGTAAATGTGTAAGTTGTCAGTAATCCCATTCGGTTCAACTACTCAGCTATCAATATTGCAGAACCCTTAAGTTAGTGTGTCCCATTTTCAAGTAGAATAAACCCTTATCCCAATATTAAAACAATGACCAATCCTTGATAGAGTAGTGAGCCCTTTCCTAATTTACATTTTGAAAAGAATCCTGTGGCTACTGTACTGAACATGATATGACAAAAAGTAATGGAGAGGCCAGGGAGGAGTCTACTAGTTGGGTTGTTCTTGTGTGGGATTGAACTTGAACTATGTCCAGAAGTGAGGGAAACTGAGAAGGTGAGATGGCAAGAGCTTTTACCTGAAGGAATGAAGGAAATGAGGGACAGAGAAGACTGAAGCAGTTCTGCATGTTTCTATCTTTGATCTGTGTAGATTCTAGTGAATTAAACTGAAATAAGGAAATAGCATGCTTGAGCTTGGACAATATAAGAGTTTGGGAACAGACATGAGATGTCTTTTGAAACATCCATCAGTGGACATTGCTCTCTCTTCACTTCTGTAGTTTCATTCCAGCTATGGACCAGGGGTGGGCTAGAAATTTATGACTATTTCTCGATTAAATTATGAACTTCTACAGGATCGGGTTTTCTCCTTATTTCTTGGTGCTTCAGATCTGAATTATAGGCCTGCAGATAGTAACAACTTTCTAAATGCTATCAAAGAAGTAGCTACGTTGAATTACGTGATGTAATACTGTTAATTACAACCACCTTCTGTATAATAGAACAACAAAATGCATATACTCTCTATTCCACTTAAAATCACTTTCATCTGACATAGATTTATGATCCAAACAACAACCGGTATGAAGTCCCAGTCCCTCTGAACATTCCCTTGGCCCCCTCTGGCACTTCTGAAACTCGACTCTATGATGTTCTCATTAAGAAGAATCCATTTGGGATTGAAATTCGCCGCAAGAGTACAGGCACTGTCATGTAAGTAACTCTGGTCTGATTTGGAAGTGGTGGTGACTTTAACATTACTTGCCAGGCTCATTATGGTTGGAGCTAGACTGGCTCAAAACATCATACTGTCGATTCCAGATCCATAAGTGATTTCCTTCAGGTTTGATCTTATGGGAAATCTTTGGCCCTTAGAATAATTAGTGAGGCAGTTCCTTTTATCTAGGATGCACCCAACAAATATTTATTGGGTACCTCCCCTTAGTAGGTACTATTGTAGGTACTGTGGCTGTAAGACAGAACAGGCATTTCTTGGTGTGAAAGAAATAATAGTTTACATTACAATGTAAAAGGAAGTTGATAATGTGAAAAGTGCTTTTGGGGGATAGAATAGGGTAATCAAGTGTTTTGATAATGCTTTTGATAATGTAGTTGAGTAGTTCTAAGTGTTACCTGAACTACCAGACCTGCCTCCTGTTCGGAATGTTCATCCTTATTAAGAAAAAAATGTTATAGTTATACATATATAATACATAAGTATTTATTTATATGTGGAAAAATGAATGTATTTACACTTTTTTGGCAAAACTGCACAGAGAGAATTTTTTTTGCCTTTGTTATAAAAAAACCCAGAAATAGAGCTATGCAGATATTTTCTCCTTGGGCCTAAGGAATGCAGATGTTCTGTCCTCACCCTGAAATGTAATTTCTTAGAGCAATCCTAATCTCTAGGAACCCAGTGACATGAGAATGAGATAATACACGAAACAGGAAATGGATCAGTTAGGAGTTCTCCATGTGCTACCCCGAGGGAAGGGAAAAATATTTGCAATAAGAGAAAATTAGTGCACAGCTGATGCCAGGAGGAAACCTGTCAGGGAAAGGAATAGATAAAGTCTAGAGCAGTAAGTAAGGAGGAGAAGGTGGGGCCCAGAGCTGGGGTATTTGGTGGGCTTCAGATCAATGACAGTCTTGAAGGTTTTGTAAGATGTTCCCATGAGAAGGCACTGAAAGATGAACACAGTGGAAAGGGGAGGGCCTTTAAAGCATCGCTGTGCATGCATGTAAGGACTGCACTATCAAGAGAAAGAATAGATGGTAGGGCAGGATGACCTGGTGGCAGTGAAGATGATGAGAAGTGATTGGATTTGGGATTATGGAGAGAGCACAGATAGGAGGCAGTGATAGAGGGATCTGAAGAATGGCGGTGCCTTGTCTTTTCATAAGGGTATCTGATTAATGAAATCAATGTGTTTTAGGTGATGATTGAGTTCTGAGTGGGTTGGTGGGGAAACAGAGGTTGTGTTGATTTCAAAAAGTCAGCAGTTTGAAGCCAATAGGAAAGGTAATTATCTTCTCCAAATTGACCTTTTCCTGTTGCAGCTGGGACTCTCAGCTCCTTGGCTTCACCTTCAATGACATGTTCATCCGCATCTCCACTCGCCTTCCCTCCAAGTACCTCTATGGCTTTGGGGAAACTGAGCACAGCTCCTTTAGGAGAGACTTGAACTGGCACACCTGGGGCATGTTTTCCAGAGATCAACCCCCTGGGGTAAGGACAGAGCATTTGGGTTCTGCCTCTTTACTTCTCTCTGCACACATGGTGTGCCCTCTTGGCTTCACCTACCCAGACTCAACATGGATTGTCACATTCTTCTTTTAGGCAAATGGGCCAGTTCTCAAGCTTCTTTGTTTCTCGTGTGTTTAACTTACTTTTAAGAGAAGTCTAGACCCATAATATCAAACATATTTTTGTTGAGTAACTTCTCATTAAAAATGTATTTTAACCTCTTATCACCTGTTCCCATAACTCTCAGTACAAGAAGAATTCCTATGGTGTTCACCCCTACTACATGGGACTAGAGGAAGATGGCAGTGCCCACGGAGTCCTCCTGCTGAATAGCAATGCCATGGGTAGGATGATGCTGGCCCTTCCCTTGATCTCAGTACTAATCTTTCTTGAGTCAGTGTAGAATATATTGAACTATTTTGAAGCTATGGGGTAGAGCGCTCATTCTGGAGTATGATCTATGATGAAAAGATTCTTGATTGTAGGAAAGGGTAGAAAGTGGTGAGGTGGTTGTCTAAATTTTCTCTGTATATGCCTAATTTGTTGAACAGCTCCTCCCTCTCTATCTATCTTAAGTTTCACATCTATAAGACTACTTTTAGGTCATCATTCTTAACTGGTCAATTTGTAAATTCCAGACTCAGTAGAATATTGTCTTAATTATCATAATGTTATAAAAAATGCTTGATGTCTGGTAATGTCACCCCTCTTTGTTCTTGTTTATAAGTTCTTGACAACTGTATTTCATTAAAAATTTTAATCAGGTTATCAAGTTTCAAAAAAGTCCTGTCGAGACTTTGAGATCACTTTGAGAAGAAATTGACATTTATTATGAACATGAGATTTACTTTTTTATTTATGTACTATCAATGCTTCTTAAAGTTTTATAATTCTGCTAACATTCTTGCACATTTTTAATAGAGTTGTTATTTGAATATTTGGTTGTTCATTGAATTAAAATGGCATTTTAACATTAAAAAAAAATTAGGTGGTTGGGAAAAATTTGTAGGTAATAATTGGTGAAATGTGAAAAGCCTCATTCTTCAGTGAATGTTTATTTGTCTGTCGAATTTTCCTGTTTTGATAACATATAATGTTAAGAAAAGTGCTGTTATTGGAGAAGTTGGTAAAGTGTTCATGGAAACTCTCGGCACAATTCTTGAAACTTCTTGTGAGTCTTAAACTATTCTTAAAAAGTTATAAAAATAATTTTCAAGGTGCAGAATGATAAACACAATAATTAGACAACCAAAGGGAGAACATCCAGGCATGGGATCCTATAGCCATTCTCTAAGTTCTTCATCATTGTGGGTATAGTGTAGACTATTTGCTCCTCATGTGGAGCAATGGAGCAGAGAGAAGACATGGTAGCCAGAGCTCATTCCTCACTTTGAAGGTTTGAAGTTTCCTTGGCATTTTCCTGTTTTCAGATGTGACATTCCAGCCCATGCCTGCCCTGACATACCGTACCACAGGGGGAATTCTGGACTTTTATGTGTTCTTGGGGCCAACTCCAGAGACTGTCACTCAGCAGTACACTGAGGTTTGTGGAAATTCATTTTGTTGTCAGATGTTCATACAGCGATTCTGTGTTCCAAGTCTCATATTTGTTAGTGTAACTCCCATGTGATAACTAAACTTGTTGACTTTTCTCAAGAATAGGTATGTTTAAAAAAGCAGCAATAAATATATATTAATACATTGATTTCAGTGGTTCTCTGTCACAGAGGAGTATAAGTTAGGCATGGTAGTGCTGGTACTGGTGAGGCTATTTTGGTATGTTGGTAATGGTGTCATGGTGAGGAGAGTGGTGGTAGAGCTGGTATCTATGGTAGGAGTGTTGGAAGTTTTTATGGGAGTGGTGATGGTGACAGGAGAGAGTGTGGAGAATGGTAACAGGAGTATAAGTTAGGCATGGTAGTGCTGGTACTGGTGAGCTATTTGGTGATGTTGGTAATGGTGGTCATGGTGAGGAGAGTGGTGGGTAGAGCTGGTATCTATGGTAGGAGTGTTGGAAGTTTTTATGGGAGTGGTGATGGTGACAGGAGAGAGTGTGGAGAATGGTAACATCTTGGTAGAAATAAGAGTTATGTAGCAATTACTGTCTGTACTACTCAGTGGATGTCCAATCACTTCACATATTTGTGTCATTCAGTCCTCATAAAAACAGATACTACTACTATACTTAAGTTACAGGTGCAGAACCAGGCACACAGAGGTTAGTCAATGTGGCTCAATGTTGCACAGACAGCAGTGCTTGGAACCTGCATACTGACCCATATATTTTGCCTCTGTGTTTTATCCTCTTAACTAGTAAGTTAGACCTCCTGTAGAAATCAGAATAAAAGTAAGCCTTTTTAAAATTCTGAGAATGAGCTCTAATCTAACTAGAATCTAGTGGCTGTGTAGTTCTTTGAATTTCTCTCTGGATTTGAATTTGTTTGCTATCTAGTTTGGAGCAATGGAAAATTAATTTCACTTACTTCATGGTCTCCTGCTTTTTCTTTTTAACACCATTTACAAGCAAACAACAAAATTTCATTCTTTTATGGCTGAATAAACTTCATTTGTATATGAATACCACAGTTTTCTTAATCCATTCATCAGTAGTGGGGCATCTTGGGTGTTTCCATTGCTTAGCTATTGTGAATAGTGCTGCAATAAACATGTGTGTTCATGTGCTGTTTTTGTAACCTGACTTACATTCCTTCAGGTATATCCCTAGGAGTGGTAGTAACTTCTGCTTTTAAGGACTAATATTTTATGATTGTGTTCTAGGTGATTGGTCGTCCTGTGATGGTACCTTACTGGTCCCTGGGGTTCCAGCTTTGTCGCTATGGATATGAGAACGACTCTGAGATCTCCAGCTTGTACGATGACATGGTGGCTGCCCAGATCCCCTATGTATGTATAGGGCATGGTGAACTGGCTCTATGAGCTCATAGCTAATACAGGTGTCTCTGGGTCTGCATTTATTTGTTGAATTTTCATGCTATTCTATAAGGACTCCAAGTGCTTTCTAACGTGATGTCATAATGAGCCTGACCCCAGCACAGTAATACATGTGTGCACCTTGCCCATAATTTACACTCCTAATAGTTCAGAATCTGACATTTAGGAAGGCTGGCTTAAGGCTCTTTCTGTTTATCATACTTTCTTGCTTTTCTTTTATATTACTTTAAGACTTTTAGTCAAGAAATATTTGATCCCATAAGAATCAAAGATTTCTCCAACAGTAGTTTTGTTAACTTAAAAGATTTAAACCAGATTTTTAAAATAAAATTTTGTGTTATATAGGTCTCTACTCCATCAGTTTGTGGGCACCATGGCAATGTTATTCTCTAAGCCCTTCTCTACTCGCACGGTGAATAGTGGATGGGTTTCTAGGAAAGCATATCTGGAAACAAACTTTATCCTTCATCTAATAATTAGAGTGATCCCATGGACCACATTCATATTTAACATTTTTTTGTTTTATTTTTCAATCAATGCAAAGTATAAAATGCAGTATATCGTTCTTCATAAGAAAACTCTATGCAGTTACCAAAAAGGCTGTCTCTTCCACATCAATTAACACATTTTTGTCTGTCTTTCCTTTGAAGTAGATTTACTGTTCAAGTGGTATTAGAACTGTAGTGTTCACATTATTTTGTCTTAACATGAACCATGTACTCCAGGAATAGTCTCATGGGGAAAGTAATCACACTCACTCCTTTATATTGGCAATTTCCAGGGCATTTTCTCATAAAGGGATTTTATTGGTCTTTACGACATCATTTCCAGATAGGCATTATCATATTGTCTTAGTCTGTCTGTCTGTTTGTCTCTCTCTCTCTCTCTCTCTCTCTCATCTGTGTGTATATGTTATGTGTGGTTCAAATTATTTTCTTTTGTTTGAGTGAAAAATTTAAAAATGGATATGTGAATATCTCATTCGATAGATTATAAAATAACAGATCTCGATTTTAAAGACTCACAAAGAAGTCATTTGAAATTCACCATTGGTGGTACAGGGGTCTTTTCTTCTGGAACCTGCATGTGTACCACCAGCCCCACTCTGATTCCTTGTGTCCTCCCCAGGATGTGCAGTACTCAGACATCGACTACATGGAACGGCAGCTGGACTTCACCCTCAGCCCCAAGTTTTCTGGATTGCCAGATCTGATCAATCGCATGAAAGACAGAGGGATGCGGGTCATCCTCATTCTAGTCCTTGTGTGAGATGGCGTGTCTGGGACAGTGGAGCTTTGGTAGAACAGCCTTTTATTTTCTCTACTTCCATGTCACCAAAGGAGAAATTTAAAGTGCTTTCTTAGAATTCTTACTCTATGGTTTAAGTGATTCTAGGGACATCATTGTGGAGAGATTCCCTTTTTTCTGTCTTTGGTCATTCTCTTGAGTTTGATTTTCCACCTCTCTTGTGTTTTGACGTCAGGATCCAGCCATTTGGTATATGAGACAGAGCCGTATCCTCCTTCACTGAGGGAGTGCAAGATGATGTCTTCATTAAGTATCCAGATGATGGAGGAATTGTCTGGGGAAAGGTACGATCAAAGTGGTGATCCACTAAACCTAGTCTATAGTGGGGGGGAGCTATTAATGTGTTCATTCATTTTGTTTTAGGTCTTTTCTCTTTGGAATCTTAGGTCAGTAGTGATTTTGGAAGGAGGTAATACCTGTGTTGAACTCAGGGCTTTGTGCGTGGTAAGCAGGCACTCTGCCTCTTGAACCACTTTGCAAGTCCTTTTTTGGTTGGTTTCTTTTGAGACAGGTTCTTTCTTCTATGCCCACAACTTGGGCCCTGGGCCTCCTATTCATGCTTCCTGCAGTAGCTGGGGTGACAGGTATACACCACTGTGCCCAGCCTTTGGTCCAAATGGGGTCCCAGAAACATTTTTGTCTGGACCGGCCTTGATCATGATCCTCCTGATCATATCCCCAGATGGGAATTATCTGGGGAAGATATGATTGATCTAAGTATGATCCATTAACCACTAGCCTGAGTGTGAGGAGCATTTAATATGTTAATTCATGCTGTTTGTGAGACTTTCCTATTTAATCTGAGGATTATAGTTTTTATTTTTCTAGAAATATTTTTCCATTTAGTTTAGGACGTTGTGGAATCTAATATGCTTAGATGAACTCTGCATGATAGTTTCTTAGGAAATACATAGGAATACATGGGAAATATCTGATGCATTACTGTTGAACATTTTCTCTGCATAGGTCTGGCCTGATTTCCCTGATGTTGTTGTGAACAACTCTCTAGACTGGGACAGTCAAGTGGAGGTAAGAGGCTGTTTATGGATGATGGGTGAAGTCAGCGTGGCCAGAACGGGGCAGCCATAGCTATGATACCAGACATGTTCATACCATGGATATGAGGGAAAATGCATAGACCTGTGCCCCTCATGTCAGTCTGAGTGTGGATTACATTGTACAGAGTAATGTTTTGTTTCCCTTGCTATGCAGGCAGTATTGCTCTTGGACTATACCTCAGAGAACTTCAATTATTTGACCATGTCTAGGTGACACAATGGTGATTTCAAATCCAAGGCTTTTTATTTCAATGGTCCATGGAATTTTCATTGGATGATACCTCTAAGAAGTGCTATCATTTCTCTGAAGAGGGTTGTTTCTGTGATTGTGCTTGCCTTGGGTACCCCTTTCAGAGTTCCCAACCTTTGTCATTATTGATTGGGTCTTATTCTCCGTACATTGTTCCTTCTGCATGTACACTTTTCCATCTTCACAAATATCCTGGTCATACTCCTATCCTGCCTCTGGTATCTCATGCTTGTTTGACTTCTTAGCTTCCAGCCTTACATTAAAATGTTTTTGTCTTCTGGTTCTTGCTTGTAATGCATCCAGAAAGCCTTGAGTTCTGGGTGTGAATTCTTCTCAGTCTCCCTAAGGATTGGTTGTTTGAATACATTCTTGGTTCCTTCATGGTTTAAGAAATCTTCATCCTAATCATTTGATCCTGATGTGGACACCAAGAATTGACACAGCCTGTTTGATCTGCTGTCAAATGTAATAGTCCCTGTGAGCAGGGTTCTTAGGTTTGTGTGGGGAACTCAACACAATTAAGGCAAGTACCTTGCCTTAATGTCTTTAGCTCTTCTTCAATATTTACTGTTCTTTCTGGAGAGGAATATTGGTAGTGCTTATGCTGGTTTTGTAACCTCAATAGAGGGGCTGGGGAAAACAAAACCATTTCCCAGGAGACTAGCCAAGGGTTTATGGTCTACAGAAGCTGGCCTCCGCCTGGACCTCAATGTGGTATAAGTAGTAGTGTATAGAAACTATCAGGATTAAGGATTCATCTGATAAATATCTTTATCAAACCAAAACACAGAGATTGTGAATTAGTTATTAGTCACTCAGAATCCTATGGTCTCAAACTTGTGTTTATGCTCTTTCTGTAAGTATAGAATAGAAGTCATTGAAGGAATGTGTAGGAAAAGATCCCAGTCACCAGGAATGGGACTGGCTGGTGGTATGTGAAATATTCATGCCTTATTCAGAGGATTTAATTATCATGGCTGAAGGACAGTCCTTTAGGGGAAAATAGATATAACACAGAACTAGTACAGACTGTGTACTTAGGTCTGAAGCTAAAATAGCTCCCTGAAAGAAGTTAGAAGAAATCAGTGGGTGTACAGTTAACTGGCATTAGCCTCTGATGCCCTTGATCCCATTGGCAGCAGTAATACTCTATGTGCAAAGCGAGACACCTACCCTAAGATCAGGCTGCAGGGATATTGGATTAAGTGTCTTTTTTTCTGGAGTAGATGAAATAGAAAGTAGAACCTGATGGGCCAGGTTTCAAATATTGGTGATAATGATTCAGACTAAGTTCAGGGTTGTTTCTCTTGTATTCACTATTGAGCAAGTCGATCTATCTATCTATCTATCTATCTGTCATCTCTCTATCTTCTGATAAGGATTCAAAGAGAGGACCTAGCTCCTTCTCCTTTCCATCATTTTCCACAGAGGGTCACTTTGATTTTGCCTCTCTAGGAATCCCACACTGACAAAGTGACTTACCAGGTCAAGACATTCAGGATCTTACGCTCTCTGGCATTTAAATGCTTGCATTAGTGCCGGCCCTCTTCATTATTCAGTTAATTGACTGTTACCTTATGAGACATACTGTTTCTCCCCTTTCTAAGACAATGCTTCCCCCTAATTTTCAGGTTGTTTGGAGGTATGTGGGGCAGTATTGGTAATCACAATACCCCCTGTGACCATTAGTAGGTGATGACCTGGGATGTCCATTGCTGTTATTACAGGGCATTTTATATAAGGAATTCGTTTTCCCTAAATTCCAGTTGTGCCTTTTGGTGAGAATCCCTTCATTAGGAGGCATTTAATCTATTATCCTGCTCATAGAGATTTTCCCTAGTCAGAAAAATTGTGATTATTTATATTTGTAAGTTCCACTCAATGAGGCTTTAAGGGCAAGATAACTGATGTCCAGATCTAGCATTGCTGAGACTAGTGTAAAATAAACAGGCAGCCAGGAAGCCCAAGGAAAGAGGATTTTTGGGTCTGTGTCTCAGAAGTTTAATACAGTAAGTCTACAGTAGAACGCAGACATGACATTTCATTTTTGGTACCCTGCAGTGGGTTATGATAAATATTAAGTACCAGTCATGTTTGTGGGCCCATCACTACTTAAAAATGAAGGAATGGGAGGATAAAGGAATAAGGCAAGAGTTAAGTAGGGACAGGAGGAGGCAGAGCCAGCACCCTAGAAAATGTAGGACTTTTAAAATCAGGATCACAGCAACATTTAGTAAGATTAATAAACCATAGTTGGCTATTATTTTCCATGTGCAACCCATACAGAGTACAATTCTGACTAAGAACACAGCTAACAATGACTCTTTATTCCAATCCGTGTCCCCATCCATCCCATTGTTTATGACCTTGCTGAGCTGTGGCTCTTTGTTTTTGGTGAAAAGTTCGCCTTGTCTAGTTCCAAGCTTGCTCTATGTATTACCCAACAAAAGGAATCCCAAGGTTCCCTGTGATGGGATACCTTGCTCTCCCACTCCTCTAAGCCAGATTTATGGATTCTGATCCATTTCTGCTTTTTAAGTAGGTTTTTCTTCTGTGATTTGTGGATTCCTAGATGGCTTTTGTCTGTTGTGGAGAAACTGTAGTTTCTCCAGACCAAATGTTCTTTCTGTTGTTCTTATTACCTTCACCATTGGCATTGACTTATAATACAGCAGTTCCCACAGAGGAGGCTAATTATTGAGACACACCAAGGACCCTACTGTCTCACAACATGCAACATGAAGGAGTAGATAGGCTTTTATGGATATTTGCTGTAATCGTGTAGCTGAATCCATAATTAAACACTAAACATTTAATATCATTGACTTATTATGTCAGGTTCTAGCTAAGCATTGTAGGGGAATGAAGATCAATTAGACGAGTATAAAACAAGGTCCTTGCTCTCAAAACCTTTCCAGTATACTGAATAAATAACACCTTGGGTCCACTTTCATGTTAAAATGTAGACTCTTTTTTCTATTATTATGTGCATACAAGGCTTGGGTCATTTCTCCCCCCTGCCCCCACCCCCTCCCTTACCACCCACTCCGCCCCTCCATTCCTCCCCCCCCTCCCCAATACCAGCAGAAACTATTTTGCCCTTATCTCTTTAATTTTGTTGAAAGAGAAGAGTATAAGCAATAATAGGAAGAGCAAGGTTTTTGCTGGTTGAGATAAGGATAGTTATACAGAGAGTTGACTCACATCGATTTCCTGTGCGTGGGTGTTACCTTCTAGGTTAATTCTTTTTGATCTCACCTTTTCTCTAGTTCCTGGTCCCCTTCTCCTATTGGCCTCAGTTTCTTAAGGTATCTGCTTTAGTTTCTCTGCATTAAGAGCAACAAATGCTAGCTAATTTTTTGGTGTCTTACCTATCCTTACCCCTCCTTTGTGTGCTCTCGCTTTTATCATGTGCTCAAAGCCCAATCCCATTGTTGTGTTTGCCCTTGATTTAATGTCCGCATATGAGGGAGAACATATGATTTTTGGTCTTTTGGGCCAGGCTAACCTCACTCAGAATGATGTTCTCCAATTCTATTCATTTACCAGCGAATGATAACATTTCGTTCTTCTTCATGGCTGCATAAAATTCCATTGTGTATAGATACCACATTTTCTTAATCCATTCGTCGGTGGTGGGGCATCTTGGCTGTTTCCATAACTTGGCTATTGTGAATAGTGCTGCAATAAACATGGGTGTGCAGGTGCCTCTGAGTAATCTGTGTCACAGTCTTTTTGGGTCTATCCCCAAGAGTGGTATTGCTGGATCAAATGGTAGATCAATGTCTAGCTTTTTAAGTAGCCTCCAAATTTTTTTCCAGAGTGTTTGTAATAGTTTACATTCCCACCAACAGTGTAAGAGGGTTCCTTTTTCCCCCATCCTCGCCAACACCTGTTGTTGTGGTGTTGCTGATGGCTATTCTAACAGGGGTGAGGTGGAATCTTAGTGTGGTTTTTAATTTGCATTTCCTTTTTGCTAGAGATGCTGAGCATTTTTTCATGTGTTTTTTTGCCATTTGAATTTCTTCTTTTGAGAAAGTTCTGTTTAGTTCACTTGCCCATTTCTTTATTGGTTCATTAGTTTTGGGAGAATTATTTTTTTAAGTTCCCTGTATATTCTGGTTATCTGTCCTTTGTCTGATAGTTACGGCAAATATTTTCTCCCACTCTGTGGGTGTTCTCTTCAGTTTAGGAGACCATTTCTTTTGATGAACAGAAGCTTTTTAGCTTTATGAGGTCCCACTTATCTATGCTATCTCTTAGTTGCTGTGCTGCTGGTTTGTGAGAAAGTTCTTACCTATACCTACTAACTCCAGAGTATTTCCTACTCTTTCCTGTATCAACTTTAAGAGTTTGGGGTCTGATATTAAGATCCTTGATCCATTTTGAGTTAATATTGGTATAGGGTGATATACATGGATCTAGTTTCAGTTTTTTTGCAGACTGCTAACCAGTTTTCCCAGCAGTTTTTGTTGAAGAGGCTGCTATTTCTCCATCTATATTTTTTAGCTCCTTTGTCAAAGACAAGTTGGTTATAGTTGTGTGGCTTCATATCTGGGTCCTCTATTCTGTTCCACTGGTCTTCATGTCTGTTTTATGCCAGTACCATGCTGTTTTTATTATTGCTTTGTAATATAGTTTGAAGTCAGGTATTGTGATACCTCCTGCATTGTTCTTTTGACTGAGTATTGCCTTGGCTATTTGTGGCCTCTTGTGTTTCCATATAAATTTAACAGTAGATTTTCAATCTCTTTAATGAATGTCATTGGAATTTTGATGGGAATTGCATTAAACATGTAGATTACTTTGGGGAGTATCAACATTTTTACTATGTTGATTCTACCAATCCATGAGCATGGGAGATCTCTCCACTTTCTATAGTCTTCCTCAATCTCTTCCTTCAGAAGTGTATCATTTTCCTTGTAGAGGTCTTTCACATCTTTTGTTAGTTTACACTAGGTATTTGATTTTTTTTGAGGCTATTGTAAATGGAATTGTTTTCATACATTCTTTTTGAGTTTGCTTATTGTTAGTGTATAGAAATGCTAATGATTTTTCTATGTTGATTTTATATCCTGCTACCTTGCGATAGCTATTGATGATGTCTAGAAGCTTCTGAGTAGAGTTTTTTGGGTCTTTAAGGTATAGGATCATGTCGTCTGCAAATAGGGATATTTTGACAGTTTCTTTACCTATTGTATTCCTTTTATTCCTTCTTCTTGCCTAATTGCTCTGGCTAGGAATTCCAGTACTATGTTGAATAGGAGTGGAGATAGTGGGCATCTGGTTCCTGATTTTAGAGGAATGGTTTCAGTTTTTCTCCGTTAAGTATAATGCTGGCTGTAGGTTTGTCATATATAGCTTTTATAATGTTGAGGTACTTTCCTTCTATTCCTAGTTTTCTTAGAGCTTTTATCATGAAATGGTGTTGGATCTTATCAAAGGCTTTTTCTGCATCTATTGAGATGATCAATGTCTTTGCTTCTGTTTATTGGTTTATTACGTTTATTGTGAACCACCCCTGTGAATAATCTTTTTGTGGTGAATAATCTTTTTGAATTCGGTTTGCCATTATTTTCTTGAGGATTTTTTCATCAATGTTCATTAAGGAGATTGGCCTATAGTTCTCCTTTTTGGAGGTGTCTTTGCCTGTTTTGGGATAAGTGTAATACTGGCTTCATAAAATGTGTTTGGCAGTTTTCCTTCCCTTTCTATTTCATGGAACAGTTTAAGGAGGTTGGTATCAGTTCTTTTTAAAGGTCTGATAGAATTCAGCAGAGAATCCATCAGGTCCTGGACTTTTCTTTTTGGGGAGACTCTTGATTGCTGCTTCAATTTCATTTTGTGTTATAGATCTATTCAGGTGATTCATTTCCTCTTGGTTCAGTTTTGGATGGTCATATGTATCTAGAAATCTGTCCATTTCTTTTAGATTTTCAAATTTATTTGAATATAGGTTCTCAAAGTAGTCTCTGATGATTTCCTGGACTTCCATGGTGTTTGTTGTTATCTCCCCTTTTGCATTCCTGATTCTACTAATTTGGGTTTTTCTCTCCTCATTTTAGTCAGGTTTGCCAGGGGTCTATCGATCTTGTTTATTTTTTCAAAGAACCAACTTTTTGTTTCATTAATTCTTTGTATGGTTTTTTTGGTTTCTATTTCGTTGATTTCAGCCCTTATTTTTATTATTTCTCTCCTTCTATTTGTTTTGGGATTTGCTTGTTCTTATTTTTCTAGGAGTTTGAGATGTATCATTAGGTCATTGATTTGGGATCTTACAGTCTTTTTAATATATGCACTCATGGCTATAAACTTTCCTCTCAAGACTGCCTTAGCTGTGTCCCATAGGTTCTGGTAGGTTGTGTTTTCATTTTCATTGACTTCCAGGAACTTTTTAATTTCCTCTTTTATTTCATCAATGATCCATTCTTCATTAAGTAAGAGTTATTTAGTTTCCAGCTGTTTGCATGTTTTTTGTCTTTACTTTTGTTGTTGAGTTCTACTTTTACTGCATTGTGATCAGATAGTATGCACGGTATAATTTCTATTTTCTTATATTTGCTGAGACTTGCTTTGTGCCCTAGGATATGATCTATTTTGGAGAAGATTCTATGGACTGCTGAGAAGAATGTATATTGCGTACAAGTTTGATGAAATGTTCTGTAGACATCAACTAGGTCCATTTGATCTATTGCATATTTTAGATCTTGGATTTCTTTATTGATTTTTTGTTTGTATGACCTATCTATTGATGATAATGGGGTGTTAAAATCTCCCACAACCACTGTGTTGGCGTTTAATATGCTTTTAGGTCTTTCAGGGTGTATTTAATGAAATTGGGTGCATTGACATTGGGTGCATACAGGTTGACGATTATTATTTCCTTTTGGTCTATTTCTCCTTTTATTAGTATAGAATGTCCTTCTTTATCTCATTTGATCAATGTAGGTTTGAAGTCTACTTTGTCAGAGATAAGTATTGCTACTCCTGCCTGTTTTCGGGGGCCATTAGCTTGGTAAATCTTCTTCCAGCCTTTCATCCTAAGCCTATGCTTATTTCTGTCAGTGAGATGGGTCTCCTGTAAGCAACAAATTGTTGGATCTTCCTTTTTAATCAATTTCATCAAGCGGTGCCTTTTGATGGGTGAATTAAGTCCGTTAACATTAAGTGTTAGTACTGATAGGTATGTGGTGATTCCTGTCATTTAGTTGTCTTAGTTGTTTGAAGGTTTGATTGTGTGTACCTAAGTTGAGGTTACTCTGTACTGTCTTGCTTTTTCTTTTTAAAATGTAGACATTACTTTCATTCTTTGAGGGAAAATGAAGAGAAGGGAAGGCTGAAAGTTCCTTAAGTCTTCCCATTTTACATTACCTAGAAATACAAATTTCTTGCGATTCTGAAATTACAGAAAATAGAGATCCATAAAAATTAGTGTAATATTATGAACTATAGTCTTATCCTCCCCTCTTTCCCAGTGGGAATGTCAGGTGGAAAATTCTTCAGAATTGATGCAGTTACCTGATGTCTGAATTTTCTGTCCCTGGCTCCTGGTTCATGCAAGAAGAGTTCTCTGAAAGTGTCTGGATAGTTGAGTGCAGGACAGTAGAGCTTTAAAACACCAAGAAGTGAGATCAGGATATTGGTTGTTACCATGTCTTTAGTTTTGAAAAGAACAATATTGCATAGACATTTTCCAAATGCTGAAGCATGTAATTTGTAGTTTGTTCATTTTTCTTTTCTTTCAACTCAATGTTTTTCTAGTAATCTAAGTGCATTATACTATGGAGGCAGTGTTTTGTGTATGTCTGTCACTTTTTACCACCATGTAGTACAACTCTTTGCATGATTAAGTTCTTAATACCTGTGTGACTACTTTCTTGTATATTAGTTTGAGAATAGTAAATTGTATTTTATTTTCATAGCAATACCGAGCTTATGCGGCCTTCCCGGACTTTTTCCGTAATTCAGCTGTCCAGTGGTGGAAGAGGGAAATTGGAAAAATGTATAATAATACAGAAAGTCCAGAGAAGAGCTTGAAGTTTGATGGCATGTGGATTGTAAGTGCAGCTTGGATGCCTGTGTACATGTGGAGAATTGTGTGTTCATCTCTGTTTTAGCATGTGGACACTGACCTAGAGTAAGGGGATTATAACCACCCAAGAAAGACTTTGCACATCTCATACTGGAGGAGAATAGAATAGCCCAGTCATTCTCATCCCTCATACCTTGCTTGAAATCCCTAATATTAAACCTTGAGAGTGATTGCTGAGAGGCCCCTAGAACTTTGTTTGCCTTGAGGGAGATTTCTTTAACCCTCTAGCCAGTCATCCCATAGGAGTTATTTTCTCTTTGTAGCCCATTCTGCCCACAATGTAACGATCCTCCCAGGGCAATGCCTATAGGAATTGCAGTGTGTTTAAGGATTTATTCATTACTTCCTCACTTCAGAACTGACAATTGTAATTATCTTTAAAAGCAACCCTGTTTGTGTTTGACATTTCTAGGATATGAATGAGCCTTCAAGCTTTGTGAATGGGGCCGTTCCTGCAGGCTGCAGGAATGCTACTCTGAACCATCCTCCCTACATGCCGCGTAAGGACCCTGGCCTCCTCCACCTGTAGAGGCCTGGCTGGGAAAAGCAATGACTGCTAGAGCTCAGCAGCCAGAGTGTACCTTGAGCACTGTGTGCAGGTCCTCACTGGTGCTGTGGTTTACTGGGGCCCAGAGACAGGAGTACTTCATGTACTTTGCCCCCTAGGGTATGTGTATGTTACTGGATCCCCTGGGTGAGTTTTTGGAATTTGCTCAGAGAGCATGTAACAGTGGTAATGTCTCCAATTGTTCTCACAGCTAGATTTCTTAGTTCTTCAGGCTTATTAAAATTTACCCACACAATTTCTATTACACCAATGGGTAAAATGATGTGACTTCCCCACTGGTAGCTGATGGTGTTTGGAATTACACGTGAGTTTGTCTTGGCTCCATAAATCATTCTTTGTGTGAGTCAAACTCCAGAGATACTGTGGTATTTCCAAGCATCAGTTTTCTAAATGTACGGGGCAAATAGCCCGCACACTTCAAAGGTTTATTGTAAGAGTTATGTGAGCTAATGTATGTGTTCAAGGCACTGCTCGGGGCCTGCTCCATAGTGAGTGCCTGATAATCCCGTGTTCTTCTAATACCTCCACTTCTGCACGAATGATGGTGAAGACACCTGCAGCACCACTGCACGCAGAGCAGAGCACTCTTCTCATGCCCTGAGGGAGGGAGAGTGACCCATGCAGGGGTCTCATGACCCAGAGCTCGATCCCTTAAAGAGCGGCCAGGAACTGAAAGTGTCAGGGCTGTTTTTCACATTTCCAATCTTTCCTCTCAGATGTGGAGGACAGGGGTGTGGGCCTCAGCAGCAAGACCCTGTGCATGGAGAGTGAGCAGATCCTGCCGGATGGTTCGCGGGTGCGGCACTATGATGTGCACAGCCTGTACGGGTGGTCCCAGACCAGACCCACCTATGAGTAAGTCAATTTCTGTCTCCCTTCTGCATTTGACACCAATTGTGTTGTGGGGTGAGCAGAAAAAGGCTTATCTTCCCAACTTTTACTTTCATTCCCCTTTCAACTATGCAGCCATGCTTATTTATTCCATATATACTTCATGAATATAGAATGAGGTCTTGTGGTTGTAGTTGGAAGGACAGATATAAATAAGTAATGGCTCTGTTACCTGATTTGGGTCACAGACCTGAAATTTATTGTTTCTGTCAGAGTATGAATTCAAGGATGAACACAGAAGAGAATTAAGTAGGAGTAGGTTTATTAACGAATTGCAAAGAGACAACAAAGCAAAAATGTACTCTTGAGATTGTAGAGTGTACAGCATAAAGAAGGAGGAGTGTGTGGAGGGTCCTAAGACCTCAGTATTCTATTGGGATATGTAGCCATGGGGGTGGTCAGTCCTGGGAAACCAGGTTGTGAGTTATTATCTTCAGGTTGTGAGTTATTATCACAGGTTGTGGTTATGTGTCATCAAAAACTCCACATATCAGATGGGGAGTTCTTAGATTTAAATGTTCAGACTAGGCCTGTCATTTTTTTCTTGGCTTCAGTTGCTTTGGATTAGCAAGACCCTAATTTATGTCATAAGTCATTCCTTTAAGTCAGTAGGCTAAGATATGATTTTTTATGTCAATATCTAAGCCATGGTTTTCAGCCATCAGATCCTAACTTCCTGCCTAACTCCTCTATGAGTACCATCAGTGAGAAAAAAAATAATCTTGGACACCAGAAATTATTAGATATGATGTAATAGATTAGTTACAAGAAGCAAAAGCAACACAGTGGACTGGGTAACCCTTTTTTATTTTATCACCAGAGAAAGGAAAAAGATTAATGAGGGACTCTACTATAACAAAAGGAGTGGGATATCCTCAACTCAATACCCAGTGCTTTCATTTTCAGGGATTTTCTTACTGGTTCTTTTTTAATTTCTGAAACTGGATTAATTTGTGATATATGTAATTTCAGAATTATTTTTAATTTCTCTGTCACCTCATTCCTTCTATCCTGCCTCAATTTTAAAATTGAATCATCTTCACTGGGAATTTATTTATTTGTTCCTATTCTTATGAGAGAGTCAATGCTTCTGTTGAATTATCAGAGTTTCACTTTTTGAGCTCAATAAATAATAGAAATTACCCTAAGAAAATATTAGAAAATAATTTATGTTCTTCTTCCTTAAATGTACAAAAACCAAGTATTGAGTGAATAAACAGAAACTGTTTATTCTGGGACAACTTGTAGTGGGTTTATGACAAGTCAAAGTAAAACACTGTGAAAAGGCAGCACTGCTATCATTACCTCTGTTAGGCAGAAGGTTCTTGCTAAGGCTCAGATTTCCATCTTCCCTCCAGTCAGGCAGCAAACATTTTGTCATCAAGAGCTAGGCCTAACAGCTCTGGTCAAAGCCCTATGGCCTTCTTTCCACTGCTCTGGCCTGAGTTCTCCTGTTCCTCTCCTAACAGAGCTGTGCAGGAGGTGACAGGAGAGCGAGGGATCATCATCACCCGCTCCACATTCCCTTCTTCTGGCCGCTGGGCAGGACACTGGCTGGGAGACAACACAGCTGCTTGGGATCAGCTGAAGAAATCTATCATTGGTGAGTGGGATTGTTCTGAGGAGCCTCTCTGCCCACAGGGGAGGGAGTTAGATCCTTGATGAAGGAGGGAGGAAGTGGCAGGTCATGAGGGCCTGGCTTGACATAGCTGTGGTTCTCATTGCAGGCATGATGGAGTTCAGTCTGTTTGGCATCTCCTATGTAAGTGACCTTTGGATTCTCCTAGTCCTCAAGAAGATGGTGGCATCTTTCAGAACTTCTTAAGACGCTTGTTTTCTTCCCTTTTATTTCAGACAGGGGCAGATATTTGTGGGTTCTTTGAAGATGCTGAATATGAGATGTGTGCTCGCTGGATGCAGCTGGGAGCCTTTTACCCCTTCTCCAGGAACCACAATGGCGAGGGGAACAGGGTAAGACCTCAGCACCCACCTTACCTCTTTTATATCATTGAAAGAAAACCTCCATTTCTGAACTGCAGTTCATACTGTCTGTATTCCCTGGTAACATCTTCAAATTCTTAAACCCTCCTCTCAACACCATATTTCTCAGCATTGGATGGGGTAATTCTTTTTGTTTAGAAATAATTATCCCCCACATAGCCCAAGAAAAATATGTTATAGGGAAACTTTGTCAGCTTTCCTGAGAAGTTTGGGACCTTGTCCAACCTATTAAGCGTATTCTCTGAGTGTCATCCATAATTGCCTTTAGTTTAGCTGTGTGAAACATACTGACATGGTGTAGCAGTGACCTCTTTAAATTGCCTAGGTCCCCTAGGATGAGCTGTGAACATTCTTTTTCTTGTTTAGAGACAAGACCCTGTGTCCTGGGATGCTGCCTTTGAGAATATTTCCAGAAGTGTATTACAGACCAGATACACTCTATTGCCCTATATCTACACCTTGATGCACAAGGCCAACACAGAGGGAACCACTGTTGTGAGGCCTCTTCTCCATGAGTGAGTATTGGCAAGAATCTTGTTGACTAGTGAATAACATATTTCATTTTGAAGGTGGTTGTTGTTTCAAACAGTTCTTCCAAATTGAAGATGTGGTTTCTTTTGTCATAAACTCTCCAGGCAGAGTCTATACTCTGCTAGTTCTTTTAGCACAGTGTGATATTACAATGTAATAAGTGAAAGGGTATTTATTGAGTGGACACTTTTTTGAAATGATACAACAAGTACAGTATAATTTCTCTCTCATTGGTCATGCAAAGACCTGCCTATCATTTGTAGCAGTTTGTTTATGTGGATGCATGTGCCATGGTGAGAGGTTATGGAGATATTATAGGAGAAAGCATACCTAAAGTGTTGCTGAAAGTTGAGGACATGCCACGGAGGACGTAATTCTCATTAAACTGGGGTAGAGAAAGATGGCATAGGCTGCAGCTGGGTTTCTGATTTGGGCCTAAACTGGAGGATTTCTTCAGGACCTTGGGCTGGAGCCCAGTTGAGGCTCTGATTGTGACACTTTCATTTCCTTCTCAAGGTTTGTGTCTGACAGGGAGACCTGGGACATAGATGGTCAGTTCCTGCTGGGTCCAGCTTTCTTGGTCAGCCCTGTCCTGGAGTGTGTACGTATGGAGGCTCCTATTGGGTAGAGGGTCCCAGCTGTGAGGCTGGATGAATAGGGGGAGAAAAAGTGTGGTGTGAAGGATCCTAAACATGATTTCTTATTATTCCTTTGTTGTTTCCTCTCCTTCTGAGCAGAAGTGTATCCTTTATATGTCCTGGGGTTGGTCACATCCAATTCATAAACAATCAAGAAGAAAAATAAACCTCCAGAATATTTGAGAATGTAGTCATTTATCCATTAACTAAAAGATGGAGCACAGAATCAAGTGGGGACAGTACTGTAAGAATTCATTCCAGTCCTCTGCCACCATTAAAGTAAAATGTGCCAGAAGAGTAGCTTGCAGCAATGTGTATCTTCTTGGTGCTGCTGACCAGTGTGTGCATTTATTCTGTAAGAGGCCTGGCTGGCAGCAAAAGCCATTCATTTTCTTCCTCTGGGAAATATTAGTATTTGGTTAAAATACCCTAACAAGCACTGCCAATGTCAGAGACCTGATGCATTGGGCCCAATTTCACCATTTCTGTTGTGGCCCTTACCTGTGCAGAATGCTTACTCTGTCTCAGGTATAGTGTCCACTGCCCACACCTTGTTTGTGTTTAATTTCAGAATGCCACAAATGTCACTGCGTATTTCCCTAGAGCCCGGTGGTACGACTACTACACGGTAAGATTTGGTAAATATTTACACAACCTCGGTAGGGTTTTGGCTTGAAGTTTTGCCTCGGCTGGCCTGTACTGCAGTCCTCCTATGTAGGCCTTCCAAGTAGCTAGGGTTATATGCATAGCTGGGATTTCAGGCATGAGACAACATGCCCAGCATTTTTTGTTGAGATGGGGGTCTCACTAACTTTCTGTCTGGACTGGCCTCAGGTTTGAGATCTCTGTTTCCCGAGTAACTGAGATTCCATGCATAACCATCATACCTGTCCAACTTTCTTCTTAAGTGACTCTCACATGGTCTTGAGTTTGCATGGTGACTATTCTACAACAGTCAGTCCTTTTGAGTGTGTTGGGCTTTCTGGTGCAGGTCTAGTTGGGCTTAAGCAGGGATTAGTTTACATTTAAGCTCATAGTTTAAGGAGGCACTGCATTGTAACGCTGGTCCTGCATTTTCATGATCTTGAGAATGGGGACCTCTTTTGTACCCCAGACGTTTTGGTAGTCTGTTTTAGCCTCAGCCTTTCCCAGGTGCAAAGTTCTTTACTGAGCTTCTGATGTTGGAATACTGGACACATTATTTCCCCATGGATTCACCATGTAAAGAGGAGCTAAGATTTATTTGTCAGAAACAGTAACATATATGTAAATAACTGTATGTATCTAATGAAGAAATGTTCCCTGGAATGGCTGATTTTATACAAGGCTTTCAAATAAAAAATAGTTTTACACAAAAAAGTAGAAGCGCAAAGCCAAAAGTTGAAGGAGCAAACCACTCGGAGAAAAAGAAAATTTTGTGTTAAAGTAAAACAAAGATTATATGGTTGAAATTAAGGGAGAAATGTCTTGTTGATTAATCTTCATAAGGTATGAGTACCTTGTATCTATTCTAGAGTAGAGATTGGTAAATCATAGCCCACAGCCAATTTGGCTGTCACCTATTTTGCTCCATAAAGTTTTATTGGAACACAGCCATGAACATTTGTTTACTTATTGTCAGTAATAACTGCTTCTCACTTCTAAAGGACCATTTTTCAGATGGGAAGATTTTGCATATTGGGGCATTTGGCAGTAACTGCAGTCAGTTTTGATGGTGCAGTGAAGTGAGGGGGTGGGGTGCTCCTGGCATCTAGTGGGTGGATAATGAAGATGTTTCTTGACATCAGAAAAAAAGCATGAGAGAGCCTCACAACAAAGAATTGTGTGACCCAAAGTCCCAGTAGTGCTAACACTGAGAAGCTGTGCTATAGTTGAAAACAATGTGAAAGGATGGTCCCTTGGATTTGAGCTTATGATTCATCTGAGCGAGCACCTCTCACACAGGAGGCAACATAAAGATGTCATATGAGGCAAGATAAAGATTGTCACATGAGACAAGGTAAAGATGTCAAACATAAAGGCAGATCTATAATGTTAAAGGTAAAGATATGTAAATAAGTTGCTTGCTTGAATCTTTTCTGTGAAGTAGGAGTGAAAGATGTTAGGCTGGCAGGGATAGGAGTGGGGCCATGAAGGAGGATGGGGACTCATAGACTCTTAGTGAAAGAGAAGGTCTAGAATTGTGTATCAGAAGCCACCAAGAAGTTAATCAAAAGATTGCCTGACCTATCCTAGCAGTGCTCTGTGACTTAGAAACAGGTTGTGGAGTGAGGGTGGGCTGGGATCCATGTGAGGACCTCGAGTACAGGCTATAGAAACCCCAAAAACCCAGGGACTCTTGTAAGACATTTAGTAGCAAAGAAAGATTTCAGAGTACCAGGTGAGTGCAAGACTGTAAGAACAGGTGTGTGCTGAAAGGCTGTGGAAAGGCAGCAAGTTCAGAGAGGCAGGTGAGATGTCTGGCACAAGCATGGCTAAAGGAGGTGTGTGTCCTCTCGCTCACCATCTGTTTCCTTCTTTGGCCCACAGGGTGTGGATATTAAGGCCAGGGGACAGTGGAAGGTGTTGCCAGCGCCTCTTGAGCACATTAACCTTCATGTCCGTGGGGGGTACATCCTGCCCTGGCAGGAGCCTGCACAGAACACCTACCTCAGGTGAGTGAAGGGTTCTGCTTTACATACTGGTTAGCTCACTTATTTGGAATAAATGTCCTCAATATTTTATTGAACAAAATTTTATTTGCTTTTTTTTAAATCCTTTTATGAACTCTGCATGCTGAATACCTATTTTATATCTAATCATGTGGAATGATAGATTTAATAATTGACATTTGAAACAAATGTTAACATAGAGGCTATCATGATTCGTAGCAGTTTTAGAAGACTATCTAAATCTTATTTGACTCTCAAAAAATTATTGCTGTAAAATTGTTTAAGGCATGTAACAACTGATACCTGGAGCTGAGATTCTTCATGTAAAATATTTTCAAATTCTTGATCTAGGGTTATGTAATAATTAGCATTAACTAACATCAATTGAAAACCTTCTCTGTGCCTAGAACTGTGCCCAATATGGGAATTTCTATTTGGAGATATTCTATTTTTAATTTACAAAAGGAAAATATCCTTTGATGTGGGGTTCATTATTGTCCCCATTTCACTGATGGTAAAGAGAGGCTTTCTAAGGCTGACTGATGTACTTAGTCACACAGTAAGTGGATAAAAATTACTAAAATCCATTTCTGTCAGATATAATTTCTCAAAACTTAGACCATTACTCAGTTACTCACTGGACTCCAGAGACTCATGAACAGAACTCATTATATGTGTTTTAGGAAATGGATCATGAAAGAAAAAGATTATAGCCCTAGGACTCTCCTTATAAAGAGTAAATAAGGAAGCAAGTTCATTGCCTTCTAATGTTTTGTTTTTAAAGAGCCTTATAGGAAAATTCCCCTTGATTCATTCACTAATTAATTCACTTATGGCATGAAATCAACTGGGTATAAGGAGACAGAACTAGGATGAGTTCACAAGTCTCTTGAATCCTAGTGCTTACTCTTTAACCCAGGAAACTTCTTTTTGTTCTTTTGCTCTTATGAAAACCCTTGGCTTGTGACTGTGACTTTGTTTTTAGCTAATGACTCTCTTCCACCTCACTGCAGCCGCCAGAAATTCGTGGGCCTCAAGACTGCCTTGGATGATGAGGGAACTGCTGAGGGCTGGCTCTTCTGGGATGATGGGGAAGGCATTGGTGAGTAGGGTACACTGGGATTCATGCCATATCATTGGCTAGGTTCTTAGATGTCTTAGATGCCTGCCTTTTCATTTTCCATGTTAAAACAAATTTGCATTTCAAAATATAGTCATTTGTTACTTTTAAGTGTGTAATTATATTGTACACACTCTTTATGCCTCATGTAAATGACGCTTAGTTCTGAATCTCTGTTACTCAATTGTCCTGATCTACTGTGTAATACTGCAGTGGGGAGCCATAGGGAAAGTTTATTTGTTGCCAACTGAGATAAACTTTCATATGATTTATGGTCAATGACACATTCCCTAATTATGTAGCTTCTGTCCCAGCAAGATAATGTCTTTTATTGGTGCTATTTATTTAGGGAATTTAGTTTACAGGAATTTAGTAACCTTTTAGGAGGATGACTCAAGTATTATTAGCTATTTCTAGACTAGTGCTGTCCAATAGAACTTTCTGCCATGATGGAAATGCTCTATGTCTTCTGGGGTCCAATGTGCTTTGATCACTTAAAATGTGACAGAACATCTGAAGAACCGAATTTTGATCTTATTTAACTGAAATGATTTAAACTTATATTGTTACCCTTTTTCTGGTGGTTACTGCCTTAGACATGACAGTTTTAGAGGACAGCCTGTGGTTATTGGTGGAATGGTGAGTAAATGAGAAAGAGGTTGGCACATAGAGAAGACAGAGGAAGCCATGAGAGTGGAAGGAAGAATGAGGCTCTTGACTAGTCTACCTCTATTGGACATGCCAAACTTCATACTCTCCCTGGAATGGTGGCATATATTAAGGATAAAAAACAAAAAATATGTTTCTAAGTTCTCTGGAATTTGCATTTTAAAGCTTGTCCAATACCTCTCCAGACAAACTCACACTAGTCTTGGTGTTGTGTATGTATGTTTACTTGCATATATAGCTACATATAGCAGAGAGAAACCAGAAATTCTAAGGTGACTGGAAATATGTTGGGAATGATAGATCACAAGAAGTGATTTAAGAGTGGCGTTAGGAAACTTTTATATAGGGCAACTCCCAAACATATGCATCTATCACTCATTTCAAACATTTTGTGTCAATGGGGTTTTGTTCAGATTGTGACTAAAAAACCAAAACTCTGTAAAGAGGACTTAACTAAAAAAACAAAACTCTGTAAAGAAGAAAATTGACAAAAACAAAAACAATCTTTACTCTCTCAACTAAAACAAATAAGCAATTATAATTATATCACATAGGCCCAGGTCACATTTACCTTGTTATTTGTTTGCAGATACCTACGGAAAAGGACTCTATTATTTGGCTCACTTTACTGCCAGCCAGGTGAGTGTGACTGATGCCATGAAGGGAGGATTAAGTTCTGCTAGATGTCATAAGGGTCCAAAATACCAGCTAGACTTCCTTCACTGCTCCTCCTGCTAATTCACATCTTTTCTTTCTACCACTTCAGCTCGAGATTCCTTGTTACCTGAGATTAACCTTGTCATATATCATCAGTAACATTTTCCAGATTACCATTCCTCAAATGGACAGATCATTTCTATATCATCTAGCCTTGGTTCTTATGTTTTCTTGGAATTTTCTGCACATTTTGTGACTGCTCCACATGTAGAATATGTTTCTTGATAGTTGAGACTCTTTGTCTCCCATAGAGTTCAAGGCAATGCTAGAGACCCTGCAGGTGCCTGTCAGTACAAAGTGAATGGTAGGTAGGTGACATCAGGGACAGAGTGCTGAAATCATGGTCTTCACTGTTTGAAGAAACTAGATAATGATGACTTGTGTTGTCTCACTTCACAAACTACATTTGTGCCTAGAACAGTTTGAGGAAAAAACTGAACCCATTTTGCTGTTTTATCCTTTCTGTTTTATTTTCATTTTGACAGAACACAATGCAGAGCCACATAATTTTTAACAATTACATTACTGATACGAACTCTTTGAACCTGGGATACATTGAAATCTGGGGAGTGGACAATGACTCCATTTCCAATGTGACCATTTCCCTGAACAACGTGAATGAAACAGTCCCTTTCATCTATGACTCTTCAACACAGGTTTGTGACTACTGAAAGCCCAGAGTTATTTCCCCATTATGGTATGCCTTGTGAAATGCTTTCCAAATGCTACCCTATCCTGCAAAACCCCTCAGGAATCCCTGTTTATCTAAATATTGTAATATTTTAAGTGATACTATAGAGGAAAATGTTTAGTAGGTACAGTGATGATTCTGCATCGAAGTGATTTAGAAGCAGTAGATGCTGGATATGAAGAAGTATTGAAAATAACCTTAGCCAATTTGTAATGTGTATTTTTCTTTTATTAATTAAATTTGTATTCAGCTATTATTTTATAATTAAACATTTATTTATCTATTTATTACTTAAAATAAAAATATGTGATGCTGGCCAGACATGGTGGTACATACCTGTAATTCCAGCTACTGGGAAGGTGGAGGTAGGAGGATTTTAGTCTGAAGCCAGTCAGGGCAAAAATAGAAGACCCCATCTAAAAACAAACATATTTCCTTTCTACTACCAAGGGTGTTTGGTGATCCCATATTTAATGAATATTGTTTTACTATTGTCTATGAGGTTTTTGTCCAAGGCACTAACATGCTGTACACAAGTTTCCATCCTAGACTTTCTTGGTCTTTCTATGTATTCCTTCTTAACAGAATCTTTTTGCAGTCTATTCACTCATAATGCAACTGAGAGCAATGAAATTCACACATGCACAGACAATGGCAGTCATATTATGATGCTGCCAGGCTCCAGGTAATTCTTGATGATAAGGTGTGCTTTGATTTCCTGATTGCTAAAATGTGAATAATCCACACTTTGGGATTCATGCAATATTGTGGTACTGACACCTATCATTATGATGGTTGACAAAGCCATTCCTTCATGTGTGCTTACTTTTTTACTTTTACTTTTTCTTTTCTTCTTCTTTTTTTTTTTTTTTTGATTCAAGGACTTGCTATGTAGCTCAGCTGTCCTTGAATTCATGATCCTCCTGCCTCAGCCTCCCTCATGCTTGCCTTACAGATGTGTATCACTATATCTGGCCTACTATTTACTTTTTTTCCTGAACATACGTCCAATTTTTTTAGGCCCAAAACAAAAGTTTTCCTTCATTTTTGTATTCCTAAATTTGCATCTTCATACTATGGAGTTCTTGTCAACTGGCTTTCAAAATTTTATCAAAAGGAAGCACTTAAAGGATGTGATCCAATTCTGTAATGAATCAACTCATGGACTAACCTGTAAGCTAACACCTGTATGCACATTCTAAAAGTATTTGCCTAGAAAAAAGGCAGTAATATTAAAGTCTTCTTAGGTAATCATTGGGGTGCCATGAGGAAGTTGGAGAAAGTAAAAAGAGAGCTTTGAAGAAAATCAACACTTCAGAAGGATGGGACAAAAATGGCATTCTCTCCAATTTGTCTGGGCAGTTGTTTCTCTCCAGTGGTTGTGTGTTGCATGGTTGAAAAGCCCATTCCTATCACTGAATAATCCTTGATCTCTAAGGAATTAGGAAACACATCCTCACATAAAATGTGAGGGCAGTTGGTAGTGAGGCCATTAGTTATGAAAATAGTATGGAGTTATGTGAGTTGATGACTTTTGCCTTCCTGATTTATTTGTGTGCAGGAAATTTCAAACAAATGCCTAATACCTTTTCTTTTATTTCCTACAGGTGTTAAGCCTCAATGTGACCGGTAAAAGCATCAGCCTCCATAATTTCACTTCATTGACATGGGGAAGCTCTCTGTAAATTTTTGGAGTGTGATATTATGAATAGCTCTGAAACTACTTAACCTTTATTCTCACTTCATCATTATATATTACTAATTCATTTATATCCAGTATAGATAGAATATTTTTGTATTGATTTTGTTATACATTTTGTGTGTCTTTAATCCTGAAAGTAAAATCATTGCCCTATGGGATAGGCAGAAGGGAGGTGAGGAAAATCTGTGTATTACTTTAATGTCTGTGTATGATAGTATAATGGGGGAGGATTCATCATAATGACATTCACCAAAGATGAAATGGGGGGCCCATGAAAAAGTGTGTGTGTGTGTGTATTATCATCATGGAATGGGCTCTACTCTTTGTTAAAGACAAAGAAACTTGTCATAACTGTTCTTGGTCTGAAGCTAACCAAGAAAGTGTCCAGAGAAAAGTCTGCTAGTTGGTTATAGGGAGAGGAGAAGAAGAAGAATATGCTGAGAGCATGACATAAGTAAGAAAAAGACAAATACATGAAAGATAATCAGGAAAGATCTGAGGCAATAGAAGATGATGACAAAAGTGACCCCAAATTATCAAGACTAGGAGGCTCAAGGTGGGGGAGGAGAAAGAAGGAACTCACTTGAGAAGTGAGTTTGGAGAAATCCTTAGCATAGGGAAACAGGAAGGAATGAGATTTACAAAGGCAAAGCTGAAGGGAGAAGTTTGGGTGTGAAAAATTATTTATATTCAAAAGAGTGTGTTTTGAAATGTACATGTTTTATTAGTTTACACTGCCTCATGTATGTAATGAATTTCACACAAACCCATATGATTTCTATACTATGGAAAATAAATAAATTTGCAAGAGATTTTGACTGTTGTGATCTGTTGTCTAAGGGCTAAGGTGTCTTTTTGTTCAGCAATCTTCTGCATGCTGGTCTTTCTAGTTCTCTTTGGCATTAGAGACCCTGAAGTCTAATCCAGACATGAAATGACTAGATTTATGACTAGCTACTCTTTTCCTCACATCTCTGCAATGAGACTTTCATAAATTTTAAGTTCATGGAAGGATTTACTTGGATTGTTGTGGTTTTTATCATCATACAAGTTGCTATAATGGTAAAATATCTACTCTCTAAAAAGTTGCAACACTACTGGATAAAACACTAGATGGTTAATATTTGGGATAAAGTAATTATTATAAATATTTTTTCCAGCTCAGTAGCTTCACTTGACAGCTGCACCTACTGAGGTGCTGTGCTGGAGTCTGGGGAAATGGCATGCCTTAATCTAGTCTCTTAAATGGTGTTCAGACTTCCTTAAGTATAATTTAGGGAATCTGATGATAGGAATATTTTTTGCATTGCTGGGTATCAAACCCAAGACTTTACACATGTTATGCAAGCAGTCTGCCACTGAGCTCCAGACCCAGTCCTTGCAAAACTATATTTTATTCAATAATTTCTAACTAAAATTTAGCATTTCCTTTGATTATGAATATAGGTAACAGAGCCTGGTAGTTTTAGCAGCATCCATGTATCTTACAAAAATAGAATCACAGATATTTTCATATCTCCTTATGAGATTCTAGGAGATATCTCAAAATATTGTTTAGGCTAATTATTACATTTATAGTATGTCATTATTAATTCTACATCTAGATCTTTTTATTTAATTTGGTAACAAAAATCACACCTCAAGGCGAGGCATGCTTGCTCATGCTTATAATCTCAGCCACTCCATTGGCAGAAGTAGGAGGATCATAGTCTCAGGCCAGCTCAGGCAAAGAATCAGACTCTATCTGAAAGAGAAATAAAGCAAAAGGGGCTAGGAGTGTGGCTTAAGTAATAGAGTGCCAGCCTAGCAAACATGAGGCCTGAGTTCAAACCCTAGTACCACCATAAGATAAATAAGTAAATAAAAGTGCTGCCAGTCATTAGCTTATCTCCTGTCTCTTGAATTCACTTTTGGCTTTTCAAAATAATTTCATCTATTTATGGTACGTGAATGGTGTTTTGGTAAACATATACGTTGTGGAATGGCTAAGTAAAAGCTAGTCACATGTCCTCTGCCACACAAATTTATGATTCTTTGTGATGACAGCACTTAAAATCTATCCTTAGAAAAGATTTTTTTACCTGGGTTTTGGCATTACTGGGGTTTGAAAGCAGAGTCTTGTGTTTTCTAGGTGTGCACTCTACCACTTGAGCACCCCCCACACCTTTTCACTTTAGTTATTCTTCTAACAGGGTCTTGTGTTCATGTCCTGGTCAGCTTGGTCAGTGATCCTTCTACTCATACTTCCCACTTAGCTGGGATGACAGCTCTGACACCACACCCAGATTTTTATTGGTTGAGATGAGGTCTAGGGAGCTTTTTGCCAGGGAAACTGGGACCCTCCCGATCTCTGAGTCCCAAGTAGCTGTGATTGTAGGTGTGTACTGCCACACTGGCTTTTTCCACCCACTTTTTTATTACTGGATATTGGTTGTACAAGGGGATTTCATTGTGATATTTTCATTACCTGCATGCAATTTACTTTGATCAAATTCACCCCTCTTTTAGTCTTTCTCCCCCCTCTCACTTTTAGAAAAAAAATTGCAGGTTTCATTATTCTACTTTCATACATGTGTATAAAATACTTCAACCCTCTCCCTTCATTCTCTCCTTTCACCCTCTCCCTCTTACTACTGGCACCCATTCCCCAAAATTCCCTGTTTTACCTTCCTGTCATTCATTTTTAAGCACTAAGAAAACATGTGATAGTTGAGTTTCACAGTCTGGCTTATTTCATTTAACATAATGATCTTATTTCATCTATTTTCTTGCAAATGACATAATTTCATTCTTTATGTCTGAATAATACTGAATATATATATTCTATATATATATATATAGAAGTATATATATATATATACTTTTTCTTTATCCTTTCTCAGTTGATGGATACCTAGTCTGATTCCATGCTTTGATTTTTGTGAACAGGGCTGCTATAATCATGGAGGTGCTGGTATCTCTCTTGTATGTTGACTTATATTCCTCTGGTATGGCAGGAGTATATGGTAGTTCTATTTTCAGTTTTTAAAGGAACCTTTATAGTAATTTCCTTAGTGGCTGCACTAATTTACATTCACAATTGACACCAATAGTTTATTAATGTGCCTCATCGCCCCCACCCACACATCCTCTCCAGCATTTGTTGTTTTTTCTTGATGATTGCTATTCTGAGTAGGTGAGATGGAACCTCAAGTGTCATTTTGATCTGGATTTCCTTTATGACTAAATATGTTGAGCATTTCTTCATGTATTTATTAGCCATTTGTACTTCTTTTGATAACTGTCTGTTCAAAGCATTGGCCTATTCATTAATTGGATTCTTTATGCTTTTGATGTTTAATTTTTTGAGCTATTTATATATCCTGGATATTGATCCTTTATCTGACAAATAATTGGCAAAATTATCCTATTTGATTTAATGCAATCAAATTTTGTTCATGTATCCTATTTGGGGTTCTATTCAGAACACTAATATCAATGCCTATATTTTCAAGGGTTTGCCCTAAGTTTTCCTCTAACAGTTTCAAAGTTTCAGGTATTTTATTAAGATCTTTGATCCACTTTGAGTTAATTTTTGCACAAGGTGAGTAATAGGGTTCTAGTTTCAGTTTTCTACATGGAGATAGCCAGTTTTCCCTGCACAGTTTGTTGGAGACTGTCTTTCTGTAGTGTAAGTTTTAATGCCATTGCCAAAAGTCAGATGGGCTTTGTTCTGGATCTTCTACTGTAATGTATTGATATGCGTGTCTGTTTTTGTGTCAGTTCCATCCCATTTCTTTACTATGGCTATGTATAAGTTGAAGTCAGATATTATTATAACTCCAGTATTATTCTTTCTGCTATTCAGGGGCTTTTGTGCTTCCAAATGACTTTTAGAAAGGATTTTTCAATTCCTATGTGAAAAGATGACTTTGAAATTTTGGTGGGGATTGTGTTGAATATGTAGTTTGCTTTCAGTAGTATAGCCATTTTTGCAGTGTTAGCTTTGGTGATCTTCTGGTGTCTTCTTCAGTTTCTTATCTCAGTGTTTTATAGTTTTCATTGTAGAGGTCTTTCACTTTCTTAGGTATATTCCTAGGTATTAAATTTTTTGAGGCTATTGTGAATGGGATTATTTTCCTGATTTCTTTCTTAGCCTGTTCATTATTGGCATATAGAAAAGCTACTGATGTTCTTGTGTTGATTTTATATACAGCTACTTTGCTGAAAGTATTTGTCAGATCTAAGAGTTTGGTGAAATATTTAGAATCTTTTAAGTATAGGATAATATCATTTAAGAATAGGGATAAATTGACTTTTTTGTTTCTTTTTTTTTTTGCCTTTGTTTTTGTCTTGTTTTGGTTTTTTTTTTTTCATTTTTCTTTTATTATTCATATGTGCATACAAGGCTTGGTTCATTTCTCCCCCCTGCCCCCACCCCCTCCCTTACCACCCACTCCACCCCCTCCCGCTCCCCTCCTCAATACCCAGCAGAAACTATTTTGCCCTTATTTCTAATTTTGTTGTAGAGAGAGTATAAGCAATAATAGGAAGGAACAAGGGGTTTTGCTGGTTGAGATAAGGATAGCTATACAGGGCATTGACTCACATTGATTTCCTGTGCGTGGGTGTTACCTTCTAGGTTAATTCTTTTTGATCTAATCTTTTCTCTAGTTCCTGGTCCCTTTTCCTATTGGCCTCAGTTGCTTTAAGGTATCTGCTTTAGTTTCTCTGCATTAAGGGCAACAAATGCTAGCTAGTTTTTTATGCATGTATTTTTATTCCTTTCTCTTGCCTTATTGCTCTGGCTAAAAGTATTGGATAAGAGTGGAGAGAGTGGGCACCCTTGTCTCATGCCTGACTTTAGAGGAAATGGCTTCAGTTTTTCCCCATTTAGTATAATATTGGCTATAACCTTCATTATGTTGAGATATGTTCATCCTAATCCTAGCTTCTTCAAGTCTTTTATCATGAAGAGATGTTGGATCTTGTCAAAGGCTTTTCCTGCATCTATTGAGATGATCATGTGATTTTTGTCCTTTATTCTGCTTATGTGCTGTATTACATTAAATAATTGATTAATTGATTGAATCATCCTTGCATCACTGGAGTAAAGCTAACTTGATCATGGTTTATAATCCTTTTTTTCCATTCTTTTTAATGTGTTGATGAATTCTGTTTGTATTTTATTGAGAATTTTTGCATCTATGTTTATAAGAGAAATTGGTCTGTAATCTTCTTTTTTTGGCATATCATTATCTGGTTTGGGTATCAGGGTCATGCATTTTAAGTATACACTTTTTGATTCTATGCAGCCAGCTTCATATGGACATACAAACCTTCCATTTAAAATTAGAAAGGTAAGCTGGGTGTAGTGGTGCGTGGCTGTAATCCCAACATTAGGGAAGCCAAGGTAGGAAGATTGTGAGTTCAAAGCCAGCCAGGGACCTTGCCTCAAAAGAAGAAAGAAAGAAAAGAAAGGAAGGAAAGAAGGAAGAAAGGAAGAGGGAAGGAGGGAGGGAGGGAAGGAAGGAAAGAAAGAAAGAAAAAGAAAGAATTAGAAAGATTTTAAAGCATCTCTGGGGAAAAAGTCAGGGGAGGGGCTGGGTCTGTGGTTACCTTGATTTCTCTGTCTGCAGCAGTGCTGTCCACTGTGAATATAAGGTTGTCCCCAGCCTCTCCCTGTCATAGTGTTAGGGCCACAGACTGAGGCGCTTTGCGCTGTTTTCATTTGAGGAATAAAAACTCAGAGCTGATCTCTAGGTTCAGAAAACTTGGTGATTTGATTTGGAATCAGGTTTCCTCATTTGCAAAATGCTGGTGTCAGACTAAAACTATGATTTCTAAGCCACGGAGCTGTGCAAGGCAGATCCATAGTGTTCTGAGTTCCCCACCCTGGGTTCAGTCATTTAGTTGTTTGTATTGAAATGTTCACTTGTGTACACACTGAACTCCCATTTGAAAACAGACATGTAT